GAAGTGTATAATTGCTGTTTTCTCAGCCTTGAACGTTGTACCGCTCCTTCTCTCCCAATCTAGGGCGTTCTTGATAATGGCTTCGATGCCTTTGCGGTTGCTCTATGCCGTGGGTCTCGTAACCTACGCATTGAAGTCATCGATAAAGGCTATCGCACCCCCGGTGTAGATCTGTTCTTAGAGGAGTACAAGCGCTTCGCTTGCTCTGCAGACCATTGCTTACGAGCCTTGTTCTATATATATTGGACCTGGGTACGCGAGGATTCGCGCCCCGACATGACGGTGTTGAAGATATAACTAATCTGCTACTCGCGCAACGCGACGGCGGACGCGTCGGCAAGCACTAGGCTGAGAAGTTCGTCAAGCGACAACCGGAACTTAAGATGCGTTTCAATCGCATATACGATTTTCAGAGAGCCCTTTGCAAAGATCTATAGATTATTAGTGCGTGGTTGAAGCTTATATATAACATGAGAGCGAAGTATGGCATCCGCAACGACTGCAACTTCTACAACTTCAATAAGACTGGCTTTATAATCAGCGTTTTCTAGGTATCTATAGTAGTTATACGTGCCGATCGACGTGGAAGAGGTAAGGTAGTTTAGCCTGGTAATTAGGAATTAGCTACGGCGATTGAGTAACGTATCTTATAAGCGAGATGAATATATAAGCGAATTGAACACTTTGACCGCGACGCGTCTTCTCTCCATACTACAACCAAAATCCTCTACACCTAACAATGTCTTCGGCTTCAAGAGAATCTAGGGTAATCTTAGCCCTTGAAGCTATTAAAAAGAACCCAAAACTTAGTCTTCGCGCCGCAGCAAAGATCTATAACGTCATAGTCAATACTATCTGAAACCAATGCGACGGCAAGCTTGCACGACGCGACACAACGCCCAACTCGCGGCGGCTCACTGATTCCGAAGAGAAGTCTCTTGTTCAGTATATAATTGAGCTATCTAAGCGAGCCTTTCCTCCGAGACTATATAGTATAGAAGATATAGCTAACCAACTGCTATGCATACGCAAAGCGCCCTTTGTCGGCAAGCTCTAGGCGTATAACTTTGTTAAACGCCAGCCAGAGCTCCGGACGCGTTATACGCGTAGATACGACTACCAGAGAGCTAAATGCGAGGATCTGAAGGTTATTGGCGAATTGTTTACCCTTATATAGAACGTCAAGGCCAAGTACAGTATCGTAGATGACAATATCTACAACTTCGACGAAACTAGGTTTATAATAGGTAATATCTTCCCGGGAATAGTAGTTACAACCTCGGATGGCCGTAGCAAGGCAAAGCTATCTTAGCCTGGCGACCGCGAATGTGTCATGAACTAACCTGCAGAGGCCGGTGGGGGCCGACCTGCATGGTCAACGGGCGGCGCCCGTACCCAATCATTACGAGGAAGAAGGAACCAATGAGGATTAGGGAAATCAGGAACAATGCCAAGAACGATTGTTCCTGGGGAACAACGCCAAGGAACGTTGTTCCAGATGGAACAATGGGAACGACAATTGTTCCAAATGTTCCAGAGATCTAGGTACGGGATACCTAGGGGAGGAAGCTGTATATAGTTCTACCATTCTGCCTCTCATTCAGATAGCTAGCTTCCTCAGTGAGCAATTACAAGCAGTAAGGTAGCCCTACATTACTGTGCAGACATTGCGACTTGCATTGTTGTGAACCCTTTGGCTTCACCGAGACCTACAGTCCGACCAGCAGATACCTTCGACCGGCGAACCCTTTCAGAGGCAGGACTGCCTGCGGTTTCGTCACAGAATGGGCAACGGTAATCCAAGGCGTTAATGCTCTTGGCTAGGTTATCCCTCCGTTTATCATCTTAGCAGCGCAATACCATCTCGCCAACTGGTATACCGAGTACAACCTCCCGGCCGACTGGCGCATTGCAACCACTGACAATGGCTGGACTACCAATGCAGTAGGCCTTGATTGGATCAAGCACTTCGACTACTATATAGCACCTCGGATAAAGGGCAAATACCGGTTGTTAATCCTTGATAGCCACGAAAGTGTGACGAAACTACAGGCAGTCCTGCCTCTGAAAGGGTTCGCCGGTCGAAGGTATCTGCTGGTCGGACTATAGGCCTCGGTGAAGCCAAAAGGTTCACAACAATGCAGGTCGCAATATCTGCATAATAGGTAAAGGCTACTGCTTGAAATAATTGCTCGCTGAGGAAGCTAGCTATCTAAATAAGTGACAGAACGGTAGAACTATATATAGCTTCCTCCCTAGGTACTTTTGCACCTGGATCGTCTGGCTCATTGATAATCTAGATGAGCCGCTTATCGCGCTCATCACTGATCACATTAAGCCTGCTCATATTGCCAAACAATGAGCCCTCCGCTCATATTGCCAAGCAATGAGCCGTCTGGGGTCCGCACTGCGTCCCATTCCCGATGGTGCTCTGCGCCTGGCTGCGGCCCCGCCGGCCTACATATATGGTTAGTTCACGACAATCACGCTCTGCATACCTCTACATTCCTCCCACCTCCTCCAGCCACTTGATATTGGCTACTTTAGGCCGTTGAAGCAGGCGTACGGTCGCCAGATCGAGGACTTGATACGCGTATATATCAACTATATAAGCATGCTCGAGTTCCTTTATGCCTTTCGCGCAGCCTTCTTTGCCTCTATCACTAAGAGGAACATCCAAGGCGGTTTTATAGGGGCTGGCCTTGTGCCATACGATCTAGAGAGGGTGCTTTCAAAGCTAGATATCAAGCTTCGTACACCAATACCCCCAAACCTCACGGCCGGGCACTATACAATCTTGGGTCTTCCAGACACCATACAACTCACGAGAAGCCGAGTCATAGTCAACGCTTATCAAGACTCGCATTGCCAACCATCAAAATAGCCCCCCGACTTCAATGTTGGCTGCTATAGACCAGCTTACTAAGGGTACGATGGCTATAATGCATGACGTGGCTCTCCTTCAAGCAGAGGTGTCTTCGCTCCGTAAGGCAACCAAGGTACTAAGCAAGCGCCGAAGAGCTAAAAGAATACATATACAGCTTGGAGGATCACTTGCAGTAGAAGATGTAAAAGATCTACTGGACCAAAAGGCTGTGGTTAGGGAGGTGGCATAAGAAATACAGCCGGATGGTGGCGGTGCAGGGGGGGCTCATACGAAGGTTCGGTGCTGTGATGTGTGCGGCAAGCCTGGCCATAATGCACGCACTTGCCAAGAGGTTGCAGAAGCCTCAGATTCAGCTGTTTCTAATGTAACTATTGTCAGTTCCTAGTGTTGTTGTTTTGTAATTGAGGATATTGTTGGTAGTGTAGTGGAGAGTGTTCGACTCGCTTATATATTTGGCTCGCTTATAATGCACGTTAAGCTGTAACGAAACCAGGCAGTCCTGCCTCTGAAAGGGTTCACCGGTCAAATGTAGTCTGGTCGGGCTATAGGTCTCAGTGAAGCCAAAGGGTTCACAACAATGCTTGCCGCAATGTCTGCACAGTAAGGTAGCCTCTACTCTACTGCTTGTATTGGGTTGCTCACTGAGGAAGCTAGTTATCTAAATGAGTGACAGAATGGTAGAACTATATACAGCTTCCTTCCCTAGGTACCTGTGTACCTAATTCTGCTGGATCGATGGTATCAAACATCGATCCCATAGATCCGTCCTGGCTCGACTGGATCAAACCTCGATCCATTCGATCCTCTTCTGATTGGTCCGTCCAGGACCAGAATGATTGGACGCGGGCGCCGCCCGCAGACCATGCAGGTCGGCCCCACCAGCCTCTGCAGGTTAATTCATGACAGCTTCTTATTACCCTTCTCCTCGATAGCATAGACCATATAAGCCTAGAGGAGCGCTTTAACCTTAACTAGGTCCGCCCTAGAGAAACGCAACTATCGTTATACTCTTATAGTAAGGTAAGAAGTACGTTAGGAATAAGAAGAACGACGAAAAGGTAAGGGAGGAAGAGAGTTCTCTAGGGAGGGTGAGTTAAAAAGTACGTTAGGAGTAGGAGAACGAGGAAAAGGTAAGGGAGGAAGGGAGTTCTATAGTTAGAGGGGAGAGGAGGGAGGTAACGATAGCATACGCAAGCCAGGCTAGCAAGACCAGCAAGGCTAGCATATCGAGGCTCGGGGGTTGGGCGCAATTGGTTCGCGTCCCCGAACGGGAACGGGATCCTAGCGCCTAAAATACACCGCCATTGCGATTGCGCGGGGTGCGAGCTAAGGGACCGGATAGGGTGTGAACCAAGTAGATTGGGCGACGCCTTCCGGGCCCCGTCGCCGGTGCCGTTTGGAGTTGTTACGGAGCCGGCCCCACTCCGGGAACGCGAACGGGTTCCCGGCCGGCAAAACTGCGGGTGAGGCGCTAGTCCGTGCTCGCTGAGTCATCAATTGCAGCTGTGCGAAAGTCAAGATTTTGTTTCGCGTCCCGGGGTTGCGATTCTGCTCGCGTTGTATACAGATAGGCATCGGTCCGACCGCTGGAACATCCGCCTCCTCACCGCCGCTAACCACTCGAGCCGGCAGGAGACTATTAACAAGGCGCTCAGACCGGTGAGCTTCAAGCACCCGGACAAGAAGCCATCCATCCTTATAGGGGTCATGGGCATCTGCGGCGAGGGGGGGTTAAACGGCATGCAGAAGGCCTGCTACAGTGTCTCAGTCGACCTCCCCATCTCCGAGGCCCTCTATGGGCCCAGGTGCGCGGGCCGGACTTTTCCCGTACGGTCAGATACACGCCTCGCAGCATTACGGGCTTGTGTCCCTGCATCCAGCCGAACGCGCCATCCTCGCCCAGCACGAGAAGAGAGACGACGATTTCCGGCGCATTCTAGCGGAACGGGCAGGACATACCCAAGAGTTCGGGTGTGGAGACCAGGAGTGCTGATATCAAGGTCCGAACTGGGACAAACTATGCTTGATTTTGGTTGATACCGTCATCTTGGTCCTTTCAAAACTAGCCATGTAGCTTACTCCCTAGCTAGCACGTTATTCATTGACGTGATCGAGGTGTGGGCATGACGATCGTCAAGCCGAGAGTTTAGCGGGGCCGCAGGCGCGCCCCAGAGTATGACGACTCATGTCAAATGCTGCGGGAATCGAGGCCGTCAACAGCTCGTCCAACAAGAGAAGGGTAGCGCATTAATATGAAACCCAACAATTTGTCGTCAAAAGTGGGCGAGGGACTGACAAGTTGAAGGTTGCCAGATCTTCGTACTATGCTGACCTCGGTAGCGATTCCTAGCCTATGGATGAGATCATCACTGAAAACCGCTCCTATGTAACACATCGCTCAACCCACCCACGGAACTCGCCGGCGACCCAACCCGCCAGCAGCCGTAGCACCTCAAGGAGGCGGTACGAACCGTCAACGGTCACAGTGCTTCCGGTCTCGAGGGGCCCGCACACCTCGAACCCACTGTCTCTGTCAAACGCGAAGTACAGCTCCCACTTTTCGCACACGACAAGCAGGACAGGGAGGAAGGGCAGGTTCGTTGGGATGCCCGCCTCAGCGGACGGCAGTGGCTCGAATCTGGCCACGCGGCCGTACCAGGCCGCTAACCATACACCCAGCTGAGCCTTACCTTCGGCACGCCGTCGAATGTCAATCTTGGTTTTGATTAGCACGCCGTCGGCTCGTAACACAACGGCCCGTGCGTCGATTGATTGAAGGTCCGTGGACGCTCGAAGCCGTCCACGCAGTTGGCGATACGGACGGCGAGATGTTTTTCGGGCTGAAGAAGCAGTGCGTAGTCGATCATTTTGCCGCCCAAGGCCTCGAGCTCCCCTCGCGCGGCCGGGACGAAGGCTTTAGCAATGGCAGCGTGCGAAATGTTTTCGGCGCCAACGTGCGGCGTACTGGAGACGGCGAGGCGCAATAGTGGGCCGTGAATGTGGTCATTCCACGCCGCTTCGGAGCGGGACGTGTTTACGAACCGCATAGTGGTAGCGACGATATCGCGGACGGCCTTGAGCTCGTCGTAGAGGCTAAGGAGGCCGAGCATCCGGTCTTCGTCGGCGCCAAGCGACGGGAAGAGCCGACACGCATCGTCCCTCTCTTTGTGGCTGGCCACCACGACCCTGTCAATCGGCGCAAAGCGTGAGTCGTTAACCATCAGCTCCTCCTTCAAGATCCCCTTCAACTCCCACGGCAAGTATCCCTCCCCTTGTATTACCCTCCAAATATCTTCAAAGAGTTGTAGTGCGCGGGCGTAGTCCGAGGAGGAAGGATGTCGAGCGGCCAGGCCATCAAGAACCGTATGCATTCGCTGATGCCGAGGCCAGTACAGTCGCAGATCCGCAGGCAGGTTCGCCACGGTTGCGTAGGATGTTCTCGCAACCCCCTATAATTCCGGCGCCGATGTCCTTCACCGCTCAGCTTCCCGCAAGCGACCGGCAGTTCACCACTTCCGGCTCAAGAGAGCCAAGCCCCTGCGCCAGTGCTCGCACTCGTTCCACAAGCCCCGTCAGGAATACCGATGACCTTCTCAAACTCGAAAAGCCCGTGACCTGGATGACTCCGGATCCACCCACGCTGAGGAACACGGTAAAGGCGACAGGGAGCGCCGCAAATCAGACTTGTTGAGATCTGGCATCTTGCAGCCAGAGTTGGGATCGGCCTCGGCGAGGGGGACTCGGCGTCCCTTCGCTGCGCGGTAGATGCTATCGGGTAGATCGGAGCGTCGACGGCGCAGCCGACACGCGTCGGCATTGGAGCAGGCCTGCAATGGGACGTCCTGGTCCAAGATCCAGGCCGCAATGGCTTCAGGTTCCATTCAAAACTTGTGCGCGTGACGTTTTGGGTCGTTTTACGATCGAGTGTTGGTTGGTTTAAGGAGTAATGGCCGTGTTGCCGCGGGGTAGTTGTTTGTTTTCTGCGACAATGCATAGCAACGGAAACTGCGGAGCGCAACTTTCGGGTGTGGCAATTACTTCCACGTCGTTGTTGACGTTCCGTCTCTAATGCGGTCCTCTGCTCCGTACCATCATGTCAAGGGCCACAAAAGAACAAGACCAGGGACTTTATCGATGGGCATATTTCACCTCCGGTGCTTACAAGATGCTTTGCGAAGATGTACCGAGGTCGCCATTCTATTGACTTTAGGTGTTGTCGTTTGAAACCCCCGGTCGTCTCTGTCAAACAGTCCACAATCGCATTGTTGCACTTTGTTATAAAAGGCACTCGATCAAAGCGCAGAACAAAGGTGAATGGATCTCGCCTTTTTCCACTAGCTTTAAAGGGTCCCTCCTAGGCTTCTCATGTCCAAATTTAGCACCCATGATTCGTTCATTGTTGCCGCCCGGCTGCGTTTGCCGCGGCGGCCTCCTTCCTTCTCGTCCAGTCATTGTATGTGTTTCATGCAACTGGGGCCTTGGCTGCCCGCATCGCCGTGTTTCAGACAGAATAATAGTACCACGTAGGCACAGCGTCTCCTCAAACTTTCGATTTTGAGTTCTTCAAGATGCTTTGACAGTTCAGCGAAATTTTCGGGGATCTCTCGCTGGCGTTTTGGGCTTGCTTGTTCCCTTCCCTTTTCTTTTCCTTTCGCGTCTAATCCTCCTGGTTCGCTCATGACCCCGTCGCATTATTATGTTCGACAAGCAGAATTGCACTGCCATTCCCGATGCTGTGCCCAGTGATGCAGGCATCGCGGGGGCCGGCGTATGTCCCTAAACCCCCACAGACCTTAAACTTCACGTTATTCATGCCACTGACACGCATCGCAGGTCCTCCTCTCCTCAGTCATAACAGCCGGCCTGGCCCTAGGCATATCCGCCAGCCTTGTACTGCCCGAAATATGGCGCTCTCGTCGCTCGGCCTCCTCCTCCTCCTCCTCCTCCTCTAATAATAATAACCCCAGCAACCCATCCGTGATCCGACGCAAACTCCTCAACAGCTACTCCGACCAGCAGATCATGGTCGGGATCGGGCTGCAGAGCGTCGGACTCGCGAAGTCGCAGTCGCTGGTGCCGTACCACTTCTTCCTGATCTGGATGCTGGCGCTACTCTCCACGGCGACGCACAACGCGGCGCTACTAGCGCTGGTGCACGACTTCAAGCGCGACTGGGTGCTGCGCTGGATGCGCCAGCTGCTGATGTTCGTCAACCTGGCGCTGAGCTGCGTGTACGGCGTGTACCTCCTGCAGACCAAAGTCAAGGGCCTGCCCGGAACGCTGCCCATCGGCTGTGTGTGGGTGTTTGATTCGACGAGTTCGAACGTGGGTGGCCTGGACTACGTCGGGACTATTGTTGCGATCGCGGGGAATTGTGTCGTGTTTGGGCTAGCCACGTGGTACCTGCAGAGTCGGCGCCAGCGCTTCTACAAGGCGATTCAGCTGGCTGGTTTGGTGCTGATGTGCGCCATCGCCATTGGTGAGTAAAAATAAATGGTCCCAAATATCTTGTGTCTGCAGGGAGCGTTGCTAATAACAAGGCTGTTTCCCAGGAGCCACGGTCCGCGCGTACATCCTGTCGCAGGCGTTCGGCAACCCCGATGTGAAGCTCAGTGATGAAGGCGAAAAGCAGTGGAGCTTTGGCCAGCTGCTTTCCCTCCTCATGTTGATCCTTCCTGTCATTTCAGTTATCGAGATCATGCGGGGAGAGATAGCTGTCGCGCCGCCGGCTCAGGACGAGGACAAGCGGGCATTGTTTGACGGGGAGATGGCGGCGAGGTAGCGAATGAAGATTGTTAAGCGACTAATTGATTCCATACTGAGTATCTATGCTAACTAAAGTCTAAGGCGGCAATATGTCAACAGTTGTTGTCTAAGTAATCAGAATAGCTGTGAGAGTGAAGCTCATGTCATATGCATCCCTGCGCAAGCATGGCAGCGAATGAAGAATATGGATTCTTACAGTTAATCATGGTATTCATGGCCACCCAGACACCATCGCGGTTCCGGAAAGAAGTGCCTACTAGTACCTTGCAGTCACGGGCCTGGGCGTGGGTATTCCGATTGCCGCCTTCCCAACTGACCGGACCGCCCAAAGCAATTACGAGTGGCCCCAGGATGTGCGCCACTTGGTCTTCCCCGGAATAGCCTTCCCTGGGACAAACGCACTTGAAGCCAAGAGCGGCATTATTACCTCGGGTAACGACAGTTCCATAGCGACAGCCGGACTGGCCGCAGCCATCTTGGACTGTGTGAGAATCGGGGAAGTCGTCGACCCGGAGACCTCTGGCCTTTTCGGCCGTTTTCAGGACCGGAGACGAATGCCACAGATATTGTGGAAAGTTCATACCGGTGCGCGTCCACAGGCGGGGGAGCTGATACCCATTTGGAACCTATTCCATCCCAGCGGCGAGTGTCCGATCGCCGCGATGTGTATACCGAAGAAGCTGATCCTGCAACTACAAACAATGTGGTCTCTCGGATCCAAGGCTTTGTTTGACAACAGACTCGTCGTTGGTTGACACCAAAATTCAGAGCCGGCTGGGTTTCTAGCAGGTCGAGTTCTGGTTTGGAGCCGAAGCCGGAGCCGAAGACGAGACGAGTCACTGCGAGGAATAGATGCTCTGGGCTCCTACTGAGAGAGGCTGTAACTACATCGAGGCCGTACTTGATCACCCAATCCAGTATTACTTGTACAAGCTTCCGCAACGAGCTACTAGATCTCGTCAAACAAACCCAGCAATGGCATCCCAGAACTCCCTCGGCGACTCCGACATGGGCAGATGCCCGGCGAGCGGCACAATCTTCAGCTCGCCTCCATGCGGACCCAACAACCCCTTAAACCCATCCATAGCCTTCACCAGCGCCCCCTTCCCATCCCCTTCACCCACCACAAACAGGCCCGGCACCGTGCAACCCTTCATCTCGTCACGCAGGTTATAATTCCACAGCGCCTGGCACGAGTAGCGGAACCCCTGCACGCTGTTGGCCGCCACCATGTCGGTCATCCACTCCGCCACATCCTTCTTCTGCGCCATAGTGTGCGGGTGGAACCAGCGCTCGACCGTCAGGCGCGCCAACTTCCGCATGCCACTACCACTACCACCACCCTCAAGAGAATCATCATCATCCCCCTCAGCGACGGCGATGCGCTCCTTCCAAGCAGCCGTGTTGGCGTCGCTAGACGCGACATTGAAGTCGCACGCGACAAAGCGGTCCAGCAAGCCCGGGTACTTCAGCGCGAACTTGAGCGTCGTGGCGCCGCCCATCGACACGCCCACCAGCGCATGCAGCCTGGGGATGCGCAGGGCCGCGAGGAGGGTTGCCAGGTCGTCGGCCAGCATGTCCAGCGTGGCGGGGACAGGGACGTTGTTGATGTTGTCGTCGTGGCGCCCGCGCGTGTCGTAGCGCAGGATGCGCAGGTCGGGGCGGGAGGACTTGAGGATGGCCACCAGGGGGTCCCACATGTGCAGGGAGGTGAGCAGCGAGTTGCAGAAGGCTATAGTGGGCGCCGTGGGGGAGGGGTTGCCCTCTAGGCGGTAGGGAAGGATTGTCTGGCCGGAGGAGTCGGAGTCGGGTGGTGTGGGTGTGGTGACGAAGGCGTTGATGGCTGCGTCGTCGTCCTTCTCGCCGCCGGGGACCGTGGAGATCTTGCCGTCGGCTGTGGAGAAGGCGGCCGAGGGGGGTAGGCGGGACAGGGACTGCAGATCCCTCGGCGCTGGGCCGAAGACATAGAATAGCTCATAGGTCCGGCGTGCCTTGTGGGCGATGTACTTGGCGAACACGTCGTCCCTCCGCGGGGTTCTCATCGCCGCCTTGTGCTCGGGACCCTCGAGGCCGTTCTCCTTGGCGTATTCATGGAGCGTGACGATTTTGACCGCACCGCTGCTCCCGCCCTCGATGACGGACGGCGTGCGGAAGACGCGGCTGCGCAGCCACCCGGGGATCTTGGAGAGCATCGGGAGGTGCTCCTCGCGGTACCATTGCACGACGGCCTCTTCGGCGCCCTCGACGCCCGGCTTGAGCGACACCTCGACCGACACCAGCACGAGCCCCTGCGCTTCGGCGTCGGTCAGCTGCTCGATGGGCGCGAAGAGGGGGCTCTGCTGCGTGGCCACGAGGTCCAAGAACTTGCGGTCGACGGCGACCTGGCCGATGGTGGCGGCCTCGCGCGGCGACCGGTTGGCGCGCAGGTCCGTGTAGGTGGGCGTGTCGAGGTGTCGCATCGACGTCACGTCGTAGACGGCCAGGAAATGCGGCGTCTCGCCGTCCGCGGCCCGGTACCGCAGCCCGTTGGCGAAGATGTGCGGCAGTCGGAGCCGTGTCGGCCCGTGCTCGTTGTTGTACCACTCGTGGAACTGGTCCGGCGAGAGCCCCTCGCGGGGCTGCATCGTCACGTACAGCATGCCTGGCCCGCTTCCGTCCATGGCTATAATTTATAAGGTGAGGAGGTGGAGTTGCAGTTCCTAGCGGTAGTGGTCTAGAACTATTCCGTGGTCGCCTGGTCTTCAAATCCGTAGAGGGTGGTTATCCGGTTCTTCTCAAAGATCTAGTTGCTTCAAGGTCGTTGATGACGATGAACCAGCCGTTAAAGAGGTCCTCACTTCTATGTTGTGATAACCGGGAAAGCGCCGGGTCGGGGGACCGTCGAGGAAGATCGGACCAAACAGTGGAGCCCGGCTCTTGTCCCGGCTGCGGCACTCAATAGGCAAAGCGTTTTTCCGGAGGTGCACTAAACCGCAGGAAGTGGAGCGGAGCTGGTAGAGAATAGTTAGAAGTGACAGAATACTATCGTCTCAACAAGAGCTCGAGGAGTTGAGGATCAGCTCTCTACATTCCCTCAAACGGATCGACAGAAGTCCCGTCGCCATCACGTTTCAAAGTCTTGTCCCTACTACAGCGCTCGGACTGCCTGCGAAATGCTGAAGCGGTTGGGACTTGGATCATCACATGTCGGCCTGAGTCGCGTGGCAGAGTTGGCAAATGGCACGCCTCCAGACAGAGAAGCAAGGTATATTGCACGTCACTAACGCAACGGCCGTGACAGGTTGTTATATTTCCATAGTCCCATGGCGATTCCTCTGGCGGTTGGAAGTTGATATCCAGAACCGGCCTTCATGCCTTCCCAATCAACTCCCGCATTGGCCCCCCTTTTTGCCTTTGCTGTTGAAGTCATAAAACACCTAGGTCATCTCGGCCAGACCAACCCGTCCAGCGCATGCTCGATTCATTGCGTACCTCCAGAAGTTTTCCTCTTCCCGCCCCGCTCATGGCTCACCCCAGATCTCATCGGCGATTTGCCGGATGAGCGCCAGCTTCTTCTTCTCGTCCTCCTCGGTCAGCGGGTAGCCGCTCTCATGCGTGCTGAACCCGCACTGCGGGCTGACCGCGATGCGCTTGAGCGCCTCCTCGCGGGTCTGGCCGCTGCCCTCGGCCACAAAGTCCGCCGCCTGGTAGATCCGCCGCTTGATCTCCTCCTTGTCTTCCAGCTCCCGCAGCTTGGTCGACACCGCTCCAATCACCACGTACTTGTCCTTGGGGAGGAACTTGAGCGGCTCGAACCCGCCCGCCCGCTCAGTGTCGTACTCAAGATAGAAGGTGTTGACCTTGAGGTTGGTGAAGAGCTTCTGCGCAATCACGTCGTAGCCGCCCTCGGCGAAGAACCTGCCACCGATGAAGTTCCCACGGCAGAGGTGCACGCCGGTGTGGAAGTCGGCGGGCAACTTGCTGATGCAGTCGTTGTACAGCTCAATGTACGCATCCAGCAGATCATCGACCGTGCCAATGTTATCCTTGTCCTCGGCCCAACCCTGGCGGAACTTGTCGGAGCAGAAGTCTAGAGGAAGAGGGTGAGCTTCGAGAGACACAGGCAGGAAAGAAAAAGGGGGAACGGATTGAACTCACAGGCAAGACCAGGGTCGTCAAACTGGACATTCCTCAGGCCGGCCTTGTAGAGCTGATCCAGCTCGGCCTGGTACACCCTGGCGACATCCTTGAAGTACTCGGCGTCGTTCGCGTAGGCCTCCTTGGTGTAGGCACGGCCCTGCTTATACCTCATGTGGAACCACGCTGGCGTGATCATGGTAAGCTTGATGTTGGGCCACTCGCTCTGCGGCACAAACTTCTGCACCAGGCGAAGCTCGTGGAGGTTGGACTGCGACTTCTCGGGGCTGTGCTTGAGCTTGGATCCCGCAATGACCGAGTCGCCCGGCATGACCTTGCGCTCCGGCTCGATGAGGGACACGACGTCCGGGTGGTACAGGCGGAACAGCGAGGCGTCGGCATCCTGGAGCCGGATGGTCCCTTCGAACTCGTCCCACATGAGACCCCAGAAGCGCGTGCGGTTATACTCGCCGCTGGTGACGGCCTTCAAGCCCAGATCCTGCTGCAGCTTGACCACATGCCCGACGGCCTCTTCCTCCACTGCCGGGAGGCCCGCCTCCTCGGGGCTAACGCCCTTCTCACGGATGGTCTCCCTCACCTCGAGCAGCCGCTGGGGCCGCAGGAGGGAGCCCATGTGCTCGGCGCGGAATGGCGGCATAGTCGCGACGGAGCAGTGGAGTCTTGTGAGCCGCAGAAGTGTACTGTAGGAACTCTCCTCTCTCTTCAGGTCAGGATCGCTCTTGAGAGAAGTTGAATGGCGAAGAGTTCAGCTGGTAGGCGGAACGAGCAGGATTTGAAGATCGAAGAGAGGTTAAATAAGTAAGGACGACACGATGGCGGAAGCGGGGTTCCTTTTTCTCCATTTCCCCCATCCTCCAATTTTTCGTCTCCGTAAGGAGTATCCAAAGGAGGCGAAACCCATCGCCCTAGGACCCCTAGCGCCCTGGTCGCGCGCGCGGGTTTCCAACCAGTCAGCGGCCGGCGGCCATTCGGCATTGGTTATTCAGCCAAAGTAATCGTCAGCATCCGACGGGTCAGGCTCCATTGTTGCTCCGCATGGCACCGCGGATTTTCTAGTCCCTGGAGCAGCTCTGGTGGGTTGGCGTGTTTGGTTCGGCGGGAGTTGCATGTGGGCACCGCGGGGCAGGTTGCAATGGAAGCTCCATGATCCTGGCATCATCCGGGCAAGTGGGCCAAGAGGGGCAAATCTCGGCAGCGATCTGTAAGTTACCGATAGTTATTGTACAATACCATAAGGGGTGGTATCTCAGTGTAAAAACAGAGACTACTAGTACATACATCCCCTGTCATTACTGTTACCGTGTAACAGCTTGTAGAGGTAAGTTACGATTTTATACATTTTATAGGCAGTGCCCGCACCACCACGTTACCTCGCTGGTGAAAGATAGGTACGAGGAATTGTAAAAGCGCATATTCTTATGGATACATGGCACCTCTACTCAAGGAATGGGCAGGCCACTCATCCTATTCCGTACAACATTACCTCCTGGTTTCTCATTGGCAAGACAGCAGCGTTTGCGGCCTCAATGGCTTCCCGTCGCGCTGTGCAACGCGAACATAGGTCAGACGGCATTGGTCCTATTGGGCAGTAATGGTAATGAAATCGGTGAGGCATACCGTCACTGTGAGGTGCCCCGCATTGCGATAAGTCAAGCCGCCCAGATCGCTTGACGCCAACACTTATCCCGTCGATGGCGGGCCTCACTGCAGCTGTGCAGCAAGTATTGACGGCGGCGGCCACTGACGTTCTGGATTCTTCTGTGATAGCGGAAACCCGCATTGCTTCATGGGGAGGTGTTGAATTTGAATTGATCTGGCTGCGGGAGCTCCCTCCATGCTTGCTCCCTTCATGCTCCCTTCTATCGCTGAAAAGTACGGGGGTCGTGGCGGCCTGAAAAGGAGAGCCGCTCCTCCCTCGTGCTCCTTCCTGGTTGCTGCTACCTATCATGCCTTGCGCAAACGTTCCAAACATCAGCTTGCGCAACAAGACTCCCTACGAGGCGCTCTCGCCTCGAGTTCAAGACCCAAGTTCGGTCTGAGGTCCTAACCTCATCGTGCCTACCATCCGGGCGTCGACCCCCGGGGCGTCCTTTCACAGTTCTCAGAGTGCGGTGCAGTTCCATGCCATTGTATGACGTTGTACTCAAGTTTGAGTCAAACTAGACCTGCCGAATCGCAACTTGACCAAACCTCGCCGTTTCCGAGGCTTTCCAAGGCCTCGTCTGCCGCCCCTTTCTCACCCCCTCGGTCAGTCATTCGGCTCCGACGAAATGGAGGTCTTTATGCGTAATGTTTTGCCCCGTCTTACGGATCGGTCGTTGGAGACGCAGCTCCAGCCGCTTATGGAGCGACTCCATATCACGGACTACATGGTCGAGAAGGCGAAGGGCAAGCACATTGGAAATATCACGTTCCGCCACAAAGCCGATGGCGTCCGGTTCCTGCAACACCACAGAGAGATCACCATCTTGGGATCCAGAGTTGTCTGTCAAGAGAGCAAACGGGCGGTCAACGAACTCACACTGAGAGCTATTGAGCACAAGGCCAGCCAACGAATCCAGAACGAGACTGTCCCGCAAGAGACGGTCAAGACTTTGGCGGCAACCGAGCTGAGCTGCGGCTACTACACCTTCAACGACAAACGGCTCACCTTCACGGCTGAATGGACGGCGAACGAGAGTTGTCAGCTGAAGTTTACCAAGCGAAACCTCCTCGTCCGCTTGACCGGACGAGACGTGCAACTCCGCATGCCCTTCCAGAGCATCATTGAGCTTGTGTGGTGGCACGACGGCACCGTAGCCGTGACCCTCTCGTGGGCTCCGACCATTCTAGCACCAAAATCCACGGGAAATGACGACATCACAACGCGCTTCTCAATGTTCACCATCCGCCAGCAGACCCCCGAGCGCATGAGACAAGTGGCCATCGACCAGAACCATCAGCGCATCGTGGCCACTTGTCTGGTTTACTATTTCAAAGTTCCCAACGCCATCACTCGGCATGCCAACAGCGATTTTCAAAGCGAGATATCCAGGATGAGCTCGCGACAGCTCTTCCCTGTCACTCGCTATCATCTCGGGTTCGAGCATGCACGCCAAGTGAGGTTCAGCGACGCTGCGGCAACCCTGCAATCCGAGCTCGCCGAGTACAATCGCGGTGACTCGCTTCCTTTTGACCTTTTGTTCCTACTCCACGCGCTACTGGCAAACGGTTATCTTCACCCAGCCACGATTTCCGCTCTGGCTTCGAGACTAGTTTCACGCTTCGCAGCAGCCAAGAAGGCCGAGAGCCAGCAGCCGCCCGTGTCAGTCGACGCCTTCAAGAAGCTGTTCGACTGGATCGACTGGCCGTCGCCCGAGGGCGACCCGGGGATGTTCGAAGTGGACGGTATCATGGAATATCTGGAACAAGCCGAGCAGCTCGTCCGGCAAAGCCGTGCCGTGAAGGAAAACCAGTTTGATGAAACGCCGAACCGGGCACGTATCTTCAGGGCCGTTGTCACCCCGACGCGCGTAATGTTTCACGGCCCGGAGCTGGAGCCCATGAACCGCATTCTCCGCAAGTTCCCGGATCACTCGTACTTCATCCGAGCGCAGTTCTGCGATGAGAATGGCCAGGATCTCTTCTTCAATAACACGGTATCTTTGGATTCCATCTATGAGCGGTTCAAGGCGGTATTAGTGAGCGGTGTCATGGTGGCTGGCAGGGTCTACAAGCTCTTGGGCTTCTCGCACTCGTCGCTCCGCGCCCACTCGGCATGGTTGTCTGCATCCTTCGTCCACCAAGGCCAGCTGCACATCCCGGAGTACATCGTCACGGGCCTCGGCGACTTTGAAAAGATCAAGTCTCCGGCCCGGCGCGCCGCCCGCATTGGGCAAGCCTTCTCCGAGACACCGTACGCTGTGGACCTCGACGAGAACGCCATTGAGGTTCGTGAAATACCGGACATTGAGCGGAACGGCCGCGTGTTCACCGACGGTTCCGGGAAGATCTCGCCCGGTGCCGCCAAAGCCATCTACAACGTCATACCGAAATCCAAAGGATGCCCAACTTGCTTCCAAATCCGGTGGGCGGGCGCAAAGGGGATGCTGGCTGTGGACCCGCGCCTCGTGGGCAACTTGATATGCATTCGTCCATCCATGATCAAGTTTCCGAGCAATGATAAACAGCTTGAGATCTGTGATATGGGCTCCAAGCCGATCCCGATGGTTCTGAACCGCCCGCTGATCAAGATCATGGAGGACATGGGGGCGCCAAGGGAGTGGTTCCTGGAGCTGCAAAGCAGAGAAGTACGGCGACTTCAAGGGTTAACCGCCTCGGTGTACAACACGGCGAGTTTCCTCCGCGCGCAGAGGATCGGCGAAAGCATCCAGCTTCATAAATTCCTCCGCCAGACGGAAGCTATGGGTCTCGACTACCGCCAAGATGGCTTCCTTCGGGGAGCGGTTGAGGCAATCCTTCTGCAGGAGCTTCGACTCCTCAAACACAAGTCCCGAATCCCCGTCCGGAAAGGCATGACACTCTTTGGCGTCCCGGACGAAACGGGATACTTGAAGGAAGGACAAGTATACGTGACCTTTGATAAAGGTGACCGCCATTCCGAGCCTCCTGGATCCGGCCCCGTAATTGTGACGCGATCACCCGCAATGCATCCCGGGGACGTCCGGGTTGCTTACAACACGATCCCGCCCAACGAGCATCCTCTTGTTCACTACCGGAACTGCATCGTGTTCAGCACGTGGGGCAGTCGAGATCTCCCCAGTCAGCTCGCTGGAGGCGACCTCGACGGCGACACTTTCCACATCATCTGGGATCCCGAGCTGGTTGGCAGAGTTAAGACCTTTAGTCCAGCTAACTACCCCCGAGTCGAGCCGTTAGAGTTGAACAGGCCAGTGACGTCCTCGGATTTGGCAACCTTCTTCTTCGACTTCATGAGACAGGATTGCCTAGGCCGGATCTCCACTCGGCACATGATACTGGCTGACCAGCGGCCGGCTGGCACCCTGCATGCGGATTGCATCAAGCTGGCCGAGCTCCACTCTTCTGCCGTTGACTTCTCCAAGACGGGGCGGCCTGTCTCAGTGAGGGACCTGCCTCGGAGTGAGAAGTGGCGGCCCGACTTCCTCGCCCCCGGCCCGCAGATCACGATCCACAATAAGTCTGATGTTGAAGTGCTGAACCAACACGTTGCACCCCAGAACGATGAGGATGACGAGGACAACGACGAAGGACCTCGGTACCAGTACTATCGCTCCCCGAAGCTCTTGGGACAGCTCTACCGGGCGGTGGACGAGAACAAGATCTGGGCCGAGGACATCAAAATGGCAATCCGAGCCGGGAGCGCTTCGTTCTGGGACCAGCTTTTGGACGCCATCCACCAGCGAGTGAGCGCCATCGGCCCGGTGGAGTGGCAACACCGCTCGGCCGAGGCGCACAGGATCCGTTACGCGTAAGTGCTTTGTCAGCCGTAACCCTCTCTCTCAATGACCATCTTCTCTGACCGTCTCTGTCTGTCACACAGCTACGAAGAAGACATCCACGGCACCATGATCGACGGCGCCGACCACCCGCACCAACCGCTAAGAGAGCTGGAAGTATTCGTCGGCTTCATCATGAACAAATCCGGCGTCCAGACACACCGGCAGCGCGACCGCTCCGTCAAGCTCAAGGACGAGTTCGAGCGCATCACGACCTACATCGCGCGCGAGATGCGCAACCCGGCCTCGGTCAGCGGCTACACGAGCGAGCTGGACGCGCTGGAGCTCTGTCTCGCCTGCCTGCACGTCGCGTGCCAGAAGAAGGAGGAGGACAGGGACCTGCGGCCCCGCCATCGCAGCTCGGCGCATAATCTCGAGAGTTTCAAGATTGTCGCTGCTGCCACCCTGCTGCGCGAGCTCACTGCCCTGGAGAGGGGTACCGTTTCGGGAGCGGGCCAGGCGTATGCCTATGGTGGTGGTGGCAGGCCCAGTAAGTAGGGGGCCATCAACCTGATCGGCGCTGCAGTCATTGCTTGAGCATGGCTTGGATTCGGCTGGTCATTTTGTCTTCGGTTGATCAATAAGGTGCCTTACCAAGGGGCCATGGAAAAAACCGTACCTCGGTCTCACAAGTGTGCGGCACCTTATAAAGTTTCCTTTTTCCTCTCAACCAGCACATACGACCATACCTGGTAGAAAACACGGGATCCCGTCCGCTCTCCCTTAGTTAAGCTACCAAGGGCCGAACCAGTACTCAGGTGGGTGACCACTGGGGAATCCTCGGTGTTGTATGTTTTTTTTTTTTTTTTGCTCCATCGTCGGTCTTGGCAGTGGAGTGTGAGTTTTTAATATCTTGATTCATTTTATGTCCGGCCGGCCCGCCAGTTTCGCTTTGATTACTTGATTGCCATGCAATGCACTCTGATACGACGATTTTGGTCTTCTTCGATGATATCTTGTTTCTTCTCTTCTCTGTTCTTCTCTTCTCTGAGTCTTTCTTCTCGCTCTCCTGACTGTGATGGGACGGACTGGCAATGGCTCAGGCAGGGCTTTTCATATAAGTACTAGGTAATGCGCGAATAATGGTCTGGATATTTCTGTGTTCGCCTCTACTGTGGACTCCCATTCTTCTTTCAAAGGTGTTCGAATCCTCAACGAAACGGGTGATAGGCAGTTTCCCGACTGTGGTCCGTTCTTGATGTATTTCGTCTCATGAGTTATGATAAGGGCAAAAACTACGAGCTGTTTCTTAACCTGTCGAGTCCCAATCGATGCTTGGCCTTGGTTGATTGAATTGTAACACCGTAATAAATATCAAGCGTCCTGAACTCCAAGGTGGCAAGTACGAGTAGGGACCCAAGCACTTGCCGACACCTCGGTGCATGACTCTAACACAGGACCTGCCAAATTTCGGCCTCTTGGCTTATGGTTACACATAGGAATCGACTACATTCACATGGGCAGTTCTAGGTTCTCTTCGTCAGTCTCCTGTCCTTGTGATGTTGATACTAGTGATGCGTATAAGGCCAATGAATACGAGGCACGGCCTAGGTACGTGATATGTCCCGACAATGAGAACTCAGGCCAGACATATCATTGTATATGGCCGCCCCCATCGGCCTCCCCCTCGACTCTCTCCTCCTCCCCTTTCCAGCTTTCGTGCCATCCGACACTCACCTCCAAGCCGGCCAAGACAGGACAATTCTCCAAGCTGCTGCGTCGAATCGGTCTCGCAGGCAAAGCCGGTAAATGTATTTTGGCTTCGTCCTTGTGGGGGAATCCTGCTCGGAATCTATCTACACGACAGCTAGTATAGACTCGGACCTGGATCTTGCATTGGACGTACTCAGAGCCTCTCCTTGCATAAAGCCAAGGGGTGTACGCCCCTCCAAGCGAGTCGTTATTCACCACTCGCTACTACTAGGCCTGTATCCCGGAATATGAGAGCTACTACTACTAGTAGTAGTTAGTAGCCGTGAGCCGGGAATGATCCAACCCCATGTCACCCTCCCCGACCGAAATCCTGGCAATGCCGAGGTATCCCTGACACGTCAGGAGTAGCCTGGTTTTGGAAAGAGTGGGTAGTTCATTCAAGATGGCCTCGTTTGTGATCTGCGTCGGGCGGGAGGATCCGTCAGGCCATCCATCAGACCATCCATCATCCGGGCTATCTATCCTTTGTCTCGGCTTCGGCCAGCTCCGCCTCCAATTCACTCAGTCAGTGCTGCCTAGGAATTTGTACCCTCCTCTCGGCAGGGTTGGGTTCGTTATTCCTCCAGGTCGAGGATGATGTGTGCGCTGGCCAAATCTCGGAAGGCGAGTCCGTATTTACCAGGAGCCGGGTGTCTCTAGACCGCAAAGGGGATTCGCGAGGCCGTTGTCTGTGCTCAGCGTTCTCCCTTCTCCAGAGCCCACTTCTGGACTGGCCTGTATGGTAGATCAGGGCGGGGGGCAGAACCGACAAGATCGAGAGCCAGTCGGGGAAAGGGGCGATGCTCCCTTCCGTCTCCTTGTGGATGCAGGCCTTTTTCCTCCTTGGACTCGCCGATCTGGACGACACGGTCGAGCAGCAGCACTCCCTGGAGGAGGGGCTGCCGCTCGGTTGCTTTGAGGGCCAGAGTCGCCGGGGTGCGTTCCCCCCGGGCTCCGCGAACCTCTCTCGTACCCAACCATGCCGAGGTCCAGGTCCTTAGCGCGGGACCGGTCCGGGACCCCACGAAGGGAGATCCGGTAAGATCTAAAAGCCCTAGCCGTCGAGCTGGGAGAGGAGGAGCAGGCCATCAGCGTGGTATAGTATCTGGACTGCAGCCAGGGTGTACGTTTCGGCAGCGGAACGGCCCCCACAGACGGGTATCAATCGCGGCTTCCCCCTGACGTAGTTCCCCTCAAGGCCGAGTAGTGCGTACACCAAGCTTGTCGCGACGGTCTGAGGATCGGAACCTGCGTACTCGGATGATAGCGTACGTAGCGGAGGGAGAAATCCAGGGGTCTCGAGTTCATCTTGCTGTTGATGTCAATGTAGAAGTGGCTGGGGCGTGGTGCAAACACCCGGCATCCGTCGGGTCATGGACACCCGAGTTGAAGAGACGCGACCAAGGTGTATTGGTCAAGAACCTCGACGTCGCGACGACCGAGCTCCATCCAGTCCACGACATGTCCGCCACATATGACAATAACCTTGCCGGCCAGCACCACCCACCTAATGGATGATCCACGCACGCGTAAAGGTAGCTACGTCGCCAGAATTGTCGAAGCGCCTCTCACGCCACATCGTCGTCGAGGGGCCCAAGTATCCCTCTAAAGCCTGGCAGTTTCTGGTTCCATGGGGTACGGTTTGCGAGACGATTCTCCTTGCTGAGATTTGCAAACGTCTTCATTAACTACACAGAATCTCCCGCGAGCTTTGCCTCTAGTGATTGCGGATAGGTCCACATGACTAGGGCAGTAGCAAGGTAGTGGAAGGGCCGTCGCCATCGGGGGAGGCCCAGTCTCGTCCACATTGTGGAATCGAAACGGAACAGGAGGACAATGTTGCCGGCGAGGTTAACGAGGCGGAAGTACATGTTGAGCGCGAACATGGCCAGGGTGGCTTGCGTCGCCCTGGGGACAGGGCCGCCGCTTTTGTGTGAGATGATGTCGCCTGCGACGTAGTAGACGGGCGGGATCCAGAGCGCCAGGATGGCCAGCTCGAGAAGGAGCGTGTAATGGTAGGTCCGCCGCGAGGTGTCCCGGAGGTGCAAGAAGGCGAGGCAGATCCACATGAGGAGGAAGTTGGTCTTGAACGGGGTCGGGTCAGCTAAATACACAACTAGAAATCATTACACACACCTTTACTCGGACACATTGCACTGTAGTAAAAAATATAAGAGGAGACACTCACCACAGTCGGCGCAAACACCAGCACGCGATGGCGAAAATACCGCCACGCCAGCGCAGCCGCCACGATCCCTAGACCGAACTGCAGCCCGCCCAGCACGAAACGAAACACAAACAGGGCGTGGTGGTACCGCCTGTAGCACAAGCGATGCATCTGGTCGCGCTGCGAGATGACGATGTGATGGGAGCGGAAGCCGAGGACGACGGGGAAGCCGCACCAGCGACACACCAAGACGACGTCGGCCTTCGCCATGGGAACCCTCCTCCCGACGCGGATGCGCGGATCGCGCACCTTGATGGCGCAGCCCAGGCAGAGGCTGGCCAGCGCGTACTTGCACACGGATGAGGAAGGGTCGCAGTCGCGCGGTCGAGGTTGGGGTTGGGGTGTGAGGAAGATGGAGCGCCACGGGTCGTGGACCAGGCATCTCTTGCAGTGGCGCTGCAGTTGGGCGTCCAGCCAGTCGGCGCCGACGAGCGTGCTGATCTGGGCCGGGCTGGCCAGGTGGTGCAGCTGCTTGCATGTCGTGCTCACGCGGAGGATGGCGGGGAAGTTGAGGTGCTGCAGGATCATGATAAGAATCTCGGGCGGGAGGGTGAGGAGGTGGAGCGGGCGCCGCTTCGGAGGTTGCGGTGGCCTTGGGGGATGGGGGATATTGTTATCGTCCTCGTCCTCGTCGTTGTGGTTGATGTCTGGCTTCTCCGTGCCAGGGCCTGCCACTGCTAATGCCGCGGTGACATCCGTATCGGGGTCTTTCCTCGCCAACGGCGAGATCGAGTGTCGCACCGTCTCGGAGAAGTCATGCAGGGATTGGCCAATGAGCTCATGCATCAAGTGGCCGCCCGGCGCCGATGGCTCTGGCGGTAGTCGTCCTGGGTCCATCTCTAGGTCTGGAGCATGGCCCTTATCATGATCCAGAGTGAGCGCCATGCTAACGCTGTAACGCAGCTCAGCTCATGTGGCAGCTCCACGCTCTCCCTTCCTTTGGTGTATCGATAGTGTATGTAGCAGAGTGAGAAGGGCCGTTGTGCACCTTCTCAATTCCAGGTTGTCAGCACAAAAATCTGGCCTCGAGCTTTTAGAAGTCTCCCTAACATGCATCGTGATCATTATCTGGCGCTCACTTACAGCCAGTCGTGTGGCTTCAATCAATGCTGCATCCAACAGCCAGATCCATGCCAAAACGGGGGGTTGGTGATGGGTGATGCGGGGCACTCCGGGCCGAGGGATCGGGCAAAATCCTGTGGGTTAGGTGTTGATCGGTTCTGGGCCAGGAAACGTCATAAGAGACTCACTCGGTGCACAGGGCGTGGCGAACTGAAGCTGAGCAGAACAATTACTGGTAGCGGTTATTACGGTGTTGTTATATTGCAATCACCACCCAGGTACCCGAAACAAAACCGATGATGCTGTGATTGTTCGGCTACTCCGCACGGGCACCATAAGCGTACTGCATGCAGTCAGCCTAAGAGAAAGCCCATCTCTGTCCTAGGTAAACGCGATTGGCGGGGGCATCTCCCTGACATTCATCACCTATCAGAAGGGCAGATGAAGATGCGCAAGTTCCTTTTTGTGCGAGCTGTAGAACACAGTGTCTTCCATCTCATTAGGCGGGGTGTCTGCCCAAGGCGGACTTCATGTCCCGCCTGATGTGATTAAGGTGAGAGGAACCTGCACGTGTGCATGTACTCGTACATCAGGTTACAGGATCGTTCTATTAATACATTCCTCTTCTCGGAACTGAAGGACGCGTACCGTGCATACCCTCCTTATGCCCATTCATTTTGGTGGCGGACAACCTCATATCCATCATTGTCTGTGACGGACCCGTCATAGCCAGTGAACTCAATCGACGGAACCATGACTGCATCCGTGGGTGAGATCCCCTGGCCCTGCACCGCCTGCATCCCTGATGCAGACGGGACCTGCAGGTGCAGATCCGGCAACCGCTGCTGCTGCCCGAAACCGGGCATTGTATCCCAGCCATTGTACGACCCGAACGCAGCGGCCTGGGGAACATGGGGCGAGAAGTCGCCCGCTGCCTGATCCGAGAGCACGGAACTGGTGAGATCCACCCCGGGATTGACTGGTGCTGGCCCGGTAGCATGTGCCAGCTGGCGCTTCAGTGTATCCATCTGGTTGTTGAACCCCATGGGGAAGTGCGGCGGCGGCGGCGGCATTGTGACAGGTTGGCCCCCCTTGCTGGTGGGAGGGACCCAAGGAGGGAGAAGGGACGTTGTCACCAAACCACCAACACCGGCTGTCGTGGAGCTGGCGTAGCTACTGATCGATGGCATATACGGCATGTGCGTCTGCGGCTCGGCCGTCAAGAGCAGCTCCGAATTTCCCAGTATGCTGGCACTCTGAGGAGTGGCAACGTATGGCGAGGAAATGTTGCTGTCGGAGAATCCCGAGCCTTGGCGCCGATGCTGCGCAGGAGTGAGCCGCGTCGAGCTCTGTCGGCTGGGCAACTCGCGCGGTGTCTGGGGACGAACAATTCGTCGGCGGCCTCCCGCGGCACCGCCTGTCTTCAGCCGGCACTCCTCAAAGACGGAGTGGATGTGTTGCTGGAAGATGTCAAACACGAGGTCGACGTCGCTGTCCGACCCTATTCCGTCTTGGATGCGTTGCCGCAGCTGGCCGACGCAGTTCTCGCTGTTGAGCTGCGCGTATACCTCATCCAGCTCCGTCGGCGGTATGAAGTCTGAACGACTCTCGTCAGCTCTCAAGCTTGAAGGAGTTGACAGAAACAGGGGGGTCGTTGCGGCCACTTACCGGGCGTGCGTGCCTGCGGATCCTGCGGGAAGAGAAGATGCCAGAGACCCTCCCAGCAGTCGATCTTATTCACTGCCTTACGGTCGTTCAGCGTGTCTTCGATCGAGTTAGTGATGCCATCTTCCGGATCTGCACTCGAAGCCGCTTGCTGGGGGTTGCAGATCTGAGCCTTGTCCACAGCCAAATGCTCTTCTAGCGCCGTTCTCGACCCCATGTCCCGTCTGCACCGCGGGCAGGCGAAGCCTGAAGTCGCCTTCTGCTTGTGGCACTGCTTGACATGGCGTCTGCCCCTGGTTAGATGACAGCGCAAAGGGTTGGGAGTGGGGCGAATTCTACCTACTTAAGCTGAGGGATATCCGGAAATCCCTGAACGGCACAGTTCTGGAAATCCCGGACATTGAACCTCACAGGGTTGCGCTTCCGGAACGGGCAGCTGTACCGCACTGAGTCCGACTGCTTGTCGGACGGGCGTTGCGGCGAGACCTTCAGGCGCTTGCCGCCGTCGGGGGTGTCGCCTCCAGAACCACCACTAGGGCCAGCACCGTCGCGGGCATCGTTGAAGCGCTTCCGACCGCTTCCCCTGTTCCCGCTCGCTCCGCTACTTCCCCCACCGGCTCCCCCGTGGTTCGCGTCGCCACCCGCAAGCCGGATCGGAGTGGTGGCAGACCCCGCTCCGCCGCGGGCCGCCTGGAATGTCCCAATACCAGCGTTGCGGACGCCACTGTTAAGTACAATTCGAGAGAGCTCGTCCAGACAGTAGCTGACCGACTCATACGCCGCCGACACTGCTTCAATGGACGCGAGGTCTTTGACCTGAATGCCGAACGCCTCCTGGAGGACTCGATCACACAACCCGTGTACTGTGCTGTCGTCCGGCTTGGGAGTCGACCGCCCATCGTCGTCGTCATCATCGTCCTCCTCCTCACCACCATCATCATCGCATGGGTCTGATGCTTCGCTGCTGCTTGAGCTGGATCGCTCAGGGGCACCTGCCGATGGCACCGGGGTACTAGAGGTGACGGCCTCAGGTGTCGCCTGTTCAGGAGTTGGCACGTCATCCGCTGGCTCTGCTTTACCGCTCATCTCCGGCTCTTGCACGTCTCCATCCCCTGCCGCTACTTCCTCAATCGTCTGCCCCTGTGTCTGGGGATCGGAGGAGTCGGAGGAACCGGAGGTGTCAACCGCGGAGGAGTCAGGCTGATCGCCGTTCAGATCGTCTGCTGGCCCATCACCCCCTGAAGGATCTGATGGCCTCAGAGCGGAGGGAGTCCGCGTCTGGTTGGAGGCATCCGATCCCGTGTTGCTCCTGACACTCGGTCTGGATAAACCGATCTGTTCCGGCCGCCCGTGTCGAAAAGCTGGCGTGTCTGGCGAAGAGCTATATGGAAGCTCCGGCGCTTTGTCTGCATCGGAGCAAGAGAGGGGTGGTGGTGCACGGAACGGCAACCTCTTCCGGAGCGGGATCGCGGCAGGAAAGAAGCCGCTGCGACGAGGCGATGACGGGTAGCTTTCAGCTTCACCGTCTAGACCTTCGTCAGCGAAGGCTGCGTCCGGGCTGTTGAGATCCGTCAAGTCTGTTGCGGTGGATGCAGCGACAGACCAGTCGGTATTGGTTCGCCGTGGATAGTAGTCCGAGACGCTGCTGTCAGCAGTGTCCCGCCTCTCAAGATGGCAGTCCTCGGTTGCGTCCTTGTCTCTCCGCACGAGTGGCTCGACCCATTCGATGGAGCCGGGGCGCGAGGAGCCAGATGGACGCGTTCCCACAGCGGACCCTTCAGGCCGGCCATCGTTTTCTCGCACCGTAGCTTCCCCGCGCCCGGCCGGAGGGCGCGAGGCTGCGGAAGAACGGTCCATGAATCCAGCCGTCGACAGGGCAGGGCGGTGTTCTGTGTCGTTGATATTCAGGCGATCTTGGGTTCGCTGGTTTGGCAACCGCTAGTAGCACGCAAGCGTGAGACGGCCGAGGCAACGGACCACGCCAAGAGGCTGGTTTGCAGGTTGATATAATGGTTGCTACATGACAGCCAGTGCGCGAACCAGCTGCCCGACGGCTTAACAACCTTCCACCTCCTCGCGGGCCCCAAGGCTGTAGCATGGGCTGTCTCGGCGGGGCATGTAACTGCACTGCCGCCCGCCAACAGGATCGACTGGACCAGTCATCTGCAAGGCGGCGGCGGTGGTCGGCCTTGTGGCCTGCTGTTGGTCCTGCGGCTGAAGAATCAAGGGCAGTCATTGGCCCACATGAGCATTGAAACACCCTACCACGGCTCGCTCCTCAGCGTGTGTAAAGTTGTGTAAGCGCATTGCATGATTGGGGCATCCACAATGTGGAGTTGATACGGTTCTCCGCGTGAGGTGTGAGCAGTCAAGCAAGGCTCGTCGTTATTTAAGTTACCCAATCCGGGAAGTCGAGGCTAGCCTTTCGCATTAGAAGAGGTTAAGACTGTCGAGAGGAAATGTCATCGGTTGAATTCCTGAAGCGTGCCGAACGTCTGTGATCACACGAGGTCCAGTGCAGCTGTTGCGATAAGGAATGTGTCGATCGAGGACAACCGGCGCTCAGAAAATTCATTGCACCACCACATGATGTGACTGTTGCCCAAGTTGCGGTGCTGCTGGTGTATTTTGGTGTCTTTCTCGACTTTGCCGCAGGCAACCACCGCCATTTCCGGAAGAAGGACTCGCGTCTCGAGATCGACTTTTGTCTTTTTGTGTAGCCGGGCTGTGGGTGGGACTTGCCGAGCCACACTTTTGCACCGCCATAGCACTTCGAAGTGGGGCGCATCTTCGGACCTGGCAGGAAGGAAGTGGCAACCTCACATTGATGATGCTCCAGATCAATCCGCCGAGCATCTCGAAGAGCGTCTGTACCGCCGCCAACACTTTCCATGTCAGCTTGGGCGGGCTATCTTGGTGATACCAAATTGTTTCTCTAGCATTCTTCGACGACTCTATCTCTCCTCGACTGCCGGAGAATGCGCCGCACAACAATGCAGCGGCCCGCCTTTGTGCGTTACTGCTCCGCCCAAGGCTGCCAGACCGTCCTCGAGGACATACACAGTACAGGCAGCTGTTGCTGGTGGCAACAGGCTCCGCGGCCTTCCCTTTATACACCAGTCTGACCGAGACTGCGGTCTACTACTGGATTCACAGGACCGTCCCTGCCGTCCTCTTCGTCGTGCTTGGTTTGGGCAGCTGCTCCCTCCGAACTGCACACTCGGCTCCTGCAGCCAGCCGTACAAAGCCAAGGCGGGGCACCAGAGTGACAAAGGTCGCTCAAGCCTTTGCTGAGTTTGCTCAGGCTCAGAGGTACCGATGTGCAGTCCGTGCCCCTGTGCTGGCGCGCCGCGCAACAGCAACCTCGAATACACGTTAGCAGTTCTCTGAATTTTTGCCTCGTCAACAACCAACAAACGGTGACCCGAACACAGCTCAAAGCCATCTCGCTTTCCACCACACCGCCCCAGATCTCCCAAATCACGCCATCAGCGCCGAGCTCGCATATCACCAGGGAGAATATTTTCGCGAATCGATACTATTCTATTATCTTTCTGAACACATTCGCCGCGCAAAAACCAGTAACCAGTATATCTAAGAAATGGCTGGCGGAAAGGGCAAGTCCTCGGGAGGCAAAAGCTCCGGCGGCAAGACTTCCGGGTCAGATGGCCCCAAGAAGCAGCAGAGCCATTCGGCGCGCGCCGGTCTGCAGGTATGTTCAGTCGTTGACGAGTTTTCCTTTGCATGTTATCCTTGCGACAGCCTCGATGCATCCAGCGTTGTTGTCTGTGTAACCTCCCTCCACCGCACGCGTCATCCCTACATTCTTCGCAACCTGGTGTTTTCCACCACCACCACAAACAACGACGATGGATGTCAGCGCCGCCACCACTATGCAACGCCGGCGCGACGTCCACAGGCCAGGCTCGCGTCGCCTGTGACAGTCCCATAACACCAAGCGACTTCTGCCGCGACGGGGTTGGGGAGCCCCGCACTGAACTTCGCCTTGGACGCGCCAGACAATGAGCGCGCACCTGGTCTTCCTCTTAGTTGCTATGTTGAGGCTAACCCAATGCGTCCAGTTTCCCTGCGGCCGTGTGAAGCGTTTCCTCAAGCAGAACACGCAGAACAAGATGCGCGTCGGTGCCAAAGCCGCTGTTTATGTCACTGCTGTACTGGAGTATCTTACCGCTGAAGTGCTCGAACTGGCTGGGGTGAGTCTTGATTACTATACTTGCATCCTCGTCCTGTTCATCAGAACGCTAGCTGACCCCTCTACCTCCGTCCCAGAACGCTGCCAAGGACCTCAAGGTCAAGCGCATCACCCCCCGCCACCTTCAGCTAGCCATCCGCGGCGACGAAGAACTTGATACCCTTATTCGTGCCACCATCGCCTTCGGTGGTGTGCTACCGCACATCAACCGAGCTCTTCTCCTCAAGGTCGAACAGAAGAAGAAGGCCAAGGCCGCGGAGGCATAGGGAAGCCGCTGAGCCGGTTCTACATTTCTGGACTATTGCAAGGCTGAAAATGGCGGGAAATTTCCGTACTCGTTCGTTTCCGTTGCGACATACCGAGCCGTACCCTCGCTCGGCGTTAATCTCTCGTTTCCATGTCGAGGTGCGCCCGAATCAGGGAGATTAGCTGTTTCCGGTCGGGCACTTCTTGCGGTACCTGCGACACTCCGTCACAGCCGATGCAGAGAGGGTGAGGAAGAGTTGGGTTGGCGTTGGTCTGGTTTTGAACTCGTTGGCGAGAGTTCCGTGTTACGGATTTGTCTGACTGAAGCACGTCGTCGTGGTATCGGAATGGTGTGCTTTCGCTTCTATCCAATGAGGGTGGGGGCTCACGCGTGTATCAACACAGTATTGTCTTGTCTTGGGGTTATTGAGGGGAGCAAAGGGTGCCGCTGGGGACTGGAGCAGAAGAAGACATGCCTATCCAAGCTACACACCGCCTTGCGATTGATTTGAACATCACACCGCCCCCTGCCGGGGCTTACACAGGGTTATCATTAGGCATGTCGCGCGCGGCTTGGCTCAATTATATCAACAACAACGGATATTGAAATGTAAGGCTACTACTGACCGCACTCTGGTTGCAACTGGCAACCGGGTCCACTGATTTTATCAAACAATATGGATGGATGTAGATCTACTTCTTGGCTATTTCTCTATCTCTGCTTCCTCCTTGAGCCTTTCTATGAGGATTACCCGTGTGCTCTTTCCTCGGGACCGCGTCTAGCCGTTTCCTTTTCTCTTCTGAGCAGCTAGATCCTTGGCATCTTTCAACCATCTCTCAAGAGATGTTTCGCGTGCGTAGCGGCACTCGGATGGGAAGTCGCAGTGGACGAAGCAACTGAGCTTCTGTAGGACATACATGTCCTCCTTGCGGCGGGCGACCTCGTCACGCTCGGCCCTCGGCCGTAGCCGCCACGAGTCAAGGCCTGGCGCCCTGCCCCTCTTCTTCTCCGGCCTCAGTTCCCACGTCGCGAAGATGTAGTCCCTGGCCTCCCCCTCCTCCTTTTCATCGTATGGTCGCTTCCTCTTCTTATTCTGAGCGCCGCTTTGTTCGGCTTCTCCAATTCCTCCTCCTTGTCGGATGGCAGCAGCGACTGTGCGGCGGTATGAGCCCCAGGCCGCCCAGCCCGGGTAGTCGAACTTGGGGGTGCAGACCTCGTCCCAGTCCCAGTCGGGCCTCTTTTTGCGACGAAAACGGCGGTTCCTGCTCTTGGGGAGACAGTACTTGTGGCCGCAGTTGAAGCAGCGCCGTGTGCAGGCGAGTAAGTATTTCCTGCCGCACTCGTGGCATTTCCACTTCCATTGGGACGGAGGGTCGGGCGGTGGGGGGAGGGCAGGGGCAGGGGCAGGTGAAGAAGGGGCTGGAGCTGGGGCTGAAGTTGGGTCTTTGCTTTCAACCGCGCTCTCCTCCTCCTTCTCATGCTCCTTTTCCTCCTCCTTCGCCTCGTCCTTGCCTTCCTCCTTGGGTGATGGTGATATCTCAGGATGCTTTTCGGGCGGTGGGGGGGAGGCAGGTGAAGTGACTCCTGGGTCTTCGTTTACAACCGCTCTCTCCTCCTTCTTGGCTGATAGTGATGTCTTGGGGTGGGTTTCGGGTGATTGTGGGCTCTGGTTTTCTTCTGCATTTATGGCCACAGCTGGTGAAGGGGCGATATTGCTGTCCCCGCTCACCAGGGGTTGTGCAGATTTGGATCCCGTTGACCTTCTGGTTGACTTTCTGGGTGAACTTCTGGTGGACCACCTTCGGATCGACTCTTCGGTTGACTTTCTGGTTGACTCTCTGGATGACCTTCTGGTTGGATCCCTGGTTGAGGTTCTAGTTGACTTTCGACTCATGGCTATCAACTGCTCCGCTAAGAGAGCACTCAACAGACCCGCGGTATACAATAGAGACAGGAACTTCAGGATTTCAATCCATGTTACCTCCATTGTGATGAAGGTGAGAGACGAGCTCAACTTTATTGTGCCGGTGGGCGTGAGAAGCGGCAAGAGCAGCACAAAGTAATAGCGAGCGTCACAATTGCTTGTGTCGGCGCTCAGAATATAACATTGGATTGTCTGCCACGGCTTTTTATATCCGAAGATACGGTTATACGCATCCGCCCTTTGTTGTTGGAGCTGTCTCTCTATCCTTTCACTGTTCTCTCCAGGAAATTACTCATTGGCAACATGAAAGCTGTTCTTTGAATGTACAGACAGACCACAGTACAATGACCTCACAGCACAATGGGCGCTGTGTAGGCACAATCAAAGGAACCAGGACAACGCTCCCCTGATCTCCCTGTGTCTGTCGCTAGGGAGGTGTCTACACCACCAGCCGGGTTTAATGAGATTACATCGTGCAACGAGGGACTAGTAGTTCGAGCCCGAGTTTCACAGGTTTGCTTTAACCTGGTTGCCCTCCTTTCCTCTTATTTCCGCTGCTTGAGCTGTGCTAATAAAGATATTAACAACCATCCAGGGATTAGAAAGACGGCGGATTTTCATGCCGCCTAGTATAGGCAATGCACAATTTCCATGCAATGGCTGTTCCCCGAATGATTTGGCTGGCATTTGGTGTTAATCACACTGGAGTGTATAGGTATGTCATGCTGCACAATTTATGTAAAACCAACATACACCTCTTTCCTGGCACACCAGAGGATAAGGTACCTATCGTCTAGCACAGGATTGTGTTCCGTAACGGCCCTGCGGCCCTACCGGGACCTGCCTACCCTTTACAGTGTGACGCCTTATATCTAAATCCCTTCTCACAAAATCGAAGATGATTTTGCTTGGGCTTGTTATCCGTTTCGGGATCGATACATAAACGCCACCAACCATGGGAGAGGGACAGGAGGACAACCTGGGTGGCGAGCCAACGCTGCGTCGCTGCGGATCCATTGCAACTTGGAGTTGCTGTCTGGCGGCCAGCTTCAGCCCTGTTGGCTGTCAGCTGGACACTAAAATCTGAGGTCGTCCACTGAGCGGCCCGTTCCTCGCAGCACCCCACATAACGCTGGCTCCGGGACTGTCAAAGCCTGACCCGGACAGCTCAACTGGGCAGTTCATCAGCGGTCCCGGCTCTATGGTCTGCAGCCCATGCAGGCACATGCGATCTTACGCCGCGTCAGCGCCGACACCCTAGATTCCGCTATGTTTCAGGTTGCAATGAGAAGACGGTGACTTGAGCCTCAACTTCAAGCTGCTCCCAAACCTAATACGTGGACACCTGAGGCAACCGATGTTGATGAATGATGATTCATGAATCGAGTTCTCGCAAATGGGATGGAAGCCCCCATGACCGGAGCGGAATGGTGCGGGTGGGGCACCTGACGCTCCCCCTTTTGGAGCCTTGGGCGGGCAAATGGGGGGATTTGATTTTCTGGTTGGGTCAACAGCGGGAACCTTGGGATCAAACAATCCCAAAAATTTGCTCTACTATTCCGTCCACTACGCAGCATCATTGTTGCGCTGCATCGAAACGCCCATTATCCGGGGAGTTGCCTTCGCAATCGAGTCCTTACTTGCGGGACTCGACTGCAGCAGCGCGTGGAAGAAGCAAACCATCGACAACAGAGCCGTTTGCCCCTGTCAGCCGGTGCCCCGTCCGCGGCCGAAGACATATTAGCGAACCTCTATTGTGGAGCTCATACAAAAAAGGGTGTTGCTTGCAACAGACCGCCCTCCTTCCCCCTTCAGCTTTTAATTGGCACTCCAGCTTCGCGGCACCCGCCGCATCACCCTCTCTTTTCCCCCAACTTAAATCTCCAATCGTTCTTCTCTCCAATCTCGCTCCCCGGGTGTCTGCGCACCGCTTTCACGACATCCAACGAGTAGCAGACGACGTGATGACCTAGAGGCATTCCAAAACGCACACGCGCAGCATTCGCGGCCCTGTCTCCGCCTTTTTGGAGACATCTCGGAAGCGAACTGTGGAGAGTCCTTCGTCCCTTATTTTTTTGCCCTTGTCCCTCGGCGCCTGCAGCTCTCCTACAGCAACCGAAAAAAGACGCCCTCTCCACCCGAAGATTCTGCACGTAGAGTATCCCGCTTCGAGGAGCGGCCACCAGCAGGCCTCGAAGACCTCGACACGTTCTCTTCGTACGGACCTACTGTCAGCTGTCCCATCTGACCGAGAGCTTCGGACCCGGCCTCGAGACTAGGACAAGCTCGAGTTCTGGCCCCTGGGCTCGATTTTTTTGGTCTACTCGGATTTGGATGCGAACAGTAGCTTCGATCATCAATTGCTCGTTCCGAATCGCCCACGATGAATCAACAGGCCGATCTCTACTTCCCGCCATACGCGATGAACACGGCAAACCGGTCGCCCCGCTCCTCAAGACCGGGTTACAACACCACAACTGGTCATCCAAGCCTCAACCGTTTGGACCAGCGGCAGATGGACCCTATCGGGCAAGCGCCTGCCGCGCTATTTGCTACCGATGATCGCTTCGGCACGTATGACGCCGGCGTCTTCCGGCAGAACAGGATGCAGCCCACGCCAGGCTTTGCTGCTGATGGCTTCATGGGAAACTCGCAGCCATGGACCTACAATTCCGGCGCAAGCACCGTTACCGGAGCTCTGGGTGAAGGAAGGCTTCGCCCAGGGGCTCGAAGAGCAGCAATCCCGTCGGTTGGTCGTCCCAGTTTCTTTCCTCGAGCCTATGAATCATTCTCGCTAATGTCTCACTCAACCCAGGAGTGGACCATGGCCGAGCAACCCGGCCTCGGAGCCCAACCCGCTCTCTCCGTGCCCCCGGCCCAATACTCGACCATGCCGAACTTCAACCCGGCCATGAACCTTATGAACGGCGACGGAGTCTTCCCGGGCGATCGTCATGGCTATCCGACCGACATGTACGATCCTCGACACGAGCACAAGACGCTGGGCAACGATTTGATCCCCACGGCGATCGTGATCAAAAACATTCCGTTCAACGTGAGGAAGGAGATGCTCACGTCCATCATGTCGGAGTTGGGCCTGCCGCAGCCGTATGCGTTCAACTATCATTTCGACAACGGCATCTTTCGCGGGCTTGCTTTCGCCAATTTCCAGAGCCCGATCGACACGCGGACCGTGATCGAGCAGCTGAATGGCTACGAGGTCCAGGGCAGAAAACTGAGGGTCGAGTACAAGAAGATGCTGCCCGAGCATGAGAGAGAGCGGATCGAGCGGGAGAAGAGGGAGAAACGCGGTCAACTGGAAGAGCAGCACCAGCCCATAACGCTGCACTCGCAATCATCGATGCATTCGCTCAACGCTGCGCACAGATCAGCATCTCGGAATTCGCCGTTGCGTAAGTTAGGCAAGAGCGAACCCAGGAGAGGCGCGGCTACTGATCAGCATACGACTGCAGGAGATGTGGATTTGAACAACCCGGATACGCTGAGCTTCTACACGGAACTGATGCTTTTCAAGAGTGATCCCAGCCGCGAGATCATCGTTTTTCCTAGCACCATCACTCCCCAGCAGCGGCGGACCGTGCATATCCTGGCACACAACATGGGACTGGAACACCGGTCTGTGGGCGAGGGCCAACACCGACAGATCCATGTCATCAAGGATACCGGGGCCACACCGGCGATTCATATGCCTCCCGGTGTCTCTGCCGATGCTCATCGTCGGGGCTTGAGCCGCGCCGCCACCATTGACTTCGCCGAGACGCGGGGAAATGCTCCAGGCCAGTTCAATACCCTGGGCAGGCAAGGCCGGCACGGCCCAACGTTGGAACTTCCTGATAGCCCCGACGGTGGTATGAATGCGTTGCGTGGCGTCAAGTCATTCGCGGACCTGCGCTCCTACACCCCAAGCCCGTCCCTTTCGACCTCGGGTTACCCGCAGGGGAGCACCGTCCACGCCCCGAACGTGGCTCAGTATGGCGAATACAGCGCCAGCCTCGGCCAACCCAGCGCGTTGACAACCCCGACTACTCCGGGGACTTCATCGAATCATGATCCGTCCATGCTGGTCAACGACCTCGCGTCAATGAACCTGGGCGAGCCGTTCAATGGCGGCCGGCTGCGCCCTCGGGAAACCCCCGGCGCGATCGGTAGCCAGCGGCCGAGCTTGAACGGAAACAGCACGCGCAGTGTGCCCGAACGCCAACCCCACGGGCCGAGCGGCGATTGGGGCGATAATATGGGCTTTGCGGGACGGAGCCGGACCAACGGTCACAACCACCGGGGCAGCGGTATGTGCCCAACGTTGTCTGGATCCGGATTTGGAACAGTAGACTAACCAATCCCGCTGCAGACTCATCTGACAACGGAGTTCGGACGACGTCTTCCTCGGCGTCGAGGTTTTAGTGGGACAAATTTCCCACTTCCCCTGCCGCGGCGATGAGCCTCGGTGAGGGCGATCGTGGCAAATGCCACGGCGACTCAAAGGACCCCTCCTCCTCCCACACCTCGTGGCCAGTCTGCCGGTTCCCGCGGCCTCCTGCTCCTGGCCCCAAGACTCGTCCAGCTCCGCACCACACACCGATTTTTCCGTCCTGTCCCAGCTGTGTGAAATGCCTCGGCATCTTTGATGCACGCTGCTCAAAATTACCTGTTCAGAGTCCCTATGTCGGGCAAACACCTGTCGCCTATCCACATTTCAACATGGACTTGAGGTCAGCAGCCTGAATCAGATGCAGAGCCGCATTCACACGCAGTCGGATAGCATCTGGCCGAGTCGGCCTCGCCGTCGTATATGACGCTTACGCACCCCGAACCTATTGAGCTTGTAATATTTTGTTGTTTTCTCACAAGCAATTTGCGGATTTCTCTTGTCCGTCCCAGTCGCGTTTTCTCGTTTTTCGCCTCGGGAGTTCCTTTCCCCATGGGAACAAGAACAACGGAACAACGGCGAAGTATGCAATGGGTGTGCAATTAGCACCTTTTCTCAACCACGATTCCACGGGTTCAGTCGGCCGGGCTACCAAGCCTTATAATGCCCTCGATGATGACGACTACCGGATACCAACACAAAGAACAGACGAACGAAGATGGAGAACTAGGGTATACACGGACATTTTACACCTCGAATGGGCAACCATGGATCACCACCCAAGCCCTGGTCGGAGCTCGCCGAAGCCTCTTGCACCACACAGCATCGGCGCAATTGGGCCGTTCCCTCCCTTTCAATCTCTCTTTCCCAGCCTCTCACCTGGCTCGGGCGCCGAGAAGCAGGGATACTTCGCCAGCATATCACCAGGCTTTATGAATGTTACGGTGTTACGACGTCACGTCCTAGAAAGGCTATGACACATCCTCCCTCTCGGGGTCGGCTTTACACCACACCTCTGCCACACCGCTTGTAGGGAGGATAAAACAAGAAACGAAAAGGGAGAAGGCGCAGTCGTCGCAATGAAATTTCCACCACTACGTAATACCGCCCAAAATTCACCGACTCCTAACACCCATCTTTTCTGCATCAGATCAGTTGCCTCGACAGGATCCGGGGCGTGTGTTGGTCACAGCAGGCAGGAGGGGCGACGAACGAGTAATATCTGAGGAGAGATACAAAAAGTTATGTTTGTCCTGGTTGACGTATCTTTACTCGATTGCTGTTTGCATGGTTGCTCGCGCGCCGGCTTGGGCCGGGCGGCACCTATTACTTTAATATATTTGCTTTTCTGGGTACCTAACTTATGTTGCCTCACCGGTTGCCTATTTCTGACTTCACGTGATTGTCATATGGTTCTGGGCATATGTTGTGCTGGTGACGGGGGTGATGGGCTGATACTGTAACAGGTAATATGCTTTGGCTCTTTGGCTCTTCCGCATCTTCCAAGGTAAACAACCCCACTACTGCATAGTAGCACATGAGGCTTGCCTCACATATTTTTGAATGATTGCTTCCTGGTAGGTCAGAGAGCCGAGTCTACATTTCTTGGCACAAGGACGAGGTGTGAAGAAATGTGGTTGTATGTTCCTGGCATCAGGGGTGACTGCTGATGAGTCCGACGGGATCCGATGATTTTGCTTCTTTTACATCTACTTCAGTTCATCATACGGAGCAATGGCTGGGGCTGAAACTCGGTCAGTGGTTTTGGCACCCACACATTACTACCGAAGAAACTCCTCCTTGCCGTGCGTCCGGAGGGTGTCATGCACCACTTGGAGCACCAGGTGATGGACGCTCCTGGGTGCGGCCACAAAGCCAAAGTTTGCGCTGAGCTTCCGCCCCGCGGCTAAGTCGATGTCCTTGCCGTGGACATCGGTGACCATGCCGCCGACCTCCTCGAAGAGCAGCATGGCGCCGGCGTGGTCCCAGATCTTGGCGTGCCGGTCCCGCTTCTTGTACACCCAGACCGTCATGTTGGCCGCGCCGAGCGCCATGACGGCCCACCGCGGCACCCAACCCAGCAGGTCGCAGCCCGGGAACGGCACGCGCAGCGCCTCGGCCACGGCCTTGTGCACCACATCAACGCCCGAGTCGAGCAGGGCCCAGCAGGTGGCGGAGCGGAGGCCGTCAGGAGAGGTGACGGCATCGGCGTGCCGGGGGAGCCTGCGTGGTTGTTGTGTTGCTTCGCTGCCGGCTTCGTCGCCCAGCCGTAGCAGAAGCGGTCGCACATAGGCGCCGTGGCCCCGCACGGCGTACAGGATGCATCCTCTCCCCGTGGGGTCGATGGAAGAGTCGGTCACGGGAGCGGTCGTCGCGTCTACGTCCATGGAGAGCAGCGGGCATGCCACGACGCTGAGGACCTGGCGCCCGCCCTCGAGCAGGGCGATGTTGATGGCGTACTGCTCGCGGCGGATGAAGGTCTTGGTGCCGTCGATGGGGTCAAACACCCACGTCCGGTTGTTAGGGCCCGTGCCGGAGCCGGAAGAAGCGTTAGGGGTGAGCGTCGTGGTGGTGGTGGTGGTGGTGGTGGTGGTGGTGGTGCAAGAATCGATGACATCGCAGAGGTCGTCGCCGTCGCGGAAGAGGGACTCGCCGCAGCACTGGGCAAGGATGGCCAGCACTCGGGAAAGCAGCTTGGGATTCTGCCGCAGCTCGTCGGCGGACTCCTCGCCGATGAAGCCGTCCTGCGGAAAGGCGTGGCCCAAAGTGCGGGTGAGGAGGGCCTGGATGGCGAAGTCGGCGACGGTAACGGGGCTGAGGTCGTCCTTGACGAGATCAAAGGTCCCGGTCTCTCCTCCTCCTCCTCCTCCTCCTCCTGCTGCTCCTCCTGCTACAGCGTCGCCGGCAGCCTGGGCACTGGCCAGCGCTTCGCGGCTAATCTCGGCGGCCTTCTGCACCGCCGCGATGGCAGCCTCGAGCTCGCGGTGGTAGGGGCTGTCCATGGCCCTGTCCTGTTTGGCTTGTGTGCCGTTGACCCTGATTATCCGATACCGGATTTCGGAAGAAAGCGACGTTTTCTTGGCTTGTTGATGAATTAGATTGAAGATGTAACGGAGGCAAGACGGGCCAAGTAACCACCCAGGATTCTTATGTGATAGGCAACGATTCTGATTCCACTAGTACGATGGGGGTGATTCTCACCGCGTGAGGATTGAGGACATGAAACTGAACGCTATGGAAAGTTGGAGAATGGAGCGAAGAAGTGGCCGTCATGAGAAAACAGCTCCGCAACCAGGACCCACTTGAGCGTGGCGCCATTCCACCATCAGTGATCACGGCCGATCATTGACTCGAGAAGAAGATGAGAGCTGCATTGATAGTTGAATTTCCATTAGGTGCGGGAGCAAGCATGAAGCTCAGATAACTACTAGTACACACCGCACCGTGATCGGAAACGCTCATGAAAGACATGGACGGCATAACAACTCGACTACCGATTCACAGGACTCGGCTGAGGACTCATTAATAAGGGAAGCACCTGGCCACAGACCAACAGTGCCATCGTTTATAATTACAACTATTAAGCGCTCCCCAGCACCCGGCTCACCATGGTGCCGGCAATTGAAATCGACATTCTCGTCGTTTGAGACAATCATATGCTAAGCTCGGCTTGGAGGGAAGAGAGAAGGTGTGATCACTTCGAGTCTACAATTGAAGAGTTTAGTTTCTATATTGAGCCGTCTTAGTGCGAGGCATGGCCATGCTGATTAACGCGGCATGTCAATCTGAACTGTTGTCAACGCAACATGACAGCAACATGTGGTAAGGTCTTCTAGAAGAATCAGAAGATACGGAGCATCTGTCACTTGTTCATCTACATCTATCCCTGGCCGGATCGTCCAAGAGAAGGTTTACTGTCCCGACATGACGCGGCCAGCCTGACCTAAGGGGGAAGGCGAGGAGGACGGAATCAAAGCCGAAGACAACGGCAACCCGGAGTTGCCGTCCACGTCCACAGCCCCACGCATGCCCAACTCCAACTCGGTCCGTCTTTTGACAACCTGGAGATCTTCCTGCCAAATCTGGGAACTCTTCGATGACAGACTGCAACTGCCATGTGGTGGGATACCATCAGGCAGGGCTTGGCGACTCGGCATCTGCTGGAACGACTCAGGGGCCGTGAGTGCTCACAGCTCATTGGGGGTGATGGTCTTCGGTTCTCGGCCGACTGCCGCCATGCCGCTTGTGTCAAGTTGTGTTGCCATTTTCCACCCCGGCCACTACCATGTCGTATTGGTATTGGCCATATACTCGAAAGGCCCGAAGCGGCTGGCGACGGGCGAACAAGGTTCGACGTCGTAGATGGTGACGGGCCACGGCCACACAGTTCTGGCTACCGTCACACACAAAGCGACGCTGCTCGGCAACCCCAGACCCCAGACTCCCCAGAAAAGACATCTGACGAGTCATATCCACGTTCCAGAATACAACCATCGCTGGCTAGGCGGCTGTCTATGCAAGTACCTATGCAAGACGATACGTCAGTTTGTCGGGCCTTTACCGCTGCGTCTTTTATTGTAACCAGCCATGTGCTTCACCAAAACTTCTGGAAGCAACAGAGGCGACCAACGAAGGGGGCATGACCCGGGTGCAATAATTAACATATTGGCGGTTGGGGGGGTTGGATGGGGCTGCGTTTTACCCGGAGTGGTCCATACGCACGCGCCGGGGCGAAGTAGCAACGAACACAGTCACTTCCGGAGCTCCGGCAATTGTCGATAGATGCGGCAGGAGGCCGGACCCCATAACGGTTGGCAGACGGCTCAACACCAATCGTCGATATTATAGCCAAATGAGAGAACACGCTCGAACCTGTTCCGTAGCATCGGCAGTTGCCCAGTTTGCGGGCGCGCCTGAACACTCTGCGCCTTGCCACGACCGGGTCATCGCCAGGTCTCCAGGGGATCCCCACGGGGGCATGGCGCCCGATGGAAAGGAGGAAAGGAAAGCAACCCAGGCCGCGAGCCGTATAAGTGCCCGGTGCGACATCGTCCACCCTGCCTTTTTCCTGGTTCTCGCCGTACTACCTTTTTTTTGTTTTCTTCAGCGCCGTCGACTTGACTCACGAAATCAATACGTTCTTTGCTTGCTCCTCCGAAAACCACAACGGGTCTCGTTCCATTGTGAGGCGAGAGTGTCCGCAAGAGACATATATAAAAAAGCGGGAGGGAAACACAACAGGAAGGAAGCCAGAACATCAACCACGACATCAATACCACAGATCACACCGCAGTTGAGGACTTCAAAAGTCAAAACCTAGGTCAAGATGCACCAGTGGGCCTCGCTCGCGGCAGCGGTCGCGCTGCTAGCCAACGGCGCCACGGCACAGTTCAACATGCTGCGGTTCGCGTGCTCGCAGCTGGTGGTGGACCGCGTCGACCCGCTGGTCAACCCGGGCATGCGCTACACGCCGCACCTGCACCAGATCGTCGGCGGCAACTCGTTCAACCTGACCATGACGCCGGTCGAATTCGACCTGGCCAAGCGGTCGACCTGCACGTCGTGCACCTTCCACCAGGACAAGTCCAACTACTGGACCGCCGTCATGTTCTTCAAGCATAAGAACGGATCCTACCACCGCGTGCCCCAGACCGGCAACGGCGGGCCGCAGGGCAAGCTCGTCAACAAGGGCGGGCTGGACGTGTACTACATTCCCAGCGGCAAGGTGACGGCGTTCAAGCCTGTAAGTTTATTTTACTTTTATTCTTTTTCTTTGCTTTTTATTTTTTCTTTTTCTTTTTCCTTGACTAACAACCCCTTTTTTTTCCCCAATCCCAGGGCTTCCGCATGCTGGCCGGCAACGCGGCCAACACGGACGACAGCAAGGTGTCCAAGGGCAACATCTGCCACCGCTGCTGGACGTCGACCAGCGAGGACAACTTCGTGGGAGGGGCGCCCTGCACCGGCTCCGACACGGTGGGCATCCCGCAGGACACCAAGTGCAAGATGATCCGCCAGACCATCATCTTCCCGACCTGCTGGGACGGCAAGAACCTCGACTCGCCCGACCACAAGTCGCACATGACCTACAGCGGCACCGGCGCCTCGGGCGGCGGCAACTGCCCGTCCACCCACCCGGTCAAGGTGCCCCAGGTCATGTACGAGCTCATGTGGGACGTCAGCCAGTTCGCCGACCGCAGCATGTGGCCCGACTCTGGTCCGGCTTTCATCTACAGCATGAACCTTGGGTATGTTTTGTCTTTCATTTATTTTTCTTCCTCCCCCCCCCCCCCCCCCTTGTTTATTCCGTTTCCCCTTCCTCCTGTATTTTCTTTTCCCCTCTCTCGTTGGCTAATAACCTTGAAACAGTGGCTCGGCCGCCCACGGCGACTACGTCTTCGGCTGGGAGGGAGACAGCCTGCAAAAGGCCATGGACAACCAGTGCAACCTCAACGTCGCCTGCCCCCGCGCTGGCCTCACCGTCCAGACGCCGGATCAGTACAGCGCCTGCACCATCAAGCAGCAAGCTCCTGAGCCCGTCGACGGCTGTAAGTTCTTCTCCACATCCATCTTGCCTATACCTCGGACAGAACGAGATTTCTAACACGTCTGAACAGGGCTCAAGGCCATGCCCATGGGCGAGATGGCCGTGCGTGCTTAATTCAGGGCTCTTATTACAATACTATATCCCCCGGGTCGGCGAAGGAAAACGGAGATGACAGGCACGCCACCCACTTCTGCTTCGCCGTTTACTCTCTGGCAAGCAACGCTGCCCCGTCAAAACTTCAGGTTTCTTCTCGGTTTCATCTTTCTACCTGAGACATCATTTCCATTCCCTCGGGCAGCATCGCTATCTCATACACCAACCAACCATGTACCTAGTCGGCTAGTCCGTCACATTCCCATCGTGAAGAAGAGGGTATCCTTGGCGTCGTCCTTCGTTCATGGTTTCTCTCCTCGCATGTGCTGTCATGTCACTATCTATCTGTGTCCAAAGGTTAGACGAGTTCGACTCTTTACCTCCTAGGGCTCCCAAAGGCCGTCGGCAGAGTGAACTATCCACCAGGCAGGCAAGCCCCCAATTGTAGAAATACTGCACCCGGTAATCCTAAGAAAAGGCATCACCAACAGTTCTAGTATCTCCTTAAGGGTGTGAAGGATCGTCCCCGGGACCATGGAAACCGTGACAGGTAACACAGGGCACCCTTCTTACATACTCTCTGGAGCAACGGTAGACCGGGAGGAGTGCCACATGCTGTCCGTGAAGATACCAACTGGTGCCTCCCAACACGCAACGATAGTTGAGGCAGACGTGCCTTGGTAGAAAAGAGAGGTTATTAACGTATGTCTCAAGACCTACTAAGTAGTTAGTTAGTTACTGGTATACCCTCACTCAAGTAAGTTTAAGCAGAGTGGAAGTGGCGGCTTGACCGAGATACTTGAGGTTTTATTAGTGCTGTATTGACATGAGGAAAAACGAGCAGTGCAGGGAGACCGGGAGACATTCTATATACATGGCGCTCGGATTCACTGTCTCTGTCAGTATACGGAGGCCAAGCATGAACAAGAGCCATGCACAATAGGTCCGTCTGAAACTGCTAGTACTAACTGCATGTGCTTTCATCAAGAAACAAAGGGGAGAATCAACAAGCGCCGGTTCGGCTCATCATTCCATTCAGATTGCCAGTTGTATTTTGAGTCCAAGTACTACATTAGGTCAACATCAGCATAAATCAACGAATCGTCCTCATGTACATTCCTGCCAACGATGCACCATCCTAATACGCTTGAGATATATACTACAACAGCAGTCGACCATGCACCATCATATTCTCATACCCGCGGTACAATCAGCGCTAGTTGTTAAAGAGCACTGCATTGCCAATTCGACCAAACCAAGCCCAAATACCCATCTGAATAAGTACCTTAGGTAGGCAGTAATTATCTCTAGAACCTGGCCCTGCAATCTAGGTAGGTATACCCACTTCCAACCCTCACTTCCTTAGATAGATAGATAGTCAGATGGGTGCAGCATAGCCTGGGCGGAATGAGCCCTGCAAGCGAAGTCAAGCCCCTAGGTAACTTCCTCTCAACCACTGCATTAACCAACAATTTGGAAGCCATCCAAATACACCCAATTCCCCAGGAGAGTCAAGAACAACACACACAAAACCCACTCAAAACGCAACCCCCGACGCGCGCCTCCCGACTGTCTTAAAGCCATAACTCATCCACTGCCCGTCGCTGGCCAGCGTGTCAAACCGGCTGACGCCGCGCGCGTCGCTGTCAAGACTGGTGCCGAACCCGCTGAAGTAGTAGCCGATGACCACCACAAGATAACTGAGCAGCAGGATGCTGCCCTTGAAGTAGTTGCTCTTGCCCTCGCCGTACATGTAGCTGAGCAAGAACACACACAGGATGACGGTGACCATGTCCCACTGCGGGAAGAGCAGACTGAAAGTGTAGTGGGCGACGTCCTGCGGTGGGATGGCGGGGGAGAGCGTGCGGACGGCCGAGAAGAGCACGAGGGCGGGGATCTGCAGGAGGCAGACCTGCAGCGCGTACGCGGAGCCGATCTCCATCGAGAGGGCGATGTTGCCGTTCATGGCGAACGAGATGGCGTTGAGGAACTCGGTCGTGTTGGGCACCAGCGCGAAGAGCGTGATGCCCAGGAACTTCTCGTCGATGTCGAAGCTCTCGAGCACCACGTCCACCGTGTCGACCAGGATCTCGGCGATGACGGCGTACAGCACCGTCGCGCCCATCAGGATGATGGCGCTTTTGAGCCGGCTCCAGTTGGGCGCATCGTGGCCGCCGTGAGCCTGTGTACTTCCGGCTGTCCCCGCCGTCTCCTCCTGCTCCGGGAACAGGGCAGCGCTACGGATCGGCCCAGAGCGGCTGCCAGGTGCTGACGTATGGGCCGCGGCCACCGTCGAGATGGAACCGGGCGGGCCGCGTCTGGAGCCCTGGACGTTTCGTGCGGCCACAGTGGCAGCCGTCGCCGCGATCTCGGCAACCTGCTGGACAAGATTGCTGTTCTCCGCTTCCGATAGCCCGGGTATGCTGATGGTTGGGCCGCTGCGCGAGGTCTCGGTGCTGCCGTAGCTTGGGGGCTTGGGCGGCACTACGTGTGGCGTGCCGTTCACTCCTCCACTCCCAATAAGCGGTGTGCTCTGCCGCGATGGCTCGTCCGACCGGGGTAACTGGCCGACCTGCCTGAGAGACTGACCTAGGATGCGCTTGTAGAGGTGCGAATCCCGGATATCGGCGCCGGTAGTGTCGCCGACGGACGGATTGCCCGGGGGGCGAGGCGTGTTGTGGGGGGTGATGTGGTCTTCATGCTTCTTCTCCTCAATCTCGATATTCCAGATGACGGCGGCATGAGTGCGCAAGGTGAACCAGAGGCCGATGATATACGACAGAAACAGCATGCTGGCGGCCATATAGCAGTACGGGCGAACCGCCTGGAGGTAGAAGCGGTCGTTGAGAGCAGGCGTCTGCGAGAAATAGCAGCGTCGGCAATCCCGGAGAGCCCCTCCGCCGACATTGGGCTGGTCAAAGTTGGTGCAGTCCTGGCACGTTAGCTCGTGAGTACCGTAGATCTGGTAGAAGAGCGTTGGGCCGAAAGCCCCAATGACAGCGAAGAGCAGCATGGTGGAGGTCACACCAGCTGACTTGGCGTTGAAGCGCTGTGTCTTGCGCTTGATGGCTCCGAAACACATCGATAAGCCGGGGAGGAAGAGGATACCGGCAAAAATACTGCCAACGATGCTGCCTTCGACGAGCTGACCCTTGCCCTGCTGCAGCGCGACGCAGTACAGGAAGACCTCGACAACGGTGGAGAAGAAGGCATTGATGGCCGCGCCGAGTCCCATGGATGACTGGGCTGAGATGGACGCCACGGCCTGGCCGATGAAGTAGGCAAGCGGTATGATAGACAAGAGTCCCGAGACGAAGAGGAAGGCGGGCGAGGTGAGGAAGTTCTCGAGATGTAGAACCCCGTCCAGGACGAGCCAGTCAAAGATGACAAAGACCACGACGGCCATGAGGTTGATGAGGAAGATGTTGGTTCCGTCGATGGTGTACTTCCAGTACTTGATGCCAACAGCCCGATAGGTGCAGACTAAGATGGAAGAATGCGGCGCCGTCGGCGCACGAGCAGAGACAGTGTCGGACTCGAACCACAGAGCCAGGGGGTGTCGTCGGAGGTGAGAGAACAGGAGCATCGTAACCTTGCCCATGGGGATCGAGAACACCAGCAGCCAGCAGATGCCGGACACGATAAACAGGGAGGGTGTGATCAGGAAATAGAAGAAGGCGAAGAAGATGGCGCGGCCAACATTCCATTCTCCGCGTCCAAACAATCTCCGCTTGTTCCGGCGGAAGTGGTCATCGAGCGCCCGCCCGCGTCCTCTGCCGAGCAGGCTCTCAGTCTCGTCCGGTTCCGAGTCGATACTGCGCCGAGACCGCCCGACAATGGATCGGCTTCCCTCGGGCCCAAAGAACAGACGCCCATACTCCAGGTCTCCGCTCTGCCACTGCTCGTACTCGCTGATGCTGCGACCCTCACCCTCGTCCTCGTCCAGGTAGGCTTCCTGCTGCTCCAGCCGGACAAACTTGCCACCAAAGGGATAGAAGAGGTAGCCCGACAGACCCCATAGGACGCGGCCATACTCACGCCCTCCGGGCGCGGCAGCAAAGAGAAAGCAGATGACGGCACCCACGAACGCGATGAGAGCCATCCACCAGCCAAAGGCAAACGTCCACAAGAGGTTGAAGAATAGCAACCAGTTGCTGACATGGCCCCCGGGCGACGAGTGGATATCGCCCTCGGCGTTCTTCTGCACCGATCGGCTCTTCCTGTACAGCGCTGGCTTCCACAGCCTGATGCCAAACGGGTGCGTCTGATTGATGGCCTGCTGGCGGTCCTTCAGCGTGAAACTCTCAGCTTCGCTGACCTCACCGTCCTCGTCCACCGGCGGCGAGTCCTCGGCAAGGTCATCCCCCGTTGTGTTCTCGCCAGTCCCGTCGGTCGGGTCGCTGTCGATCTGGTCGACCGGGTCGTCAGGTCCTTCGGCCGTACCATCGTTGTCGTGTGACGAATGGATCCTCGAAAGCGCGGGTGGTCGTCTCCGGAGTGTTGACCCGTAGTTCTGCTGCCTCTCTGCGGCGTCGGCTTCGACCTCGGCGATGCCATCGTCGACGGAGAAAACCTCGCCCCGGTAACTCCGGCCTTGCGCACTGGAAGATGCGCGACGCGTCATGGGCGGTTTTCGAGGGCGCGCTGGGCCGCGCTCGGAGCTCAGCCCGGGTGAGCGCGAAGGCCCTTGGTTGGCTCGCGGCACGAGTAGTTCGGGACCGGTGGACTCGCCTCCAGAACTTGCGGGAATCGGACTGCGTATAGATCCTGACGGATAAGAGACGAGGAGGTTAGCCGCCACCTTGCAGAAAACTCCCAAAACAACAACACGCGGCTAAGTCGCGAGAACACACCTTCCGGCCGCCTGCGCACAGTGTCCGTTGATTGGAAGCTTTCCCGGGTACGAGCATCGTCCCGAGCGACGGCGGCGGACTGCGAAGGTCGTCGCGTCTCGGTTGGTGAGGGATCAGCGGGCGAGTCCCCGTCTGGCCGCGCGGAGGGATCCATGGGACGGGACGGGAGGGTAGTAGTTGAAGCCGGATGGCCAGGCGAGTATTGTTGTTGAGAGCACTGCTCTGGTGTGCGGATACCTCAACTTCAGTTTGCAGCTTGTCTGGGTCATCAACACAGAGTTTCAGGACTGGCGGTCGCTGTCTTGAAGCGGATGCAGCGAGCTGGCCTAGGCATGGTAGTTGCGCAGCGGGAAATAAGTGCGCAGAGTCGGCTCATGACCGACCTTGCTCTTTTGAGTCCGAGTCGCAGAGGGAAGTTGCGCCGTAATGGATTCCAGGATGGATTCGGGAAGCGACGGGAGAAGCAGGGCAGGGTAAGTTAGGTGCCGCTATCCAAACGGTGTCAGCACCTCACCGCAGCGATCATCTGCAGCAGTGCAGCCTAATATAACTCTTCGACTCCACCTCTCCGATAGCACTTGTACTCCAGCTTCGAAGTACGTATACGGAGCACGAAGATGCGACCGATGAAGGAGGAAGGATTGCAAAAGGCGATGTGCAAAGCGTCTCCCTATCTTCTAAAGGCAATCATCCGTAACCATAATGGAAATTACGTGCAACAACGTCCGTGACGCGCAACATAAACTGCCCCAGGAACCGGGACTTGGGCGTCGATGTCGATGCAGTCGGTGTTGGACGGCTGGAGGAGCTGGTCGACAGTGGAGCTAGTGAAACATCCAGCGCTCCCCACGCTGGGCGAGACAGGATGTGACAATGGCGGGTCCAAATGCAGCAATGCTTGGCTTGGACTGGCCGCAGTTGGCCGTCGAAACAAGAAATGCCGGCATGTGCCGCACCTGGACGGGATCACAAGTACCAACAGTTACATATCATTGCATATTTCGTGACAGTGAGTGCACACGTGCTGAGAGAAACCTGCAGAGCAGATATCATCAACCTGATCCTTCCACTTCTCAAGTTGCAGGTGGACAGGCCGGGGTCGCATGTTCTGTCGTACTGCCTCATGACAGCTGACTTGTCGTGCCCGTAAGCCGAGAGGCTGCCTTGCTCGTTGAACCCCATCCATTTGTCGATATATCAATACATGGAGCTATTCGCACTTTTGTTGTTCCATACAGTCGCCTGCCATGCGTTCAATCCCCGAGGTTGTTGTTGTTGTTTATCGAGAAAGATATGCTCAGAGCTCTGCCCTCAAGCTACGTTGAATGAAAGCTACCGGGTTCGTTGGCAGTGACATCACACCTCCAGATGATTTGGGCTTTGAGCACACAGGCCACCTCTTATCACTATCATCGGGCTGAGATAACGGCAGTCACGTGAATGGAAGCCGCGAGCACTGAGCAGCCACTGGCTGGTCTTGGCAATCGAGGGCGTTGGCGGGCAATTGCGTGGACCTGAGCTGCCTTGTTGACTTCCGTCTCGCATCCCGCCGTCACAGCATCCAAATTCAGTATCGGACGGCAAACGCCGACACCACACTTCATTTTAGTTGCCGGCTCGCACAGCGACCACGAATTCCACGGAACACGGCTAATAAACCCGACTCCGTACGCTCGCCGCTCCCCGGTTCATATCTCGCCCCGAGAAAGAAGTGCCAGTCGCCGTCCACGCGCTCCCCAGCGACGCCGTCACCATGGCGCTCGACAACTACTACCACAACAAGATCGAGGCGATGCAGCTCGAGATCCTAAAGGGTCAAGCTGTGCTGCGCCGTCTGGAAGCCCAGCGCAATGACTACAACTCGCGGGTACGCCTGCTCAGAGAAGAGCTGGGCCTGCTGCAACAGCCGGGGTCGTACGTCGGCGAAGTGGTCAAAGTGATGGGTACGAAGAAGGTCCTCGTCAAAGTACATCCTGAAGGGAAATACGGTAAGTTTTGGGTTTTCATTATTAGCCTGCCTGCTGCCCGCAGGATCGATAATTGCCGAATTGTCCCCGGATGCTGATGATGTGCTCGCCCCCCTGCAGTGGTGGATGTCGCCGACTCGGTTGATGTCAGCAAACTCACAGTCGGCAAGCGCGTAACGCTGTTATCCGACTCCTACAAGCTCGAGAAGATCCTCCCCTCATCAGTGGACCCGCTGGTCTCGCTCATGATGGTCGAGAAGGTGCCCGACAGCACCTACGACATGATCGGCGGCTTGGATCAACAGATCAAGGAGATCAAGGAGGTCATCGAACTCGGCCTCAAGCACCCAGAACTGTTCGAGTCGCTCGGCATTGCGCAGCCCAAGGGTGTGCTTCTCTACGGGCCGCCCGGCACCGGCAAGACACTGCTAGCCCGAGCGGTGGCGCACCATACCGACTGCAAGTTCATCCGCGTGTCGGGCTCGGAGCTGGTGCAGAAGTACATCGGCGAGGGCAGCCGCATGGTGCGCGAGCTGTTCGTCATGGCACGCGAGCATGCGCCAAGCATCATCTTCATGGACGAAATCGACTCGATCGGCTCGTCACGGGTCGAAGGGTCCTCGGGCGGCGACTCGGAGGTGCAGCGCACCATGCTGGAGCTCCTGAACCAGCTCGACGGCTTCGAGCCGACCAAGAACATCAAGGTGATCATGGCGACGAACCGGCTGGACATCCTGGACCCCGCTCTGCTGCGGCCGGGCCGCATCGACCGCAAGATCGAGTTCCCGCCACCGAGCGTCGAGGCCCGCGCCGACATCCTGCGCATCCACAGCCGCAAGATGAACCTGACGCGCGGCATCAACCTGACCAAGATCGCCGAGAAGATGAACGGCTGCTCCGGCGCCGAGCTCAAGGGCGTGTGCACCGAGGCCGGCATGTACGCCCTGCGCGAGCGGCGCGTGCACGTCACGCAGGAGGACTTTGAGCTGGCCACCGCCAAGATCCTGAACAAGCACGACGACAAGGAGGTGTCGCTAGCCAAGCTCTGGCGTTGATCAGTACCCATCCAAAACGGGCCGAGGGGGGGTTGTGGTGGTTGGTGGTTGGTAGTGTTGGTGGTAGTGGTTCATTGGTGACCAAAACACAAGACTGCGCGATTGCATTCCCGTCGCCAACGAGGGCTTTTCATAGTCGATCCAAAAAGAAAAAGAAAAAAAAACATATAGTAGCAGATCGATCGAAAGTCACTTGGCAGAAGGCTGGACCATTTCACTAAAAGGTCGAAGAAGTGATACCTAGTCACCACCAACCTGCAGATTAAATTGTGGCCAAGACCGCATATATCTAGCAGTTGTACAATACAATACAATACCGGGCGGAGGGGAGCAGATCAGATCAGGGAGGTAACAGCAGACGATGGGGGACATGACCCCGACAACATGCCTTACCTGGTGAAGTGAAAGAAGAAGGGTCGCTCTGGCCATCGACATGGTGATACTGCGCGTCTTCCGTCCATGGCATGCTCTCTCTAACGTGGATCGACTGTTGGACTGTTGGACAACATGTGATAGTTCTAAGGTTTGTATGTACCTGACTCCTTAGCCATTGTATAGTACATGTACTCTTCTTTATGGAGCTATATCCAATACCATAGGGACCGAGGGTTCAAACCATGGACAGACAGACCGACAGACGAGACTTGACTTTTGCAAAAAACACACACCACGCACAGAAGCATTGCAGAGTCCCAAGCCATCAAGTTCCTAGTCCATCCCCCCCCCCCCCCCCCCCCCCCCTTCTCTCTCTCTCTCTCTCTCTCTTTCTCTCTCTCTTACTCTTATTTAAAATAATGGTCATTGATGCAGCAAACCGTTCCCCATGTATGTATTTGCGACCGTTTACCCCCCAGTTTGTCCAACTGTACAATAGTAATACCAGGTAGTACCCAGAAAAGCGGCAGCCGCGCCTCGCCCCAATGCCCCTTTCCATGACAGCAACCCACCCCTGTGCTGGACCATGCATATAAATAAATAAATAAAAAAAAAAAAAAAAAAAGAAAAAAAAAAACGATGAAAGAGCCCTCATTTGTGCGAAAAAAAGACTAATAAGAGAAGTTTAATGTCGCACGTCTGCCTCTTCCGCCCCTGGGATGGACCACACCAGCACCAGAAGAGTCCTGGAGCCGCCGGATCCATTCGAGCACCGTCTCGTAGCAGAGCACAAACTGGCGCAGGCTCTGCACCATGCTCAGTCTCTGGCCGCGGAAATCTTCTACGGTGTGCGCAATCAGGTCTATGCTATCGTCCTCCAGCCAAGTTGTGTCGATGTCCGGCTTATTTCGTGCCGGTCCGTTCGCCGTTCTTGACGCCCCGATCTCCTCCATGATGGTGTCCCCCTCACCATCGCACTCCCTTGACGGTCCAGCAGTTCCCGGACGGCGGGAAGCAGCAGCAGCGCCACTCCCGCCAGAATGTTGGTGTATCATGTGTAGTCTCTGGCGCTTGAGCATGTCGATGACGCTGTCGACGGTACAGAAGGCGCCTGTGCGGCCGCACCCGGCCGAGCAGTGCACCAGCATCGGCCGGGAATTCTCGCTCGACTCGGGCTCATCGTACCAGCTCACGGGCAGGCTACTCGTGTCGCTCTCCGCCCTTGTCAGTCCGGCGGGGTTGGTATGAGCGGTCCCATCGCTGGTGGCCGCGCCATCACTAGTGCCTATACTGTTCTTTCGCGACACAGATGTCGAGAGCGGGAGCGACGCATGCTGCATGGCGTTGGCCAGCTCGACGAGCGCGAGGAGGTGGCTGGGTTGCGCCGGAGCACCGAAATCGGGCCATGACGGGTAGTGGAGCTGCGTGATCTCGCGTATTGGAGTGAAAGGGTGTGCCGCATGGCTTAGCGCGAATTTCCTGATGATGACGAAGGGAGTCTCAGCGGGCGGGGCGGCTTGCGAGGCGAGGTGGTCAAAGGGGTTCGACGACTGCGCTGTGCCAGACTCCAGCGTGGTTGTCGTGTGGGCGCGTTTCCGGGCCACCTCGGGCGGCAAGGCCGCATCCGAAGCCGCGGTCGATGTGTGGGCCGAGGTCGTCGAGTCTTCGGCTGCTGTCGTGTTCGTCGGGTCTCGGCGCTTGTCGAGGTCCAGCGAGATCTTCTTTTCGGATAGCACGCGCAGCTTGATGGCGCCGTAGTCCATGGCTTTCCAGTACGGGTGGCATTTCAACTGTCCGCCTTCGGACTCGGCCGTCAACATCACGATGACCCTCACATCGTTGTCCCAGACTACTGACCAGAAGTCCTGCGGCAACCAGTCAGCTCATGTTCTGCGAGAGAGAAAGAGGACACTGGGTGTTAGTGCCGTTTTTGGGGGGGGTTCTCACCTCGAAGGTAGCCGGCAATGGCCCTTGGCTGGCAATATAGCGTTTGTACGTACGGTTGGCTTGCAGATGGCTGGCATTGACGTAGTCGCAGGCGCCTTCTGGGCGGCCCAGGAGCCTCACTCTGGCGTGTTCGAACGGTAGAATGTCCTTGTACCTGTTCTTCCCTCCCTTTTCTATACCAGACAGCTGCACTTTGGTGGCTTCCTCCTCAGCCGCCCTTCCGGAAACCACCGACTTGACGACCGAGTAGGCCTCCCGCATCCGGGTCTGCTCCGTGAGCTCGATGCGCAGAAATTTCTCCGAAACCTTCTTGCCGCGGTCACTAGCTTCGGATGCCTCCCGGAGCCAACGCGGGAGGCTGTGCTGGACGAGGCCGGGAGGCACCCCGATCTCCATTTGTCCCACACCATCGACCAGATCCTGATTTTGCCGGATGTTGTTGAAGAACGGACTTGGATTGGCGTCGGCGTTGGGCAGAAGGACACCCCCAAATACCGGTGGGAGATTCGCCTGGAGACCTTTGGACACGGAGTTACCCCCGAGAGACAAGCCGGGCGATGGCCCGCTAGCGGAGAGCGGTGAGATATCGATGAGACTGGGATATGCGGTTGCGAAGGCGTTGAATCCTCCACGCAATATGCGTGCAGGACCCGAATAACCCTCGTTCGTGAATTTCTTGATCATGTTCAAGGCCGAGACGGCGTCTCGTTGGTCGGCGGACGAGGCATCATAGACGACGAGGTGGGTGGCTTCGCGCCACCTGGAGAACTTGTCCTGGTCTCGGTCCGCCTGGAACGTCTGTTGTAGTTTCTGTAGGTTGAAAGTCGCTCGCTTCAGAAGCGTGGTTGGGATGCAGAGGTTCAGAGCGCCGCGTACTCTCGCTTGCGCAAATTGTGGCGAAACTCTGAGGTCTAGCAGCAAGAGCTTCGTACTTTGATCCTTCTCATCCCTTTCCAACAACTCTTTCAGTTCTGCTGGGGATAACATCATAGGCCCGCCCGCACCTGGCGCCTGCGAGACAGCGGCGGCCCCGGACTGTTGGGGTGAGACAGGAGAGAGTGAGCCGTTCCTGCTGCGAGCTAGCAGCTGGGGGGACGGTCGCCCAACTATTCCGGAGACCGCCGGAGGTATGCCGTATCCTTCTGGAACCGGAACTGGGAAGGGCGGCTGCGGCTGGGGTGGAGAGACCAGACGGGATGTAGGGTCCAGAGATACCGACGAGCTGCGCCCGGAGTCCCCCGACACGTAGGCCGAGTCTCCGTGCAGGCTGTCAGCGTCCCGATCTGCCTTGCCGACAGGGGCGTCCCTGAGGCCGAGCGACGCAGCGGCAAGCCTCGGCTCCTGGGCAAACGGGAAATCAGAGCCATCACTCCCCTGGACGGGCCATTTCGGAGGACGCGGCCGTTGCAGAGCAGATGGGGTCGACGCGGACGGGGTGTGAACACTTCCGGAGATGATGTTGAAGTTGGAGTTGGACAGCGTGAAGCCCACCTTCGCCCGGTTCGCGTCCACTTGCTTCTTGAATGCCTCGAACTCGGGGTTCGCGTCCAGTGGTAGTTGCTTCGGTATTGCGGCAGCAAACGATTTGACGGATGAAGATGGCGAACTCCAGTTCTCACGCGGTACCCGGGCTGAGTCTCGCGGGTCCGCGGTGGCTGGGTCGACGGCGAGCCCAAAGTAGTTTGGGCTCGGCGCCCGGTCATTTTGGGGGCTGCCGCGGGAGGTCGGCGGAGAGAGCTTGGGTGGACGGTGCGGCTGATTACTGGCCCCGTGCGGCGGTTTAGGTGAAGCCAAGGGCGAAGTCGATGTTGGCTTGCTGGTCACGTATGACTGCGAAGTCGTGCGTGAGTGAGGGTGAGCAAGCCCCTGAGGGCTGACTCCTGCTGGGACTGGCCCTGAAGTCTTCATGGTGTAATAAGAGGGCCGGTCGGTCATCCTCGGTTCCGGAGGCATTGTTATGACTGCAAAGTAGGAAGTAGGAAATGTCTTTGGCGACAGATGCAAGCAAGCCGCGTTCAGGTTCTCCAATCACGCGGTGCTGAAGTCAACGGCGACACGACAGGGTGGAGACAAAAGGAGGCTCTAGAGTGCAAGCATCGCAAAGCTGATCAAGTAGATGTTGTTGTGGGGATGCCGCCGTCGCTATTTCGAGCATTCGTGGTGACGTTAGTCGTGAGTCCTTATCGTCCCGCCATGTTGGGCAAAATGCTGAGGATCTTGTTGAGTAGACGGATAATATGAACTGCAGGGCTAGGCGTGTTGATTTTCGCAAGGGCAGTGTCAACTCCAGTTGTGCAGCCCCGGAGTTCGGTGGTGGCAAGGAAACCTGAAGAATGACGGAGGCGAGGTTATGTTTACCTACGTAACCTTCAAGCCGTATAGTTACTCGGAACCCAGTTAACAAGTCCCGTGCACACACAACGCTGCCTGATAGTTCACTTCGTGTCGGTTCGAGACTCGTGGTTATTAGGAACCCGGGAACAGATGCAAGCGTCACGGTTTGCTTTCTTGTGGGATCTCGTGGCAACCTGGGCCTGGTCTCGTGTGGAGCAGGGTCGAGGACCCTTGTCGGTGATGTTGTTGTCCGAGTCTCACCGCACAGCTGCTTTGCACGGCAGAGGCACGGGGGCACGCCAAACTCGCTCGGCCTCCTTGTTAGATTTTCCAGGCGTACAGTGTATTTGCTGCTCAACCCGCTATTGCGGGCCGCAAACTGTATGTAATCCGTACTGGTCGACGAATCCTCCAGGCTTGCGAGGAGATTTCCTGACGAGGGACCGCTCCGAAGAAAAGGAACAGAGGAGGGGTTGAGTGTGTGATCCGGCGAGGGGTTCGGATCCGCTGCAAGCCGGCAAGGACCTGCGCGAGGCAATGACAAACGGTGGCCGATTGGGCAGGCGGGGGATGAGTGGGAAGAGGAAGGGGGAGCGGGTTCTTCAAGGGTTCCAGGGTCCCCAAACAGGACTGATCTGCAACCCAGAAACAGCACGAGGCACGACATTTGAGAGACCCAGGATTGTCGGCCCACTATGACCTCACTGGCGGGAAATGTCTCTGACAACAGCTCTTGAATATCGGAAACGCTAAGTACCATATTGGAACAAGACAAACCTGGAATTACCTAGGCATCTGGCTGATATGAGTACTAAATACCAAGCTATCACACTGAGCTACTCATTACTGTGCAGTTTTTAAGCTGCATTCCTGAATGAACCAGCTCAAGACGTATTTCCCCATTCCTCTGCAAGCGAGCGAGTCAAGAATCTTCGAGCAAGTGGACCTCCCTGCGTCAACAGTCAGCAAGTGTCGTCATAGCCAGGGGCCTGGGACCCAGTGGGCATATGTCTTGTACATGTACGTCGCTACACATCCCAACCGATGTGGTCGACACGGTACACAACTAGCCGACGGAACGAGCGAACACTTTCGAGCTTGGGTATCCCGAAACCCCCTGATTAATAAACACTCTTCAATATCTATAGTCCTCATCTTTGTCACTGTAATTTTAGATTGTCAACTTCGCGTGTACCGGTAGGTACACGTGTAGGCGTGTTCGAAGGGATGCAGGGTCAGGTCTCAGTCCCGTCTCTGGTTCTTGGTCTTGGAATGGGCTCCGGACGTTCTAGACCGCCAAAGACCGTCTCCTTCGCGCATGCACTTCAATTTTATTGGAATCCAGCCGAGCAATTGGTTCTTCATCTGATCGGTTTCGGGGCGGCCCACCCACCAACTGCCCGATGTCGCCACAAGCCGGAGGTCGGAGCATCAGGCCGATAATGCAGGGTACGTACCCCGTACTTGCCGTACATCCGACATTTTGAGGCTGACGGCCCGGTTGATATTTCCGTAATCTGGAGCTGGCGGGACCGACGATGGATACTCGTCTGGGTCGAAACGAGAAGCACTTGACGCCGTCGCTGGAAACTCTTCCAATGCCTGACAGGTTGAACAGTTATGACATTGCTTGCCCGCCTCCGAAGAAAACCGACTATCCTCGAGTTTTGCTTGATTTCGCCGAGAGCTCTGTACTGGATGATATCCCGCTGTCCCATCTTCCGAGCAGCGGTAGGCACATCTGCCAACCGCGCAGCTGCAGAGAGAGACTCGTGCTAGGTACTCCGTAAGCGTCCCGGCGGTCAAGTCGATCCTTGGACCCTTTCTGCAGGGTCCAGGTATGACCAATCCGCAAGCAGGCGTCCATTCCCCGCACGGCGTCGTTCATCCATTGTCCCGTCCGTTGCCGTCCGAACCGCCCAACAAGCCAGATCGAGGGGAGATCATGTTCATCACCGCCCAAAGCGCCGTAAATGATGCCCGTGGAAGCACCGCTGTGTCCAAACCTCTGTAGCCAGGACTTGGCAGGCGACCGCCAGGCGCAATCTTGCACGTGAGCCAGGTCGGCACTCTTTGAGCCGCGCAGCAACTCCTTGGTAACTATAACCTGATGTAGAGATCCAAACAGTCGATCCGCCATTCCCTTCGGCCTAGGAGACTTCGCAGCCATTCCAGACCGAGCCCCGTCCACTCTACTTTGGCCCTTGCAATCTGCTCCGTGGCAGCGGAAGCCAACGCCTCCGCCGTCGTGTTCACCATCTCCACAATAACAGCCGAGGACGTCGCGTTGAGGTCATCGGTCGCCGTGAGGTTGGCCGTCTGTTGTCCTTTCAACACCGTAGTTGGCAAATACGTGTAGCTCCCTGCGGGTTGAGGCTGGAACCAGTTGCTGCTGAAGTCGAGAAAGCAGCGGTCGGACCAGTTACACGATGTGAGGAAGAGTACGAGGAGGAGAAACGAGCAGTAGAAGCATGGCCGGTTGAGGAAGTATGTGCAGAGGAAGAAGAAGAAAATGAAGGCCGGCGATGCGTTTGTCGGGATGAACAGGAGGGGGAGCCAACTGCAGTGGCGGTTACAGAAACATGTCAGCACCTGTCACGCGGTACATGGGCTGAGCGCGAGGCAAGGCAGCTTCGTACGCGACGATGCGAAAAGGGTACACACCTGCGAAGACAGAACATTGCGGATCGCTGGTGTCAGTCTTCCGTCACCGCAAACAGTTCTTGAAGGATTCGAGGTGGCCGGGGCGGTTGTGCTATTCAGGGCTTGATGCGACGAGTGCAACCATGCCAACGCCGAAGCAGCAGGCGAGAAGTTCAGATGAGGTTCGGACTGTATGGAGAGGCTTGGTGAAAATGCCGTCGAGTGTTCCTAGATTGCGACAACCGGAAACTCGCGCGATGCGCAGGGTGCGTGCACGGAGTGTGATTTTTGGCCAATCGGATCGTGAAGCTCCTAGGATTCCAGACGCCCGTCCACAGAAGAATGCCACATGATCCACGGTGCAGGCCACGATGTTGCAAGTTCTGACTTCTCGACTGGGTAAAAAGTACAGTAGTTGGCATGGAAAGGCGTATCTTGGCTTGTTAATGAGTTTTCCGCAACCCGATGACGATGCAACGTCAAAGATGAAGCTAATACAGAATACCGGACTCTAGTCTAGAGCGGGCAAGCTCTGAAACCGGAAGAAACCGCCTCATCAGAGAACCTTGGATAGTAGTGCACGTTGCACATAAGGTACATGCACGTGCTCCAGCTGCTATGACCCTTTCTCTCTAGTAATAGTACTACTTCATATATGCAGAGGTATAATCTAGAGATGAAAGTGGTAATTGGGTTTTTGGTATTGTTGGTTACGGAGAGTCTGGTCACGGACCTAGTACAAAACCTTACCTAGCTGATGGGCAGGTAGCTGCGGGCCTACCTACAGTATGTAGCATGAATGCATCACCTACAGGTCACGGTTCCATTGCTTTTGACCGTGGGAAGCAGCCCTGGGCATGTCAATTCTCATCCCGGAACTTTGGAAACTAGTAATGACGGATGATACTTATGGGGCCTGGCTCCTGGGAAGAGCAGAAGCCTAAGAGGTAGCCCTGTTCTGCTGGAGCACACGAGATTTGCAGATTTCAAACATTCACAAAGCGCCCGATTGGGCCAAGCTGCCCTTCCCCACGGCCCGCCTTTGCTTGCAACGCGCCACAACGACGGACACGTGTAGCCGCTAAAAGCAAAGCACGGACCACCCAGCTCTCCCAACCGCCTTCAACCAGCCTGCAATATATTTTTCTGCGGCACTCAGGTTGTTTGGCGTCCCGCCAGGCAAACGCAACATCGTTGCTTTCTGTTTTCGCCTTTTTCTGTTCTGTTCTGTGGACAGAACTTGCGCCTGCGTTCTCTTGCTGAATGCAGCAGCGCCGCCATTTTCCCCAATTACAAACTGCCACTATTGAGGTCGGTACGTAATTCAGCGTCATCCGATCTCAAGAAACCGATATTTGGACGGCGCGGCTCCTCCCGTCACCGAGGTCCTGTGCGTCATCATTTTGTCACTACCGCGCCCTCAGCCCGGGTTGCGCTAACCCACCGGGAGACTGGAGTTCGATTATTACGGCCAGACCTTCGGACGGATCACCATGTCCAACTACGGCTTGCCTGGTGGCAGCGGCTCCGCCGATCAAGAGGCGGCAAATCCAGAATTCGAATCGCTGCTTGCCCAGCTTCGCCTGCAGTCGGCGCCCAGTCCCGGCCCTGGCCCAACCTCGGGCTCCGATTTTCACGGCGGCCAGTTCAACTACAACCACGGCGGCCAGCAATTCTACGGCCACCGCTCGAACCCCGACTCTCCCAATATCCCGAGTCATGCGCAGAACGTCGCAGATTCGCCCGCCTTCTTGCCCGTAGCTCCCACACCGCCAGTTGGATTTTCCCAGTCCCAATTCCCTCCCGGCTTCATGAATCAGATGGGCGGTCTTCGTACTGGTGGCAGCGGAGGAGGGACAGGAGACGATCGGACCGCGCATTTGCTCAACCTGCTCAAGTTTAGCGGGCAGAGCGGTCCACCGACCAGCCACCAATCGTCGACTCGAGAGCCGCCGATGAACTTTGCTGCGCCAGCGCCAATTGCGCCTCCCGTCATCCACGCGCCCGCGCCAGCAGCTGCCGATCCCACGGGCCTTCTCGCTGCTCTTATGAAGGGCAACGTGCAGCCGGAGCCGGCGAAGCCGGAGTCGACGTGGAACCAGGCTTCGCCCCCGTCGGACACGCAGCAATACCTGCTCAACCTCCTCAACAGGCCGAAGCCCAGCCAGCACGACGCGGCCGATTTCGCGGAATCCAACCTGCTTGCTCCGGCGCCTGCCGAGGACGATACCAAAGATGCCGAAAGCTCACATGGCCGTCGGTCTGTCGAGGCAACCCTGGTGGACACGCTAGCATCGCGATCTGAGTTTGACTTTGAGCACAAGAACGCGGGTTCTCCTCCCCCGAAGTTTGACTCGACCCCTCCTTCCCAACATTCTCATCAGTCGAGCTCGAGGCAGGGTGCTCTTGGCTATCCGGAGCATTTCGAAAGTGTTACGGGCTCCTCCCCTATCCATAGGACACCGAAATCTTCCACTACACCCGGAGCTTCCCAACCCGCTCACGGCCCGGTCCAGATTCTAAAAAAGCCCGACTCTGCTCACTCGTCCCATGATAAGAAGCGCCCAGTCAGCGATCGTGGCGCTATCGATGACAGCCCTGACCACGTCAGGCGTAAGCTGGAGCACACTGCCTCCCCGCTTTCCCAGTTCAGCCTTGCCGCGCCCACTCATGCCAGTGCTTCCCCCACCGCTGCCATTTCGTCCAATCTAGCTCCTGTCACTGGGCGCCTGCTCAGCCAAGACAAGAAGGAGAGTGTTGCGGACGCGGTCGGCGGACTCGCAGAACAGGCCGACAGAGAAGCCAGAGAGGCTCTGGCACGTGCCGAACAGGAGCAATCGCGGGCTGAGCCTGTCTCGGAGCAGATCACAAGTGCTGGGAAGCACGAAGAGTTTGCGCCGTCTGCTACAGCCGCTTCTCCTACCACCAAGAAGGAGTTCGCCGAGGAAGAGGATAACACGTACGTGCACTACTCGCCCGCTCGCGAGAATGCCCAGGAAGCTAGGGACAGTGGGTACTACACAGCCCAGACGGCGCAGGGGCCGGTGGCCGACAGCTGGGAGAGCGCCGAGGCAGAGGAGATCGTTGTGATCGAGGAGACGGCCGCGCCCATCAAAGTCTACAACTTCCCCATGAAGCCCTGGATCACCATCAACCTGCAGGAGATTGACGAGGCACGCCCTGTGTTCCGCGAAGATGCCATCCTCGACATTGCCCGCCTCAAGAAAGACTTTGACCAGGTCGACCGTAACCTCGTTTCGGCCTCTGAGACTTACATGGCGTATGGCATGTCCAAGGCCGGCGGACTGCGGGTGGTTAGACAGGAGGACGGCAAGGATGCGAAGCTCTTTACCGACACCAAGGATCGGATCTTCAACGTTGCCATCTCGTCCTCTCCGACCCACCACCACCATGCCAAGGAGGCCATTATCGGTACGGGAGTCAGCGGGACGGTGTACTGGGTCCAGCTCAAGAATGGTGACCTGGACCACCTGGAGGACGCGCATCCGGAGCAGTACGGCTTCGCACTGCCTCCAATCTCGGCTCAGGAGGGTGGTGACGCTCCCGGAGGCGTTCTTAAGACACGCGCCCGGCCGTCGTCTATGCATCCAGACTTCTTCGCTGTCGGCAGGGGCAAGTCGATCAACATCATCTGGCCTTCCTTCATCTTTGAGCACAACCTCTTCAAGGATAGCCATGACCGTGTCGTCGACACCGAGAAGATGCTGAAGCAGTGCTCATTGAAGATCAACACCGGCAAGGCCGGCAAAGACTTCATTTTCAGCCATGACGATACGCTCGTCGTCTCGTTGGACAAGTCAGGGCGGGTCAAGTTCTGGGATGTCCGAGACCTGACGGCGGTCAAGGAGGATTCGGATCCCCTGAATCCCATGCCTGCGCGGACGTCTCACGAGATCAAGGAGGCGCTCATGACCTTAACGACAACGCCCGAGGGCGAAAAGGCATGGCCCACGTCAGTGTTGCTGCTGGATAAGTTCCTACCGTACCAGAAAGGTACCGCTCTGAGGTACATGATCGTCGGCATGAAGCAGAACCACACTCTCCAGCTCTGGGATCTCGCGTTGGGCAAGCCGGTGCAGGAGTTCAACTTCCCGCACAACAAAGAGTCGGATGCCGTCTGCAGTGTCATGTACCATGCGCAATCCAGCATGATTATCGTCGGACACCCAACGCGCAACTCCGTATACTTCCTGCACCTCTCGGCGCCCAAGTACACACTCAAGAACATGTCGCAAGTGGACTACATCCAGCGTCTCGTTGCTCAGGACCCGACCATTCCGCAGCCCGAGCTTACTGCCGCGATTGGCGGCATCCGGGAATACTCATTCGCCAACAAGGGCGTGCTCCGTAGCCTCAACATTCTGGATAATCCCGCCGCCGCTGCTGACGGCGATGAGCCGACACTCTTCGAGCTGTACGCCATGCACTCGAAGGGTGTCACCTGCTTGTTCATCAAGCACTCGGAGCTGGGCTGGACCAAGGACAACAAGGTGATTGCGCCCGCGGATGCCGTCGAGGCTGGTCTTGCCAAGATATCGAAGCTCAATCCGCCTCCGGTGCAAACCGTCGAAACACTGTCCAATCCTCCCCTCCCCACAAATGATCCGAGCGCGACTCCACAGATCCGGATCGCCGCCCGTGGCGCCAAAGACGCTGCGCTCAAGATCCCATCTCCCCAGGGCGATGACAAGAGAGGTCCGGACTCTACGGCGCTGCCCAGGCTCGAACGCAAAGATGCGGTTGAGACGCCCGGGCCCGCGCCAGAGAAGACCGAGAAGAACCGCCGTAAAAAGAGGGCCGCCGCCACCGACCGGGGAGAGCACGGTCCTTCAACAGACGTCACTCGGGCGAATTCGCAGAACAAGGCTAACAAAGTTGCACGCAATACCGACACTGCTGCAGAGTTCTCCTTTGGCACCACCTCGATTTCGCAAGAGCAGCTTGATGCCGTGGTCACGAAAATGGAATCGCGCATCATCTCCAATGTCACGAGTCGCTTTGACGCCGTGTTCAAGGACGTTCTGGGGCAAATACAGAAGTTCCAGGACAGCCGCGACTCGGCCTTTGCAAGCAACCAGTCCACGCTGCTGCAGATGGTGGCGGATGTGCTGAATGAGAACACCGAGTCTGTGCTGAAGAACCTCATCATTGCTCAGATCAACAACAGCGTCATTCCCTCGGTCGGCAGCGCCATTGACAAGTCGGTCTCGGAGCAGCTGGGCACCAAGTCGGGCGCCCAACCGAACGCGCTCCAAAAGGGGATCCAGAGGCTTCTGCCCAGCGCCATCAGCCAGGCGCTGCTAAAGCCTGAGGTCGTGAAGCCAATTTCGGACCAGGTCTCCCACAGCGTCAATGCTCAGATTGAAGCGCAGATCACCAGGTCTCTCAACGCACTCACCCCTGCGGTCGCCAAGACGGCGGCTCAGACTGTGCACCAGCGCATCGTCGAGGATGTCAATTCGCGAATCGGCGAGGCTTTTGCACAGCTGGAAGAGCGACGGCGAAGCGAAGATGCCAAGCTCGACAGGCTCCTTACTCAAACACAGGATCTCACTAATGCCATCTCCGCCTTGGCCACCTCTCAGTCGCAGGTCCAGAAAGAGCTGGCCGCCCTGAAGCAACAGGTCAACGAGCAGGCGCGCGAGAAGGCCATGGTTGCCGAAGAACAGGTGCGCGGGCATGCTCATTCTTACAGCGGTTCTGGCTCCCACGGCCAGCCCGGCAGCGCTTCTCGGGAACTGGTCAGCTACCCTCCTCCTCAGCAACACCGCCAGCACCAACTGCAGCACCAGCACAACCAGCATAACCAGCACCAGGCTCTTGCGGCCCTTCCACATGCCGCCCAAGCCTCGTACCCGCACCAGCCCCAACATCAATTCGGCAGCCAGGAAGGCCAGGTCGTTTTTGCACCAATTAAGAGTCGTGAAGAGCGTCAGAAGCTGGAGCTGGACCACTTGATCGAGACCATTGACGAGCTCATGCGGTCGCGCAACTACGATGAAGCGATGCTGCGCTGGTTGCAGTCGGGCGATAAGACCGAGGAGATCTTCCAACGGGTGCTGGCCGACTACAACCCGATGTTCGTCCAGGAGCTGCCGCCTCTCCTCTTGCTGTCGGTCGGGGCCACCGTCTCTGTGGATATAAGCCGCAGCTCGCAGAAACTGCTGAAAAAGGTCAACTTCTTGGAGGTCGTGATCTATGCCTTCAACGAGAATCTCGGGAACCTGGTATGAACTTTTCGTTGCATATTTTCTTCGTTTTTTCGCCCCTCGCGCACCAGTCAACTAACTCGCATTTTGCAGGATGATCAAGTCCGCGAGGTCACGCCGAAGATTATGAATCTCCTGAAGACTCGGATTGAGGGGCTCTTCCTCGAGATCAGCCGGATCGCACCGCACGACCCAGCCTTGAAGACGCTCTCCAACCTGAGCCAAGTTGCCAACCGCATCGCTGAGAGTGTGCAGATGCGGCACGCTCCGATGCACGCGCCTGGCCACATGGGCGCCCCGTACTAAAAGGAAAACGGGAAAGCCTGGCGAGTGAGAACTGGCCGAGATCCTGCTACAATTGGGTCATGGTCATGGTACATGAAAATATCTATCGGCTTGATACCCCGGGGTCTGGGCGGCAGTTTTCTCTGGTGGCAGCGTCGATGGCATTGGGAGGCTTACATCTCGCTTTTCTTTCCTGTGTCGTTCGCTCTCCACTTTCCTACATGCTATGTTTCGCGGAGACCTCGCGTGAAGGGGGATATCTGGGCTCTTGCCCCCCTCTCTCTCTATCTTTGCTCGTTGCACTGGCACCTGATACGTACTTGGTTGGCCGGGGTGCTGAACTAGGCGAAGAAACTTGCACGGCGAATCAGGAGAAATGATGTTTGTGTTGTTGTCTATTCCAGTCTCATGTATGTACAATGTACAAATCTTTTCTTTTCGCTCTTAGGGCAGACGAAATTGGGACGCTCTACATCTGGGACTTAATGATATGAAACCTTACCTTGTGGAACTAGAGACGGTGTGTGCGTATGAGGTGGTACCGGTGAAGTTCGGCAAGAGTGAATATGCCTTGCCTTGACAAGTGATATATAGAATAGGCCGCCTAGAACAGGGCGAAGTGCTGATGAGACCAAGATGCGGGATGATGGATCGATTTTGATTGACTATAGCTACCAAAAACCTTATGTAGGTAGGTAGGCCTGGGGTCCTCAGCACTAAACTGCTTAGCGAAGCGGGATATATTCGTCCACGGGCGATGAGCTGACTGATTCTGGCTCGCTGTTGACGAACGGCTCACAGGACTAGTGAGTGAGCTGTTCATTCTTCGAGCTGTACCAAAGGAAACAGTCCAAGAGCAAAACCGCGGGCTGGGTACCTATCTGGCTCTAGGGAAGCAAAGTTTTTCTGCCTTATTACTAGGTAAGTACCTTATCAAACAACTCCGGCAAGAGTGACTGGCTCTACCCCGCGTGTATGCGTTTCAACCTTGCACTTCAGTCGATAGTAGACGTATCACGCACAACCCGCCTACCGTGACATCCGCATCATGGCTCAGACCGGGACAATATTCTTTGGCCCCGTGATCCATTCGCTTTCGGCCTCGGAGCTCGAGATTGTTCCCTTCGCCCTCGTCGCGGTCGACGCTGAAGGTAAAATCGCCGCCTTCCTGGACCCGACGAACTTCACGCAACAAGTGCAGGAAACGCTCGAGGAACTCAACTTCCCGCCCGAGACCACCACCATCCACCGCTTGAGTCCCGGCCAGTTCCTCCTCCCGGGCTTCGTCGACACGCACAACCACGCGCCGCAGTGGGCGCAGCGCGGGCTCGGGCAGGGGATGCACATCCTCGACTGGCTCGACGCCATCACCTTCCCCAACGAGGCGCGCTTCGGCGACGCCGACTACGCCCGCCGCGTTTACGCCAGCTGCGTCGACGGCTTCCTGCGCCAGGGCGTCACCGCCGCCGCGTACTACGGCTCCGTCCACGGCGAGGCCACCAAGATCCTGGCCGAGCTGTGCGTCGAGAAGGGCCAACGCGCCCTGGTGGGCAAGTGCAACATGACGCGCAACGCGCCCGACTACTACCGCGACGCCTCGGTCGACGAGAGCCTGCGCGTGACGGAGGAGTGCATCTCGCACATCCGGTCGCTGGACCAGGACCTGGTCCGACCCGTGCTCACCCCGCGCTTCGCCATCTCATGCGACGCCGACCTCCTCCGGGGGCTGGGCGACATCGCACACAAGAACCCGGACCTGGCCATCCAAACGCACTTCAACGAGGCCGAGCAGGAGATGGCGGCGACGCGGGCGCTGTTCCCGCAGTTCGGCGGCAGCGAGGCCGACCTGTACGCGGCCTACGGCCTGCTGGGCCCGCGCTCCATCCTGGCGCACTGCTGCCACATGAGCGAGCACGAGCTGGAGCGCGTCGCGGCGCTCCAGTGCGGCGTCGCCCACTGCCCAACCTCCAACATGACCGTGGGCGGCGGGTTTATGGCCGCGCCCGTGCGCGAGTTCCTGCGCAGGGGGATGAAAGTCGGCTTGGGCACCGATAGCGGCGGCGGCTTCTCCAGCAGCATGCTCGATGCCATGCGCCACGCCATGATTGCCAGCCATGCGCGCGAGGCCGCGGCGCCGGCAGACAAGGGCTTGGCGATCGAGGAGGTCTTCTACCTGGCCACGCTCGGCGGCGCCCGGGTTTGCGGGCTCGAGGACAAGGTGGGTAATTTTGTCGTCGGCAAGGAGTTCGATGCCCTCGTCGTGGGCACGCGTGGCCGCGAGCAGGGTATCATGACCATGGTCGAGGAAGAGGAGGATAGTCTGAGGACTGTCTTTGACAAGTTCGTCATGACGGGGGATGATAGGAATATCCTCCGCGTCTATGTGCAGGGTAGGTTGGTGAAGGGCGAGGCGTAAGACGGGCATACTCGCCGAGTCGTGATTTACTTGCTAATGGTCGTCGCACTTGGGGAGGCATCCTCAATCCATGTTGGGCTCCTATGCTTCGCCCAAGTTAATAATCTGAGATGCTATCTGAAAACTGGCAGCATTAGTATCATTATAAATATCGTGCGAATATAACGTAACTCGAGCTGTTCAGACACTGGATGGGAAGGAAACCAGACAGGGCAGAACAGACTCGAGAGCGAACTTCCGCTTGGACTTCTTCTTGTTGCTTGGTTTGTAAGCTCACTGCAACCAATCGTGAGTCCCAGCAGAAAGGCGGTGGCATCACTGTTTTGCCTAGTCTCCCGTCCCGGATGCCGTCGGAACGTTGACAGAGCTGGCCTGAGCAGTAGTAGACACGTTAACAGCTTGAAATTGCACCACTTGATAAGGATACTTGGTGACCAAGGTCAGAGCATGTGTTAAATTCTAACTTGAATGTCATTGTCCAGCAACAAGATAGCCCACCAGTGCCCCGAGGTATATGATTATTCCGTCATAATAGTCCCCAGGAAAAGTTGTAGTACAGACCTGATACAAATAACGGGGATAATAATACAACCCACCAACGACGCAAAATAGGACTGTACAGCCCATCTTCGAATTACCCGACGTCCTCATACGAGACGTATCCTTTTTGTGTCACACCCGTAAAAGAAACCCTTACGGTTGCCGTATGCGATGGCAACGCCAACCCGCCTGTACGAATCAGGTTGATCGCAGTTCTGGCTCGGCACTAGTAAGAGCATCGCCAACTCGCCCAATTCAAGACACACTAGTTCCTTTTCGGCATCCTCCGCCAGGTACGCAGTATCGTGTTGATCCGCGGATCTGGCGTGTTCACATTGGACCAGGTAATCGAGCTGCCCGACAACCTCGCCGCTGTGCGCATCTCGAGACATGATGCGGCCGTCGTCCGGGTGGCGTGCGTAGATATGCTGGCCGGGGAAGGCGCGGAAGTCGAAGCTCGATCGCTGGCCGGCGCGCTTGCATTCGATGGCTTCCCACCTGACTTTCTGGCCGTCTTCGGCGATGAAGCGCCGGAAGCGGCCCTGGACCTCGACGACCTTGACGCCCCTGCCTCGCTCCTCCACGGGTCGCCCTCGGTTGACGTAGTCGGTGGAGGCACTCTCAGGCCTTGTCGCGGCTTGGTGTGGTATTGGCTTCGCATCCGCCGCGTCAACGTGCTCGACTGCAATAAGTTCGAAGTGTTTAGACGGCCTGAATGGGGCCTTTGTCCGAGTGTGGACCTGGAGAGGCAGCGATGCCCACGACCATGACGGCGCAATGTGTTGCAGGTTATGCCGCGGGTCGACTGCACTTACAACCGACCAGGCGAGGTGCCTGGCGAGGTTGTCTTTCCAGAGTCCGGCCAAGTAGTCTTCCGTCACCGCCGTTCCGCCGGTGACCGCTTTCGCATTGTAGAAGCGCACGGCGAGGCCGGCGATGGCCAAGAATCGATCCTTGGGCTCCACGAGGTCCCGTGGCGTATAGGCTTCTACAACATCGAGCCACTCGTCGTGCAGTTCTTCCTCGTCCCCGGTGTGGCAGAGCTCAAGGAACCGTTGCGGACAGCTTCGAGGTGTCTCGTCGCTAGGTGGGGATATGCTTTGAAGCTCGCCCATCTCGGCCACTTGACGCTCGGAGCAAGACCAGTACCATTGCTGGGCGGTCCAATACACGACCCTCGGTGATAAACGCTCTTCCTGGAGTGTCCATGCCCTCTGTGATACGGGGGACTGGAAGCGGACTCGGTCCAGAGGCAGTAAGGTGTTGTGTAGCCACATGCCGCGCAGCTTGCATGCTTTGCTGCGGTGTGTCCAAGCGAGCCTGTCGTGTATCAAGTGGTCGGTTGCCTTGGTGCTCGACGAGGCAACAAGCGTGAAGGCCGCGTTACCATACACCTCGTGCATGATGGAAGCCTCCGAATCCCAGTCGGTACCCTTGGGAATACAGGCATTGTCGTACCAGAGGTACGAAAATCCCAGCGACGCCGACAGCAGGATGGCATCTTGCATGGTTTCCGGTAGCTCCCACATGAGAAAGGGGTTCAGCCGCTCGGGGACAGGCCGTCCGTCGATTGTCTTGGTGCCAGCGCCCTTGATTCTCGCCCATTCAGTAGCAGGCATGGTCGCCGGGTCTCCCCAGGAGTAGCTGAGCACCACGTAGTCGACAGGCTCAGGTGGCCCTTCAATCAATTGGACCCGATTATTGCCGAGGATCTTGAGGAGCCATGTTGGGTTTCGACGAGACCAACGGTGATTAGAAGAACAATTGTGATGTTGTCGGCAGTCGTCAATGACCCGGCGTAGTTCGTCGTAGTTGCAGCGCAGCCCGGCGAGCCTCCTGGTCACATCCTGAGCGCGGGGCCGAGGCTCATCACTCAGGTGGACCGTCGCGGAAAAGATGATTCTCTTTGGCGACCTGATGGTCAGGGACAACAGACTCCCGCCGGTGGAGTCGAGATCCAGCACCGCATGGACCGGCCATTGATTGTCGGGGTGCTGCAAGCGCTCCGCGTCTCGTTTTGTAACCTGTTCCAGGAGGAAGGCTCGGCGAAATATGCGGCAAGTGTCGCAACCTGACACCCCTGCGCAGCGGTCGAGTTCGAGGTAGCTGTTATGCACGATGCGAGAAGGCGACGACCCCTCATAAGATTTGTCTCGTCTCCTTTGCACTTCGCCCCAGCGCAGGAGCTGGCATACCTCGTCACAGCCCCGGCACTGTAGTTGGGAATATTCGTTGGGTTCAGTCCACAGGAAATCAGGACCCGAGCTTGAGGGTTGGGTGTGATCGAAGACGGCATCTAACAGGACGTCCACGAATCGCCGTAGAGGGCTGCCTGGCATTGCTCGCTTCAACATAGCGGCGTGATGTCCTAGGGAGTCACAAACGGGTCTGCTATGGGTGAGAAGATGATACTGGTATGCGGTGGAGTAGATTGTCTGGAGGTGGTGTCTTCCCCGACAATTTGTACTGAGGAGGTAGCCATGAAGCTCACACAGGACATACTGCGGTATGTAGGTGACATGTCCTGCAAGACTAAGGCAAAGCGCCGCTGAGGCTTGGAGCCCTCTCGGTGGCTCTTCCGCGCACGCCGGCCAACGTTGACGAGAGCGGATGGGGTCCGGCCCGAACCCGTGGTGGAACGCTAGGCTTCGGCAAACCTCGATTCCTCGCGTCAGGGACGAATACCCGTGTCACCGGACGCCACAGCCCCTTCCACGCCGTTGGGTCCAGCCAGGGCAACAGGGAACGTCGGCGTTGCATAGCCGCGGCGGCCCGGACAAAGTGGGTCTGTTTGGGCGATGAGGGCAAGACGATGCAGGTTTGGCAGGTTTGACAAAGCAGTCAGAGAAAGACCAGATCCACTCACACATCTGCAGTCTTGGCTCACTGGCTCACCGAACCAAATCGCCGGATTGGCCGGAAGATACACTCCCACCTCAGTTGCCGTCGACGGTGACTAAGACCGGCCCCGTAGAGCTGAGCTGGCTCACTGCGTTTGCTTGTTTCTCTTCTGAATCCGCGTTTCGTGGAATCGCCCCGACCACCATCAGATTCGCCGGATCTCCCGGTTATCTCTGTCGGGCATGTCACTCCTGTGGTAGAACGGCACATGGGTAGACAAACGATGACGGAAGTCGACTTCATCTGTTGTTGGCGGGCCGAGACTGCCAACGACAACACTTCCTCAACGAGGCATTGGCCACGGAGATCGTCCCACAAAGGAGATCGTCGGTCCAAACATCGAATGCCTCCATACCGTAGCAGTAAGTCCACTGCAACAACCCTGCGTCATCTCATGGGAAACCCCCTGTCCCGGGTTCACCGTTCCCCCTCGTAGCTGCTTATGCAGACGTTTCGAGACTCGAGAGAGAGAGAGCTTGTTTCGACTTTCGAAAGCGCTCATTCCATTGGGTGCAGCTGAACAATGAGCTGTGTTTCAGGCTTTCAACTCAGCCAAATCCTGGCACAGCTGCCGATGGCCTCGTGATGTGGCGGGAGCCAACGTTTGGGGCCAGTTCGATGTTCGGGTCGGACAGATCGATCCGTGGAAGCGAAGCTCCTGCCTGTGCCTGATGCCAAGCGCCAAAAATAAGGGCAGGGGCGTCACGAGATTCAGCCTTATAGCCCCACATCCCACAATTTCCAGTCCCAGTGCATTGGCGCTGGCCACTCGCACAGCAGTTTGCGCCTTCCAACCTGGAAATACCGCATCGCGTTTCCATTTTTCGCTGTATCCGATCTCCCTGTATTTGTCAAGCCACCTAAGAGCTCGGTGAGTCGTTCTCGAAGGTTTCGTGCCCTGTGTCCCGCCTTTCGAGCGCATTCAGCTCTGCACAACAGGGAACGGGGGGTTATTAGTAAGGTATGGACGTAACGGCTCTGCCAAGACGGCCAAGACCGAAAGTAAGTCATGCCCCTCCCACCCTTCTGCCGAGTAGGAATTTGGAAACAGTTTGAACAGCAATGGAAGCGCAAAAACAACATACTGCGACGCTGCGTAGAACCTTGAGGTCGCGAAATCGAGCGGGAGATCGAGACTGGTAATGTCTGCCAATCAGAAACCGCATTTGGTTCGCGACGCACCATTGGATGACTTCCCGGCAGCCAGAACGACCGGGAACGGGCACACCGCCAATCGCAGTTGGAGACTGACATAAAGGACTCGTGGCGATGTGTGACACAAGATATCTTTTGAGCCACTAGTATCCATATTTCGGCCCCAGATCCGAACCAACGGCCGTCGGCGCAAGCTATTCCAGACGAAACCCAGGAGCCCAGTTGGCTGCCCGCCCCCAAGACGCTAACATCAGTGGGGTTAGCGGTTTCCGCGGATAGGCCAAGCGAATGGAGCATGTGGCTTGTTCTGCGGCGAGCTTGACAACAAGCGCAGAGGCTCCGCATAGTGGCGGCGAGCAGCACAAGGAGCAACCCGAGGGGCTTGGTGACCAGTCTCACCATAGCAAACAGTGCTGCCTAAGTCCACAGTCCTCCGTCCTCAGCACCAAAGGATTCACCCGCGGCAATCGATGAATCAACGACACCGCGGTCTGACTCGGCAAGCCACCAGTGCTATGGCACGGATAGAGTCACTGCCCCCGGAATATGTCAACATTCCAGATAGGGGAAGGTAAGGGCCGTGAGGCGTCTACGGGCACGGGGACGGCCGAGAAGGAATATCGTCACTCACGCTGCGCCGTTGGCCTCTAGAAGAATATAATCGGGGCGCTCACTCAAACACTTTCATACAATCATACTTCATCCCCCATTCTGTGACTACTGACGAGCAGGAACTCTCTTTGTCGTCTTTGTCCGGCGTGTTTACCACTGACTCGACGATCAACTTTCAGGTTTCTGCATACCTGAAATCCCCACGCTTTTGTTTGCTTGTCTATCGACCTTCCCGGCATCTGAGACTATCAACGCTACTCTGTCGGCATGTATCGGACGAAGCACTTTAGGTGGAAGCTGGTCCACATCTTCAATATCCTGTCCCACTTAGGTCTCGCTGTTGCCGCGTCTATCAGCTATATCTGCGACCTCAGCGAGAGCACAAGGTCACGGCAATCACAATGGAGCTATTCGTTGACCAATGCGAACCCGTGTCACGTCGCTCTGCAGAGCGAATTTGGAGACGGGCTAATGTTCGATATGGCAGCCCGCACCTTGCTAATGACGTGCTTGGTCGTGGTATGGATGCTCCCCCAACCCTCGACACAGCAGCAGGGTGCTGACTGTGCATTCGTTCAAACTTCAGGGAGCTCTGGGGCTCGCCCTCAATGCCGGGCTCTTTATCGTCCTCTTGGCCGTAGAGCCCAACAGGATCACATTGACGGAGAGCGAACAACACTGGCGCAAACAAATTGTCACCTTTTTCGGCTGCGTCCTCAATCTACTCTTGGCGGGTGCGGGCATCGGCCTAGCTCTGGGCATGAAGGAGGCCGAGTCCAAGGCGTTGATTCTTGCGCTGGTTTGGGCATCAATACAGGCGTACGTCCACTTTTGATTCCTATAGCACCCGATATTCCATGCAATGCTCCGTTGGTGTTGCCGTCCCGGACTTCCTAAACTGACAATCCGCAGGCCAGTGGCTTTTCTGACGGCTGTCTCGGATGCCGTCAAAAACTACCGGGAAGGGAAGGACCTCCTTGACTGATGGACGGTGAAGGGCCGAGTTGAGCAAGGAGGTGGGCGTTTGGTGTCTTTCAATGGTTATGCGAGCATACACAGGAGTAACGGAGCGCTGAACTACTTCTTGGGAATTTAGGATTAGACATCAGTCGGTCCTGGAGACCGCAACGTCGACGCAAGTCGCATGGCATCACCCCAACTCATTGTTTGTTTTTATAAACTACTGTACGTACATACAGCACAGCAGTACATGGAGAAGGAAAAGACACGTCATATCTCAACTCATCCCATTATCCACAACGGCTGGGATATGCGCGCAACATTTGCGACTCATGCACCAAGACATCGGGGAATGGATATCTTCGCGACACCTCGTAAATGCTGCAGTGTTTCGGCGGCCAGGAATGAATGCAAGGAGCTTGCAGGTCATCGAGCCTGCTCAATCGATCATCCTAGTCCCTCGTCATCACGTTGATCGATACTAGTACTCCCTAGTGTACTGCACCTCCAATGAATCCTCCTTGACGGGGGCCCAGCCAAGTTTCCTCCGCTTTTTACTAATGTCAGCTTCAAGAAACTTCCACTTTCCTTGTTTCCGACCCGGGTCTGAGGGCAACCGTTGTTCGCTGTTCCTACCTTGTAGGGTAGTGACCTAAAGCAATGTGCCTGACTACATTTTCCCCTGCATTTGAAGCAATTCTGAACCCCAATCTGAATTTGAGTTTGTGCGTTGAATTCAGCTCGGGTCGTCGATGGCACCTTCCCGGAACGATGGCCGGCGGTCAGGTGCGCTCCAACGAGAGAGCCAATGCGAGCGCGGGACGTCACTGGAAGCTGCAAGGTTCTTCAGGTGCTGTGCCGCAACTTATGCCTCGATTTGCAAATCGCGTGCAACACGATGACTCCATGAGCCACCCCCGCTCAATGCAAAGTTCTTGGACGGTTTTATGACTTTTATCCTATAAGGATTTCCGTCTTACGAGCAGATGGGGGCCGCCCCGTCTGCCCACCTCCACATTCCTCGCTTTTTCTAGCGTTGGCCGCGAGACAGGACGGGCATTGGCATTATTACCTACCATGACCCTGACCTCGTCCGAGAACCGTGCAGTAGCGCCCGCCTGGTCGGAGCCCTCAGGGACTGTGCTTTCGGTCTCGGCAGTGCCAGCGCCAGCGCCAACGCCGATACCGCGCCGACATCCCAACGCCATGCCGGACAACGCGGTGCCGGATGGGAAATCCCGCACGCTGCAGGGCCCCTCGGCGAAGGAATGGGCAAGACACCGCGAGACCATCATCGGCCTCTACCGGCAGTACCCGCTGAAGCGGGTAAGCGAGGTCATGAAAAGGAACCACGGCTTCTCAGCCAGGTATGCAATCCTGCATTCCCTGCACAACCGTCGATGGCGACCGCCTCCTTGGGTCCTCCCCGAAACGGATAAACGGACGGAGACCAAGCGCACGGCGCCGGGTGACCAGGTGGTCTCCCGCAAAAATGCTGAGGGGTGCAGACCTGCACATACCGCCGTACCACGTCACCTCATACAACAGATCCGAGTGCCTAAGTGGGCTTGAGTCGGTAGCCTGCCGTTCTTCCCCAAGAGCTTGATGGTTTAAAGAGCGCCCCAGCCATCTCATTATCCCCATCTCGCTGGGCTTCCAATACACGGGATTACTGCCGTGCCCCCTTTCCCTTTCTAGTTGATATCGCTTTCCTGTCTCGGGCCCAATTGAGACGTATTCCTTATCTCGTCTCAGCTCACTTGCTTCCATCATGACTCTGATCCGGCTCACTGACCCCCCTGTCAGCAAGCGCATGTACGACAAGCGGTTTCGGGAATGGAATGTCTTCAAGAATGCCAACAGCGACGAGAGAGCGCGCGCTGCGCGGCGGGCTGAGTGCTCCGCCTCGGCCGTGGACCAGAGCGGTAGCCAGAACTTCAGCCAGGAGGACTTGCGCAAGACCATCAAATGCGCCAGGACCATCCAGCAGGGAGTACGGAGACCACCACCGGCATCGCCGGCAACAACCTCCGGAAGCAGTCCCGCCGGGGCCGAGACTATCGCTCCTCCATATCACAACCGACAAGCTCGGCGGAGTATCAGCATCTCAGACCTAATCAAGGAGGAAGATGAGCCAGAGTGTTCCAACACCGCCCCGTTTCCTCCATTTTCCTCGTTTCCCCCAATCCCCCCTCAGGAGAAGTCCCCGCAAGCGGTATTCTCACCTCCCAATAGCCCAGGTAGCACACCACACTCAGCTTCAGGGTCTTCGGATAAGATGTTTCACGGCCAGAAGGACTCGGGCGCTCTCGTTGTGCCTGCTGCTTCCCAGGGACCGGGTCTGGCTGCCTACAGAGCCCAGCTACATGATCTGTTCAAGACCCCTCCCCCGTCCCTCTCCCCTGACGCCAGGACGCGCACGATGAGTCTCATCCATATGAAGCTCCTCGAGTATTACGACTGGCAACTCAGCAACGTGCCGCAGGGTGTCCTTCCGGACGATTATCTGGGCCATCGAACTTCTAATGAATCGATAAGATACTGGAACACCGTCAAGAATGCGATTTATCTCGTCAAGATCTCTACCGGATCTATGGAAGACCCGAATCAGCGGCCTGACCGGCAGGCGTTGCCGGCGCTTGCTGAGGCCGGTCGGCTTGCGGCCCCAGCCATGACGAGCCACCCATTTGACTTCCTCCGGAACCTCTTCGCGACGCTGTCACCGGCGAACACCAGTGCGCGCCCGGAGCTCCGGAGCATTCTCCTCCGATTCCTCGCCAGCGAGGCTCAGACCAACCTCTCGCCTAACCACCCCATCACCCAGATCTGCAAGGAGCTTCAGGGTGACGAGGGTTGCCAGGAGATCTCTCAGCACAGCCTGCAGTGCATGCTCGAGATCTTCAACAGCCGGCTGGGACGGTCCAGGGCCATTACGTTCAAGCTCCTCGACTCGCTCGCTACGCTTCTCCGGCGCAGCGGCGAGTACCACGCTGGCTTGGAGATCATCACGGAGCTTCTCAAGTCGTCCCGCCCGGTATTCGGGCCAGAGTCGGACCAGGTACGCACGGTAGAGAACGAACTGGCCCACTTCTACATGCTGTCGGGCGACTCTGACCTGGCCCTCGGTCACTGTCTGTCCGTGGTCACACGGCCGCCGACTTCAACATTTTCGGAGCTGCAGGAGGAGCCGGCGTTCTATGAGGACGGGATCGCTGCACACGCCATGGAGGACATTGCCGAGATCCATCAGCGCCGCGGCGACATGGAGCAGTGCATAACCTGGCTGGAACGCGCTGCTTCTATTGCGCTGACCGTGTGGGGACCCAAATCGGTCGCTACGAGCCATCTCATCGACAAGATGACGACCTTGCAGCGGCAGTTTGGCAAGGACCTGTTGAGGAGTGCGACGCTGTGGGAGGCTGCGATGGTGGAATAGGCGGAGGGGAGGAGGTTGGATTCCGGTGTCAATTGGGAGACGGCTCATCAGCGGACATTCCTCATGTCGTCATTCTACATTAATCTCACGGTCACCCCGTTCGGGTGGGCAAAGCATTTGAGGGGAGAGAGTCAACGGGCCAGGGTTCATAAAAGTACGGTATGTCCTCGTATGTACAATACATACATTAGTTCAACATCACAACGGTCGTCGGCACGGCAGGTTGACCGAAAACAAACTTCCCCGCCCTCTTCCCCACTCCATACCGTTAATAATCCGTGAGACTCGGACTCAACGACAACTGCCGTCAATCTGGTTCGGACCTCAATGGATGGCTCCCTGCATGTCGGCCGGCACTAGGTAGCTGGGAGCCGTTCAGTCTGTCCGCAGGAGTGGGAGAACATGGATATCGGATACCACCTGCATGCTGTCTGCCTATGAATCGTCGTACGCAGGTGCGATGACAGCACAGCATGGCTTACCTACCAGGTATTAATGTGGTACAACTCGCCTCCACCCCAGTGGGGGCGAAAAGCAGGCAGCACCCGACTGATGAGAGAATCTCAGAAGGACCTCGGAGTCCTTGTGGATGGATGGATGCCTTGAGTGGGTGCAATGCATGGCCCCTCTCCCCCCAACTGGCTGGTAGCCAAAGAAAGCTCCAGCTGCCGCAAGGTGCATTGCATATTTTATGATTGGAGTCTCACTCACTTTACGGTTTACCAAGCCACACACATACGACATGAGACTTTTGCGGCTCGCTCGCATTTGTCTTCGGCTCGGAGCAGGACCCGAGATAAGCAGAGGCTTGGTTCGATACTCGATAGGTAGGTAAGTATGCACGTCGCTGCGTGATTAGGTACTGTTACACCATGAGTGGGAATCGGGATGAGCTGCGAAGGTCAGTCCGAGGACTTCTTTTTATATGTACCGTGTAAGGCTCCTGTGGCCTGTACCAGTGCAAAAGCCAATGAAGGACGGTGTGGGCATTGTCCGTTGTTCCTAGGTGACACAGAGCAGTTGAATTGTGTTGCCTACCGTAGCGAGTCGCGTCTGAAGTGGTGGATTGGAGGGAGGTAGCGAGGTAGTAATATGACAGTACTGAGTAGATGCTGTAGACAACTGAAGGCTAGAACCTCTAGTTGGATAGGTATCTCTTCGACTATGCAAATTCCAGTGCACCACTGAATCACGCTGTACAGCATTCGACCATAACTGGGAATATCTTCTAGCTCGGCGCTTAACATAATAGAGAACTGTCCGTGCTATAGCACGCCTGGGAAGGTTCTTCCCAGAATCTGCGTTCACACAAGCGGCGGGTGATGCGATGCGTCATGACGGCGCACATGTGTTCGGTGCTTGCGGCTCGTTGTGCGGTGTTCATGATGCTCACGTCGGGAAGCAGCATACACCTCCGGAACGGTGCTGAGATTCGGCGACTCCGAGTATGTATGTATTGTACAATACATGTACTACCACCTCCCACTTATGAGCTTTTTATATGAGACAAAGGGCTTCAGAAATGGGATCAAACCCAGTAACTAAGTGGGAGGCTTGGGCTAACAGTCAGCAACTGAGGAAGACGGGGGAAAAGAGGAGGAATAGGACAGAAAAAATATCTTGGAATGAAAGCGCGTAGTTACTGCATGCGATGTCAAGCTGGTCAGAGAATCGAAGATGCAGCTTTGTTGCTTCCATTGATACACTCCTTCGGACGTCCGGTGTCCTCATCCTTTCTTGATATTCTCCAACCTCCCCTCCAGTCGCCCTCTAAATTCGCTGTATGTACGTTGCCGGCGGGTGTTCAAAACTTAGTGACACCAAATCGAGGCGTTGATGTCTGTGCTACTTTGGTCACTTTGGGCCTGCCTTTGACTGCTCGAATCACTCGGTCGATGTCGGTGGTGGAACGATGCGGATGCAGGTACTCTCGAGGTTGCCTCGAGGACCGGGTATACGCATCACAGATTGCTTTCAACATGTAACGGATCTTTCTTTCGTTCCAAGGGTCCACTCGACTCTGTTCTGTCTCTTAGAGCACCATTCGACGGCCCAAATGCCTCGAACGAATCCCCATCATCTTCCCCGTCATCCCGTGAGAACCCCAGACACCCACCAGGTTCATCTACATCTAAGCGGCTTATTAGTAGCAGCCATGAAAAGCAACGACACAATCGCCCTCATCACCCTCGCCTACGCCGCGCTGGGCTTGCTAGTCGGCGTCGGTATAATCCGCTTCGTCGTCAAAGCGCGCCGCTGCACCTATGTTGGCTCCTCCCGAACAACAACAGCAGGATCAACCTCGTCCCCGTCCACCACCAAGTCAGGGTCATCATCGTCATCGCCATCATCAAGCAACAACAACAATAACAACAACAACGAGTCCAGTGACTCCAGTGAATCCACTCCGGAGCCGGGAGTCCCCTTTCCACCGGGCCCTCCTCCTCCTCCTCCTCCTCCGCCTCCAGTCGCAACATTCTCATTCTCACATCCGCCACCGCCGCCTCCTCCTCCACCGCCTATTGTCCCGCCCGCTCCGCCTCCGGTCGGCTTGGCTGGGGGAAGTAATACCGGTTACCCGCCGGCTCCTCCGCCCGTCGGGCTGGCTAGGCGGTGAATAGTGCGCTGATATGAAGTTTGTTTGGGTGTTGGGTGTTGTGTGTTTGGTTTGTGTGAGGGGGGGGGTGGGGGTTGAGGAAAAGGAAAGGAATGGGGAAGCCGGGCGGGCTCGGTGTTAAAGAAAGGTGGGATATATACTTCTAGTACTAGTACTTTCTTTGAAACAGGAAAGGCCCAAGTTCGGGGGAGAGATAGATATCTACTAGATACCTATACGAAACACACCCCGTCCGGTGAGAGAGTGGGAGAGGAAAGAAAAAAGAGACCAAGTCACCAGAAGTCCCTGAACGACTGCCCCTCCTCTTCCCATCTCGGGCATTCTGTGTCCGTCTATACTTCCCGTCAAGCGAAGCGTGCATTGGCACCACCACCACCACCCATGGCAGGGAATTTCCGGTACAGGTCTTCTACCTGCTGCTGCGGCGGCGCCGCCTCCGAAGATGATTTGGTTGGGCCGTTCGTCCTCGTGGCGGTGGTGGTGGTGGTGGTGGTGGTAGTGATGTCTCGACGAGTACCGGAAAGAATGCTCAGAAGGCTCCGTTTTGTTGTTGCGGGAGTTGAGTCATTGGAGCGAGCACCGCCCTTGTGAGGGCCGCCGCTCTTGCTTAGCAGCGGGGTGCCTGAGGCGAGAGAAACGAGGTCGGTGTCTTTTGGATTTGGGTTTGATGCCATTTTTTGATTCAGAGGGGTGGGGTGATGTGTAGAAAGGTCGGGGGAAATTCCTTTTGGCTGCGTGATATCAGATGCGTCTTTTTGGGGAGCACGAAAGTGATGCTGCGACGGGAGATATCTGACGGCTTGCAGTTCTTAAAGGAATCTCAAGGGGAAGAGGCGGGATTTATTATCAAGTCCAGACAGAAAGAGGATGGAGGCGCCTAGGCTGCAGCAACCGGGTGCACCCTATATCAACCGGTATCACCGACGGGACGTAACCACCAGAGTGATCTGCAAATGAAACGTCAAGTATTGTACAATACACTGAGAGAACGACTATATCAGGCCAGGCAGACCGCTTTTTCAGAGCTGCCGATAGATAGCAGCCAATGCCGTCAAACGACAAAAGAACTCAGTCGGTGAGGAACTTCCAGGTTGTGTCCATGTGCATGTGCAGTGGTACCTATTGCTGATCCAATGACTCGCACCATGTATGCACATACGACGGGATTGCAGGCTATCATAGGGCTGATGGTGACCTAACAACGCTCAATGAGGAAGGTACTAATGCGCAGATGTATGAATGGACGTGCTAACGGATGCATGGATGATGGTACCACCACGAATAGTAGTGGGACATAATCAGTGGGTTACAGCCGCCGGGTGAGTCACTTCAGGGACGGTGAGCCTTTTGACTGTTTTCAACTACCGATCCGGACATCTGGTGGTGCACATCGTAGCGGAAGAGGAGAAGCTACTCATATTTTCACCCACTTCCGACCGTCTGTATCGTACTTGGTACATACATGGGACACATCCCCCAAGCACATCGACCCGGGAAACGGTTTAAGCCTCCTCCAGGATGTTGTCCTCGTAAACCGAGGTCATCTTTCCGGTGTTGGAGTTCTCAATCTAGGGCGGAAACAAAGAAAACAAGTGTTAGAGAATCCAGCACATACCGTATAGCAAGGCGCAAACGCACAGAGATTGTTCCATACCTCGTAGCGGGGGCGGTCCTGGCTCGCCTGCACGTTCCGCTCGGCCTGGCGGCCGGGCTCGGTGAGGACGTTCTTGATGACGCCGGTGCTTTCCGACGTGTTGGATCCCGGGCCTGGTCAGGAAGGTGGTGTGTGAGTGTGTTATCAGCATGCTGTTTTCTGTTGTTTCCTGGAGGCGAAACGAGCATTGCAAAATACGAGATGCTGGTATAGCAATAATACATACCGCCGACGGGCTTGTAGCGCACGGTCTGGCCAACCTTGTACATAGCCATGGTGAGGATATTGATTGTTGGTTTCTTGGATTGACTGGTTATTGAGAGTTACGAGGGATGGTTCGATGGATTCTCTACCATACCAGTCCGTTAACTCACCATCCCATGAGCCCCTTCTTATACGAGTCGACGGGGTGGAGAGCGCGGGGTCGAACAACAAGGCGGGGAAAGAGAATCGACTATGTCAGAACCCCATGGTGATCGGAGATCTTGGAGACTTTGGAGTACTACAATTTGCTCGCTTGGTGGAAACTGGGTGTCACAAGTGGGCTCCATGGCGTCAACGAGCTGTTGATGTAGCATGATCATGAATCATGAATGATGTGTAAGCGGCCATTTCGCTCACGTCTCCTTGGATAGTGTGACGACCTCTTTACACATGGATCTCTTACATAAGTCACAATTCACATAACCAGGTCTCTCATTCCCTCACGGATATGATATATCTCACCCCCTCCACACAGCAGGCCCCGGCGGCTGGTACTCCCCCGGCTGGATGGCATTCAGATTGACCAGGATGCCCGGGTCGTTGCTCTTGTAGGCGCCCGGCAGCGCCACGAGCGGGCCGGGACTGCCACCACCACCGCCGCCCGTGACGCGGATCTGCGAGCAGGCGAGGTAGAACTGGGCCTTGTTGGGCTGCATGGCCATGTGCAGGGCGATCTGCTCGACCCGGAGGAGGTACTCGCCGTCCGGGGTGTTGGCGGGGATGGTGGTGTTGACTGTTGCGTATGTGTCTGCGGTTTTGGTTTAGGTGCCGTTAGCAAACTTGACTTTCTTCTTATTACTATTATTTTACCGGGAAAGTTTCCTCTCTTACTCTGCCCCGGCCAGACCATCTGCTTGTTGCCATCCACGCTGGGCATCGTCGTGGCGATCTTGAACCAGACGGCGCCCGATCCGTCCCAGGTCTTGGCCGATGCGCCCGCAGGGACCTTGGCGAGGTAGTACTGCGTCGGCCCCGGGTGGTTGATCTGCTGGGTCGAGACGTAGTGGATGGTCGAACCGGCGGGCACCATGGCCACGTTGGGCGCCGTCTGCGAGCTGTAGCAGCGGATGTCCGGGCTGGTCGGGTTCTCGACGCCCTGCTTGCTCTGCGCGTTCTTGGTCATGCGCGTGGCCGACCAGTCCTTCTCCTCGGCCTGGCCGTTGACGACGAGCCTGGGGAAGGTGTCTCCAAAGAGTATTAGCTTGTACAATACGTAACATAGGTAGTTCTGACTACTTAAGTGGTGATGGAAAGGAGACGCACAATGTGCTTCCACTGCCATAGCGGCAAGCAGCAGAGTCGCAAGGAGCTGCATTCCGATTCCGATTCTTCAAGGCTGGTTGGGAGTATAGTCTGCAGTTGTGGGAGTTGACCGAGTTGGCCAGCTGTAAAGTGTAAAGGTCATGCAGACCTCGCTTGAACCAACAAGCTATTAGTAGTTATATAATAACAGTCCTCCCAGCTCCCATGGCGCCATGACCTTCACTTTGGCGACAAAAGCCGTCACGACACAACGATGTCAAGTCAACCAATCCATTCCAGTACGGCTCGATCACTTTGGACTATGGAACGGAGACATCCGAAGTGGAACTGCCGTGCCACCGATGTTCCCAATCTGGGTAGTTACCTTATATTAAATAATATTTGAAGCCTCCGGCAAACGGTGGTTCACGCGGGGTGCATTCGCTACCGCCCTGGGCACATTCACTTTTTGACATCATGGCACTGTTGAAGATCACACTGAAGTGCTCGTCTGCGAGTCGAACGTTGGTTTTATGTACTCGTTCGAGGAGAAGACTATCTACAGAGAGAATGACGGACTATGATCCCGAGATACTAGCGATTCCGCCCACCCCTTGATTTTAATCTAAGCTTGATCCTCCGCGCCCCCCCACCCCCTCTCCCCAACTCAGCAGCTAAAGACAGCCGGGCCGGGGTTCTTGTACGAGGTGGGCACGGGGTAGTTGATGTTGATGAGGATGCCCGGGTCGGTGGCCTTGTAGGCGCCGGGGAAGGCGACCTTGTTGGGCGGGTCGGTGCTGCCGCCGCCGGTGACGCCGATCTGAGCGCACGAGATGTAGAACTGGGCGCCGCCCTGGCTCTGGGCCACGTGCAGGCCGATGTGCTCGGCGCGGAGCAGGTAGTAGCCCGACCGGATGCAGCGCGGGATGGGCACCTGGAAGGAGCTCTTGCCTATAATAATTCGTGAGATAATTATTTTTGAAGAAGAGAGAAGACCTGTGTAACACCTGTGTAACATAACAAACAACAACATACCGTTACTCGGCCACGTCAGCTGGGCGCCAAAGTTGGGCTGCTCGTGGTAGACCTTGAACCACACGGCGCCGTCGCCGTTCCACGACTTGACGTCCTGGCCGTCGGGCACGCGGGCCAGGTAGAATTGCATGGGGCCCGGGTGGTAGACGTTGGGGTTGGCGTAGTAGGTCACCGACGAGCCGGCCGTGGTGTTGAGGATGGACGGCGCCGCCGCGGGGCTCGCCTGGAAGCAGCGGATCTGCGCCGAGTTGACGTCCCCGACGAAGCCGTTGTTCTGCCAGTTGTCGGCCCTGCGCACGTGCTCCCAGTCGCCGCCGCTGGCCACCTTGGGGAACGTGTAGTGGCCGCTGACGCCGAGGGCCGCGCCGAGGAGGACGAGGGCGGTGGCCAGCATTTTTCTTTTTCTTTCTTTTCTTTCTTTTTATGCTCTCGTAGACTCTCTTGTTGACGAGGTACTGACAGGAATTATTTATTCTCAAGGCGGCGTCAGTTGGTGTTGGTGGTGATCAGTCAGTTTGTCTTTACACATCCCACCAGAAGACACCCCCCAAAGACTTCCCAGTCTTATATACCTTTTTATCATCCCAATGATGGCCTAACAAATCAAGCACACCCTTCCGCGGATGGGCCGAATTCCCCCTTGGCACAACGGCGCCATTCCCGGATTCGACGAACCCCAAACTGGGCCCGACCCGACCCCGGGCTCCGGTAGCCGCGTTGCCGCCTTCTTCCGGCCGGCTAAAATGCAGCGGCCGCCACTCAGAGGAGGCCGAGATATTGCAACTAACCTCGATCAAGATACAGCGGCACTTGCCTCCGTTCCTTTTCACGGGAGACAGTGGAACAGCTCGTGGGGTGCATGAAACAGAAACTTGTGAAACTTGCACAACCGAGATTGTACGTTAACAGTACAGCGTCATCTCTCTTGGCCGCATTGCGGCTCCATGGCCAAGTCATCATCATCAAGGTGCCAACGCAATGCGTGATTTTTTCTTGGTTCGTTCACACTCGGGGTTGTCTTGTGTGTAGTGTAAAAGTACATCCTAGACAGGGCAATGGGACCTCAGCAGGTAGGTAACCGGCCCGGACTCTCCAGCGATGCCGCATGCCCCCAACCCTGCTTGACCACCGAGAAGGTTCGATAATCATCATGAATGCATAGACCCAACCAGAAACAGACTAGGTACCTAGGTATTTACACAGACAACACAGCCGGCTGCCTTATGTGTACTACATAGTAGGAACAGGCAGCGCCAGGATCCTCGTCGCGGCATGCTCGGCGGCAATGACGATCATGGCCGACGGGTTGCCGGTGATGTGGCCCGGGAAGATGGAGGCGTCGACAACAAAGATGTTGTCGGTGCCGTACACCCTGGTGTCCAGGTCCACCACCGCCGTGCCGCCGCTCCGCCCGTCGTCGGCGCCCATCTTGGCCGTGCCGATCCAGTGGTTGGAGCAGCGCCGTGCTGGGATGGCCGGGATCTATATTTTTTGTGTTTTGTAGTGTCCTGCGTCAGTCCAGTCATATGCCGTGCCATGCCACTTTTGCGTTACATGGGTAGGTAAGTGAAGGTAGTATATATATAAAAGAAAGGTTGATTTTTGCTCACCGAATCCACAAACGCCTCGGTCGTGACGTTCGACTTCGGGCTGATCCACGTCAGGTTGGCCACGTCCCTGAGCGTCTCACGGAGGTTGGCGATGCCCTGGATGACGGCCTCCCTGTCGTGGGCGTCGCGGAGGTACGGAGGGGTCGACACGATGGTGTTCAGCTGCCGCGTGATGGTCATCCGCCCGCGGGAGACCGTGCCGGTGCCCAGGTACTGCGTGATGGTCATGGATGCTTGCGTCCCGTCCCGTCAGCTTTCCCGGTCTCCACAATTATTAGATCAGGAAACTGGGACATTAGTACTGTTCAGAGAGCCCTCGACCCGGGCCTGCCATTGGATGTGGCGCGATATTCCATCGCTTCCCTTGATGATCTCCCACATCTGGGAACCCAAAGGGGGTCAGTTATTGTGGTACTACTCAGTGGTATTCTTATGTCTTGTACCGGCATTAATAGAATGTCAACTTACAATGGGGCCGATGTTCGGGGCAGCTTGCGCCAGTGGACCGGTCCTGTTGGCTTCACAGACTGTCAGCCCCCTTTTCCGCTTCCCCTTCTTCGTTTCGTTTCCTTGCCACTTACCCAGGTATCTCTCGGTGTCACTAACGACGGGCTTGGTCCAGGCGCCGTAGTAGTCATAGAAGACGACGTCCGGGTGGGCAATCTCAATGTCGGTCTTTAATTGGAGCAAGAGCGGAACTACTAGTAAGTCACCCTCACCCTGATGCACAATACAATACAAGATGAGAGGCGTGCTTACTCCGACGTGGTCATTCAGGTTATAGCCGACCGGCAGGTTGATCCACTGGTCCGACGAGATCATGGTAGGGCCGTCGGTCGAGTTCTTGACCACATTCAGCTGGTCCGTCGGCCCAATGCCACCTGCAATGCACGCTGTTAGCCAGCCAGTTCCCTGGAACCCGTATTAGAGACATATATGTATGTAGTTTCCTACTCCGGAACAACAGCTTCGCAGACCCAAACGCTCCCGCGGCCAGGATAACCCGCCCCGTGCCCGGAGCGAGCTTGACCACGCCGGCATGGCCCGACGCGCCGCCGCTGCACTCGACCTCGACGCCCGTAGCATGGCCCCCCTCGCGCACAATCCTCTTTGCCGCGGTGTGCATCCAGAGCGTGAACGCCTTGCGGCCGCTCGCCGTGACCAGATACGTCGCCAGGGGTCCGCCCCGCTCGCCGCCCGCATACATGAAGGTGGCCTGCCCATAGGTACGGTTCTTCCTGTCCGGGTGGTCGTTAGGCACCAGATGCTCCCAGCCGACGGCCTTGAGGTTGCGGTCCAGCATGTTGAACCCTTCCTCGAGATACCGCCGGCCGTCCATCGACGGGGTGATGGTGCCCGGGATACGGGAGAAGACACGGTCCGTGGCGGCGGCGACGTCGTTGCTCCGCCAGCCGTCGGGGAAGTTGGTGTCCCAGTCGGCCGGGTGCGGCTTCCACCACAGGCCCGCGTTGACGGCCGTGCCGCCGCCGAGCATGCAGCCGGCCATCTGGTCGACGTCGGTGCAGATGCAGCCCGTCGGGTCGGCCCAGATCTGGTTGCAGAGGCCGGGCACGTCGAAGCGCGTCAGGCTGGTCTCGTTGAGCCACTTGGGCTTCATCGTCCCGCCCCATCGCCCCGTCGACGGCGCACCCTTCTCGATCAGCAGAACCTTGTGGCCCGCCTCGCTCAGCCGGTCCGCCATCGGAATCCCGCCCGCGCCCGATCCCACGACGATGTAGTCGTACGTTTCTGTCGATGGCACCTCGGCGCATTGCGCTTGCGCCGCGGCGGGCTGGAGCCCTGCAGTAGGTTAGCTAACAAGATAAAGTACGGAATACCTAGATACTAGTGGATTTTGGACTAGGTCCTTTTCCGGACTTACAGAGTCCCAAAACGCCCCCCACAGCCGCCAACTTGGAATGGATGTGCATGTCGACTGGTCTTCGTGACAGAACTTAGAAATATTTTGAAAGTAAGAACCATTTGGCGAGTAACGGCCCCGTCTCGGGGGTTGCCAGAATGCAACAGGGAGCTCTTTAAGAGACCATGCCCTTGACCTCCTCTCCTGCCCTCCAACGACTCTCCCCCCTTGCCCCTTAGTTCAGGCCCCTTGCACCGAAGGTCCTTCTCCCCACATTTTTCCCCAGACCCAGTCGCGGAGATTTTACCCCAGGTTTTTGGTCTTCAACCCCGGGGGGCGAACTTTATTAGCCGAGACAGCAGAATGGGCAGTAAACATGATCTGGGGTGCATCCGGTCAATCAACTCGAGCGGGGAAGTCTATCCGGGCATTCGGTATAAATCAATACCATCGTCTACCTCCAACCTATCATAATCGCTCCTTCCACGCCCCTCTTCAAGGCCAACATACTACCACCTTACACATCGGCACTCTCAGTGGTAAGCTCGGTTTTTATTTGCCAATAGCAGGTCTTAAACTAAACAAGAAGGAAGCTATAGGGCATGGCAACAGCCAACGAGGGGTGGGATGGATGCCTGTTTGAGCTTGAGGACCTCAGCAGCTGAGCCTGCTCCTTTTTATCCTGAGTATCCTAGGCTGAATCTCCAAGCATCTCGGCACATGCTTCCTACGGCCAGACTAGGTAGCTTAAGGAAGCTTACTTAGATTTGTATACTAAGGACATGCAACAGGTCCGGGTATTGCTTCTGGGTCCCGAACCACTGATGCTGTGGTCCTAAGGCGGCAGACACTCAGTGTGTTCTTCGACAATTCCTGGTTTCCCTCGCTCATATCCTCAAATCCGCGCTGGTGGAAAGGAAGGACATCGCGTGCTCATCCCAAGGCAGATCCTCAGCGTCGGTTCGTACAGCCTCCGGTCCGAAGAGTTCGATGTCCGGTACATACACACTACCTCCGTGGCAAAGGGGCACGAGAATCAGACCTAGGAAGCTCTCTCTCCCCCCGGTTCATCATGCCAGTGGTAGGCATATACTTGCACAAAGCTTCTCTGGCTTGCCTAACCCAAATCTAAATTTTGCATGATGAATAGCAGGTCGTCCTTCATCTGCACTACCGCAACAAGCTAATGTCATGGACCTAACTGCAAGCAGCGTTTCTAGTGTGACTGTGAAAGTGCACCGCCACTCACGCTGGGTATACTAAGCTCACTAAGCTGGCAGACCAGAGCCATACTTTAACAGAATAGGCTATGGGGCAATGAGGGACAGGATCGCGGAAATGAGACTAGAACTCACGGCCGAACTTCAGCTCGAGATAAGGTATGCCTAACTATGGCATTTAAAAGACCATACAGTGGTATTTCTGCCAATCATTCCTTCAGCCTGCGGCATGTTTCAGCCACACAAAGACACTCTCATTACCAAAATTATGAGATGATGAGAATAGCATCACTGACGATGGCATTGTTTTTGCTGCTGGCATCGGATGGTACGGAGATGTTGTTGTAATACCCGACTTCAGAGACCATCGTGTCCCAAGCTGCTGGCCATAAACCGTCACGTGGAGAGAGGGAGAGATTGCAGTCCTACACTCCTCTCGTCTTGGAGTCTTGAACCCTGAGTTGAGGTGAACGTGGCCTTTTGCGTCGACCCGAGTTGCGTGCTGTGGGTCTCGGCCCGCACCGAGCCATTCACGTTGACGCCGTCGAGTCGGGTCTGCAGCGGAACAATTCCAGCACCGACTCCAGGCGAGTTCTCGCCTACCAATCTTGGTAAGCGCGCGCAGAAACAGGGGTGTGGCGGACGAAAGTGGAGCGCTGCCGTGTCAACTTTCAAAATCGCCTCGATCCAGGCTACATCTTTGCGCGGAAGATCAAATCCTGTCACTTTGTAACCACAAACACAGTCGCGCAGTTCGAGCTTCGAGACGTCCACGTCTTCCTCTCCGCGACAACTCGACCCCTCGGCCATCGGCAAATTCAGACACAATGGCTGGCCTCAGTCCCCAGGTGTAAGCACACGCAACCTCGAGCGCATCGCAACCAAGTCGCTGGGAAATGCTAACACGGAGTGGCGCAGAACGAACCTGATCATCATCCTTGGGATGATGCAGGTCGCGAAGAAGATCCCCTTCGATGATCCGCAGGTGCTCAACCTCTGCCGCGCCGCCTACATCACCAGCAACCTCATCATCCTGGGCATTTACATGTACATCAAGGTGGTGATCGACAAGAAGAAGGGTACGTGCCGCGAGCCTAGGATTCTCGTTTAGACAATCTCAAATTCATCGGGCCTAACCGCAACTTCCCCCCGCACAGACATGACCACGCTCAAGTACGTCGAGCCGGCGCCGATGGGCTCGAGCGAGGAGGGCAAGCTCGTCACCACCACGGTGCACGCCTACGATGTCGGCCAGCTCAAGCAGCTCATGCGCGGACAGGGCATGGGCGTGCTGATGATGGCCGTGATGCACCTCTACTTCAAGTACACCAACCCGCTGCTCATCCAGAGCATCATCCCGCTCAAGAGCGCGCTCGAGTCGAACCTGACCAAGATCCACCTCTGGGGCCAGCCCGCCGTGGGGGATCTTAAGAGGCCCTTCAAGCAGGCGGCCGGCCTCATGAGCGGGCTCCAGAGCGGCCCCGCCCAGGCCGACAAGAAGGCCGTCGAGAGCGCCGAGCGGGCCGGACGCGGTGGTGTCAAGGAAGAGTAAATTGATGCGGCGGGGGGTTCGCAGTGGCTAATAATTAGCTGCATGAATAATGATTGGGGAGGTTCTGTACAGTATACTGCAATGTGCTAAGAGGCATCGCTATACAGTAATAGACGTTGTGCAAGTGGGCAAAGGAGGGATATCTTCAACACGCATCTCGTGGCAACCTCAATGACAACATTGCCTTGAAATACTCAGTTCCGGACTAGTACCACGGCAGGGCACCAGAACGAAGCCCACGAGTTCCAGGTTGCACATGTTTCGGACCCCTCGGAGGTGTTTTGCGAGTCAAATTGCCACTCCGAATCGTTCGGCGCGGGTTCCGGGCTCCCGGGCTCCCCTGAGTCCCCTGACCTATCCCCTAACCCGCGTCGGGATTGGTGGGGCCCTACATCATCCGTCTTTGTGACTCTCACTTACATACAACCTACAAGTAAACTCGCCTTGACAACTTCTCTACAAACGATCCCTCAATCTGGCCATCTGACTTGTGTTTTGCCGGTTTACGGCTTTGGCTCAGCACCCTGAACGTGGGTCCCAAGCACCCGCCCTCGCAATGGAGCGACCAGGCACCCCTCCAACACAAGCAACAGTCTCGAGACGGCCGCCATCCCCGCCGACACCAGAGGTTACTCGCAGAATAGTGCGTCTCACTCACTGTCGCTTCCTCTAGGTACTTGCGACATTCCGTCCCACTAACAGTTTGACCCACCAGGAAGAGTCGCGCCTGCGCGCAAAGGCCATACGTGACCAGCGTGAAGCAGAGCAACGATCGGCCGGCATTCCACCGGCGCCGCGGACAGCTTCCGGCTTCATCGCAACGGACGATATCCAGCTAGCCGTCCCCGCAGCCGGGAAGAAGCGACCGTACACATCCATATCGCGAAGCGACATACCCGTGACGAACCGAGATGCCCGCACCGCGGCCCCGAAAGATGGCGCAGCGGCGGCCGGCAAGGACGGCGGCGACTTGCGGCCCATGTCGCGCAAGTTCAGCAAATACGTCGACTACAACTTCAGCGCCATGACCGACACCAAGGGCGGCTTCCTGAGTGCCGAGGACGACCCATGGAACAAGAGCATGTCCACCACAGCGGCGGGCGGGTCCGGCCCCGCGGGGCCCGAGCAGAAGCCGGCGCACATGACGGCAGCCGAGTGGGAGCGGATGCAGGTGATCAGGAAGCTCCAGCGCAACAAGAGCGGGCCGTTTGAGCCTTCGCTAAGCGCCCTGGCCGACGAGAAGACGCGGAAGCGGTGCCGCGAGTGCCGCAGCCTGGAGATCGACTTCGTCTGGGAGGAGGTGTTTGGCTGTGCCGTGTGCAACTCTTGCAAGGAGAAATACCCGGAAAAGTACAGCCTGCTCACCAAGACGGAGTGCAAGGAGGACTATCTGCTGACAGATCGTGTGTCGCCTACTATCCCCTTTTTGTCAGACGTCCGTCTGTCTGTTCTCACACCGCTAACTCTTCCGTTCCGCAGCTGAGCTCAAGGATGAAGAGCTCCTGCCGCACCTGAACAAGCCCAACCCGCACAAGTCCCACTGGCACGACATGATGCTCTTTCTACGGTACCAAGTCGAGGACTACGCCTTCAACCACAAGTGGGGCTCGGCCGAGGCGCTGGACGCCGAGTTCGAGAAGCGCGAAGCGGACAAGAAGAGGCGCAAGGAGGCCAAGTTCAAGGAGAAGCTGCTGGACCTGAAGCGCAAAACCAGGACAGACGCCTTCCGGCGGAGCAATGCGAAGGCAGGCACTAGCGCCGCCGCCGCTGGAGGGGTAGGGAAAGCGGCCAAATTCGGAGACGCCATCGGCGGCGGCGGGAAACATGTTCACGACTGGGGTCGGTCGGTGGAGAACGAGCAAGGCATGACGGTCAAGACATGCTTGACTTGTGGGATGGAGGTCGAGGAGCTTGAACTGTAGGGTCGCCGAGCGGCTTCGGTTTGTGGTTCTGGGGGAACGAATCAAAGCCCGGATTCTTCAGGACCCCAATGCGTCTTGCCAATATGCGAAATGCAGATGGAGCCCACAGGCCAAATAGGCCCAGCTCAGCCATTGTTGAGGGCTCTGTTGGGCTGTTTGCCTGTGTCTGTGTGTTGCCGCTGTTGCGCAGTCTGTCAAATGCAATGCCAAGACGACATGGGCTTTGGTGTACAGACCCTTTAGGTGGTAGTTTGACTGCCGTCCGCTCACTCAATTGCTTAACCGTGGTGAATGAACCTCGCTCCCCAGCGCGGTGTGCAGGCCATTTGCTCATCTTGTTTCCCTTACGTTGAGAAGCTGCCTTTCAACTTTCGTTTACCAAGAACTTGAGGTCCATCAGCCCATGGACAGTTTCCCGCCTACAGAAGAACAAATTGAAGAAGGCCTGAATGCCTTCATTGACTCCATCGACCCAAATGATGTCTGCAAGTTGGCTTCCTAGCACAATTCGTCCAGGGTCTGCCGGATGTTTCGAGATCCCCTGAACGGCAGCTATAATGTCTGTTACTTCGTCGAGTTCAGGGTATAATCGACTGGGAATGGGCAAGCACGGTGCCTCGGCAGTTCCTTCTGCCGCCTACGTGGCTTGCCGGACTTCCTCCGGACAGGGTGTCAGGAGTGGAATACCAGATCGAGTACCGCTGGTTTCGCGACGCCCTTCGAGCGGGCGTGTCTGAGCCTTGCCGTCGGCTTGCTTCTGAATGGGACCGGAAGCTCCCGAAGCGGATCGACTTGCCTCTCCGTCACGCTCAGGCACCATAGTTGTTTCGTCAACACGTATTATCGGGGCATCTTTCCCAAGTTTTAGAAGGCTCTCGCGAGTACGAACTCAAGATGTTCTTCGAGCGCGATGGCGGGGAGGGGAAATTCTCCCTTGACGTTCAACAACGTCTGAGGGACTCGGAACGGTACACTCTTTATTTGGAGGAGAACGGACTTGCTCCGAACCAGCGGTGTAGAGAGAGGGGAGATTCCGATCCACGACGCACTCTTACTCTTGTAGGCGCTGCTTGTCCCCCTAGGGCTTCTCAAGACTGTCCAGCGACATATTATCAAGGTCCCCTTCCAGTTTCTCAAGCCCCCCTTCCCACAACTCAAGCTCCCTCTCCGCCTCCTCTATCTTCTGGTTGATCTCCATAATCTGTTCCTGGGCCTCCCTAACCGATTCGCCGGTATCACCTCCATCTTAGCGCCGATGTCCGCAATCTCCTTTCAATCTGTCTTCAAGAGTTGTCAATGAGATGGGTGATGGCGTAGTCTATATATCGTCAGAGCTCGGGACTGTGCCGAGCATGTTGAATCGAGGAGGTTCTCACGAAAATGCGGTGCAGGGAGCCGTTGTAGAGTCGCTCCCATAGCACGGAGCGATGCCTAGCAATAAGGCTGTAGAGTACCTACCCTCTACCAAAGTTCCTAAGCATAGGGCATGGTAGTGACCGCTCTAGTGGTGGTGGTGTGAAGCGGCTTGGTGCCAGGGGATTCTGCAGAGCCGTGACGCCCCATCAATTGACACATTCTTTCCCAACCCTGTTGAGGCTGGAGGTCGAGCTCTTGACTGTTTGGCGCCATGCTACGATGAGAACGCAGATGTGGATAGGCTTCCCTGCCCATCCCAGACGCATTCTTCAACAACCTTAACATTGTCCATCTGCACCAAGACGGTCCTAAGAGTGTAAGTGACAAGGCATCCTGCTCGTCCTGGCAGGTGTCCCGAGCAGTCAGGTCTATCACAACTAGGGCCGGACCAGGCGATCCACGCGGCGACGGCGGCCTGACTATGCCAGTAGAAGACGACTGTGCTACAGCTCTCTGCAACAGCACTTCCGCGTCGTAGACCGCGCTAAAGGTGAGTGGCTCTTTGTAGACCCAGAGAGGGTTTTCCCTGACGGAAGGCAGCCAGTCTCAGACTGGTACCGTAACCAGCCGCCGTTCCCGCGGACTGATGTTACGCGCCGCCCGTGTACACGACGATGGTTTCGGCTGGCAGGCTGGCGAGCAAGTCGCCGTGTGCGCGAAATTGTTCCTTCTTCGACGGCCCGGCGCGGGCTACCTTGGCGCACTACGCTGGGGTCCCGTTTCCGTGCGGCCAGCCTAGGCATGAGGTGGTCTCTGCCTGCAGCCGGCTAGTCAGTCTTTGTGGGTTGTTGCCGGTGTGGGAACTGCTGACTCCGCCGCAAGGCTGATTCCCCAGCCTTGTTCGGCGAGCACTGCTGCAGTCTGCAAAAAGTACAGGCAGGGTGTTGAAAGGCGCCCTGAACATCGAAGGTAACTAGGGCGCCGTACTGCCGTGGTCCCTTGTTTCGTTCCGCCTCCGCGTCGTCGACAATGGCCGCGGCTATGTCGACGGCCGACCTGGCAGGCAGTCCTCCGGGTTCGCTGAGTGTTCACCAGGCCAGTGCAGACGGCGCGGCACACGAGGGTCTTGGCGACGAGTCTTTCGAAGCCCTTCCTGTTCCTCATGCCTCCATCCTGACCCATCGCCATCAACGGAGATAATTGACATCTTCGACGGATCCGGGTTCTGTCATAGGCCCGGGTGTGCAACGCGAGTCCCGTACAAACTCGCGAAAATGGTAAGTGTTACGTGGGGAAGCCGCGGTGAAAAAAGCGCGAGATCCTATAGGTGGGCTCCAGATCTGACCTATCAGACACCGTCAAGATAACCCTTACAGCTCCATGTGGCACTTGTCACTTTGGCGAGTTTGCACGGTAAGTTCGTGACGAAAGCTCAGCTGAAGCTCAGGGGCCCCTTTGTTTTTTGACACACCGCAGCAACTTGAACGTCACACTGGAAATGGCTGTCATGCATCCACAGGTTACTAGTAGCGGCGGGTGCTGATTTGCTTGAGCGCCACACATATGTGGGTCCAACAACCTCACGCTGCACTGTGGCTTGTCACTTTTGGCCAGCATCACCAGCACGGGGCATTGCCGCCCTGCTGCAGAATGATCTGGCACTGAAGGAAAAAAAAAAAGTAAAAGGAACTTCTCTTACGCCAAACGCGTCTCGGCTTCCTTCAGCTCACTTCTCCCGCGATATCTGTGTGCTGTGCTCTCAGCGCTCAGTCGCTGGTTCTGCTTCGAGTACAAGACAGGGTTTCAATTTTAGCCCCCTGAACGACATCCGCCGATAGAGCCCCGGAGCTGCGCCTGCACAACTCACCTTGTCGCCGCGCGTCGGCCCGTTCATGGCTAGATCGAGTCGCCTCGGGTCCCTCAACATATAAGCTCGCCCTCGGCGATCGCCATGGTCACGAACGGAGGGAGTGGGGTTGGCGTCGGTGCGCACGAGGCAGGCGGCATCATGGGCAGCAACGCCAACCAACCGCCAACCACCGAATACACCCTCCAGGGTCAGTGTCGCGATCAAGTTGAGAACATAGGGGAGCATCCATTGCTGACGTCACGCGCCTCTAGGTGTAATGCGCTTTCTCCAGACAGAATGGCACCGTCACGAACGCGATCGCAATGCCTGGGAGATCGAGAGGCAGGAAATGAAGAGCAGGATAGCCAACCTCGAGGGACAGGCGCGACGGGCAGACGCGACGCAAAAGGCATTGAAGAAATATGTCACAATACTCGAGAAGAAGGTCAAGGACCAGGCCGCCCTGTTGAAGTCTGAAAAGGGGATCGAGACAGAGCCCAAGGTCGACCGTGCCGCACTGCTTCTCGAAAAACTACGGCGTGAGTTCCCCAGCGCAGCCGACTTGTGTGGCTTTACATACAACACCACAAGACTAACTGAACTCGCGGACATGCAGCATCCCCCGACAAGCCCAGTGCGCCCTCAATGGACGGTGGGGTGCTTGAGGCCGGTCTCGCTGACGAAGAATCTTCGCGCAACGAGCTCAAATCTTTCCTCGACCAGTGCCAAGCCGAGTTCACATACCTGATGATAACCCCTGCGAACCCGATACCCCCGAGAGAATCACCACCTCTTCCAATAATCGAAGATCTCCGGGAAGGTGATGCCTTCGGCCAGTCACTTCTAGACCAGTCTTACCAGCAAGGACTGCGGCAGCAACACCAACAACAGCACCAGCTGCAGCATCAGCCACAGCAACAGCAGCCAAATCATGTTCGCGAATTCGTTGCCGCGCAGTCTCGACCGGCTCCTGCCCCGAATCACCAGGCGCCAGCACCACCAGCTTCGGGTAACTTTCCGGTTAAGCCACTTGATCTCCAATCGGCCCCAATGGTCCGTGCATCTAACGCCGAACACCCTCCCATGGCGTACAGCAACAGCACGGATTGGCCACCCGCGCAAATGAGTGCGCCCGGGAAGCCGGTGCCAGAACCAGGGCGGGAGCCAGCCAACCAGTCCGCTAAACATTTAGGCCGAAGTGAGGAAAGGGGGGATGGCGTTGAGAAACGGGCTGTGGCCGAGGCAGACAGCTGGGATTTCAACGAGGCCAACTTTCCGGATACCGCTGCGCCTAATCAGCCACAGCAGGCCTCCACCCGCCCGGATACCGATGTGTTTCCAACGGCCGAGAATATCCCGAAGTCACCCAACCGCGCATCCCTCTCTCATCGGAGAAAGAGCTCGAATTCGATGACCCGCAGGCGGAGCGCAGAGCATGAGCTGTCGCTGCACGGAATGGGGCCAAAGCCCGAGAGCTCCAACTTCAAGCTCAAGTTTGGCCTGCGCGGCCACTTAGACACGGTCCGAACCGTCATCTTCTCCGGTGGCGGTAGCCCCGGAGAGCCTGAGATCTGCACGGCTGGGGACGACGGGACGATTAAGCGGTTCCACCTCCCGGATCGGCACCCCGGGCAGATGAGCACAGGGGGCTCTGATCTTGACGTCACCGCCGACTTCACGCACCGTGGCCACGCTGGAGCGGTCCTCTCGCTAACCTCGTGGTCCCAATCACCGAACTTTTCGACGGGCGGCCGCGCGCAGGGCGACGGTTGGATCTTCTCGGGCGGGCAAGATGCGACGATTCGAGTTTGGGAGCGGGGGAGGGTAGACCCGAAAGCGACTCTGGACGGCCACACGGACGCTGTCTGGGCGCTTTGCGTTCTGCCCACGAACCTGGGTGTCATCTTCGGTCAAGCCAACGCGTATGGGACCCCAGACCGCATCCTGCTCGTGTCTGGAGCAGCGGATGGTACAGTAAAGATATGGGCGGTCAGCGCCCCGCCGCAGCTTACCTCTCCGCAGCCCGCCGGAGGGCGTCGTGCACAGGGCGGTCGTGTTCGAGGCAATTCGATGAGCTCGGGCTCGGCGTTCCCCAACTCGCCGCAGCCCACGACAGCGTCGAACCTGCCGTTCCACCATACACTGATCCACACGATCTCGCGGCGGAATTCCAAGGCGAGTCCTACGTGCATTACGCCGCTGAGCCCCAACGGCGAGACGTTTGTGGTCAGCTATTCCGATGCGGCCATCATCGTCTACGACACACGCTCGGGCGAGGAGATTGGAACCATGGCCAGCTTGGAAACATACGACGGCACGGTGTCGACCAGCGTCAACGCCATCGTGGCTACCACAGTCGGGTTAGACCAGCCACATCAGGGCATGCTGAGCGAGGAAGACACGGCCGGTGGAGGACCAACCGGGGGCGGTCGGGCTATGGCTGGGTCAGGGGTCGAGGGTGTCATCATCTCGGGCCACGAGGACTGCTACGTCAGGTTCTATGATGCCAATAGCGGTAAGTCTCATTTTTTTCTTTCCCCGTTACGTTTTCGGTTTCGGAGGTAGCGCGAGCTGAACTAAACTAAACACGTCCTGACAGGCCAATGCACGTATAACATGGTCGCCCATCCAGCCTCGATCTCTAGCCTCTCGCTCAGCCCCGATGGCCGGGAGCTGGTCAGCGCAGGCCACGACGCCTCGCTCCGTTTTTGGTCTCTGGAGAAGCGGTCTTGCACGCAGGAGATCACCAGCCACCGCGTCATGCGCGGCGAGGGTGTCTGCACGGTCGTCTGGAGCCAGGACGGCCGGTGGGTGGTCAGCGGTGGCGGCGACGGAGTCGTCAAGGTGTTTGCGCGGTAGGGTCGGCAAGCACCACGCTACCACTCCGAAGAAGACCACAACGGGCAGAGTAACGGGCAGAGTATTACTGCATCACCGCCGCAGGTGGCACACGCTCGGGAGAAATACTACCGGAAGGAAACGCACCCGGATCGCCCCGTGTTCGGGCGTATCCGTCTGCCGCCGGCGAGAGACGTCATAGGGTTGTGAAGGATGACTCCAGCGACGAGGACTTCAGGTTCTGGTGATCAGAGGAGAAGCGTGCGGGACTGGCAACACCACAGTCAGGGAAGATCACGACCAGTTGCCGCTTGCCGGTGATGGGGGCCGGCTACAAGTCCGGCCGGGCCTGATATTGCAATATCCAACAGGGCTCCTGTGTAACGCAGTGTACGATGGGCGGGTGGTTGTATTGTGTGGCAGGGCCTGGACGATGGCCAGTTGAAGTGATGAAAGGTCATATCCGGTGTAAGGCGAACTGCGGGCTCGTGATTTCCATGGGCAAGAGAGGGGAAGCAGTGGAGCACATAATATCTATCTCGCGCTTAGTTTATATGTCAATGGAGACGAGGAGATGACCAGGATCTGTGGTCGAGCTATTAACGTCCTTCTCCGAGCACTTCGCCCCTGCTGTGTTAGTGGAAGATGTGGCAGCATATCCACTGCGTTTCCTTTCGCGCGATCTCTCTCGGCTGAGGGATACACAACTCTCCGTTGGCGACCTACTCCGGAGAGAGGGCGGAGTGGTGAGACCGGTCGATGCTTTCCTTGTTAGTTACGAAGTACCGTTGCTAACATTGTTAAGTAAGGTCCTGCATGATTGACAGACAATACAGACTATTCTAGCTTGCCTGCCGTACAGTAGAAGGCCGTGCCATTCTAGTCATGCTTTATGCCTCATCAAAATCGAGGCGACGGAAAGGGGTCATGATCACACGCACCGTTGTTGGCCACGAAGGCGCCTATCGTGTTTGGATCTACCGATCGACATATCACAGCAATTTCCCCCCACCGAGAGGCACTTACCCGGGGCTTTGGGGGTTTGTAAAGAGGGTTGCAAATGCCGCGAAGTTGCTGTCTTGGCTCTTTATGCAAGACAACGGTCAACCACCAACTGTTGGACACGGGATCAAGCTAGGAACGGCACACTTCGTATCAGCGGTAACTATAGTATCCCCCCCTTCCACAGCAGCCATGATCGGCAGCCGGGCGGGGAGCGGCCTCTGCTGCCATCCGATAGGCGTGTGCTGCCAGTTCGGGCGGCGGCTGTCTGGCTAAAACTGCCGACGTCGAGTTTGTTCATGCGGCGCGAACAAGGGAGGGCAATTAACCTTCGGCGCCACTACAATTCGTCCGCGAAGCTATCACGCAGGAGCACCTCATCTCTACCGCTAGGCAGTAGACACATCCGTACCTATTTGAGACGTCGATCGGGCTTATCAACGTCAAGCGATGAATATATCAGATATCCGGAGCAGAAGGAACCCGCCTGATTCCCCTGATAGGGCAGCTTTTCTTGCGGAAGGGAGACCAGCAACTCGCCTCATGGGACCGGCTCGATGTCTCTCTACCTCAAGGGGCCCCAAGTCCAGCTACGACTTAACTACCTTAGCAAAGGACTGAGGGGTCGTTGACAGCGGGGCTGGCCAGCTATCCGTCAGATACTCGGCGAGCTTTGGTTACACTGAGGCCCAGGGTTTGAACGAAGATCTGGAGAAAGCTCCGCCGTGCGTGCTTCCAGGGTCAGGCATCGCCATCTCGGTCGATATTGCCCCAGCTGTACGCGGGGATGCGGCGGAGGGTAGTGCTGGACATACGCAGGGTAGATAAGCTTGTCGTAGCCCAGCATCATCACCTCATCAGCAAAGCCGAGCAAAGCTGGGAGACTCATTACTAGTCTCTCTCTGCTCGTAGCTTGGGCCTCCTTATAGCCATCCGAGCCTAGTGCCTGCCTATTTGTCCTACCCTTCCCGTCACATCCTCCTCGGCAGCCGGTCAGCCAAGATGATCGTCACCAACCTCGTGCTTACCGCTGCCCTGGCGGCGTTGGGTCTTGCCTCGGCCTTGCCGCCGAAGATCGGGACAACCGATGTTGGGAATGGAGGAGAGGGCGCCAGCCTGGGCAGCGGCAGGGCAACGTTCAAGCAGACGCGTAATCCGCGCTACCGCTTCAACGGTGCCCGGGCCGTGTACCGGACGTACCTGAAATACGGCGTCCCCGTGCCCGAGGACATCATCCATGCGGTCAAGTACACCGACGCGCTGCAGCACGGGGCCCAGCTAGAGGAGCGTGACACGGGTAGGGCGGCGGCAGTGCCCATCGACGACGTGGACATCGCCTACATCACGCCCGTCACCATCGGCACCCCGCCGCAGACGCTCCAGCTCGACTTCGACACAGGCTCGTCCGACCTGTGGGTGTTTTCGAGCCACACGCCGGCGTCGCAAGTCCGCGGCCAGCAGATCTACTCGCCCAACAAGTCCAGCACGGCCAAGCTGCTCGAGGGCCACACGTGGAGCATCACCTACGGCGACGGCTCCGCCTCGCGCGGCAATGTCTACATCGACAACTTCACCGTCGGCGGCCTCTCGGTGGCACAGCAGGCCGTCCAGACCGCCCAGCAGGTGTCGTCCAGCTTCACCAGCGAGACCAACATCGACGGCCTGCTCGGCCTCGGCTTCAGCACGCTCAACACCGTCAGTCCCAAGAGCCAGTTGACCTTCTTCGACAACGCCAAGGCGACCCTCGACAGCCCCGTGTTTGCTGTCGACTTGAAGGCTCAGGCTGGTGAGTTCTTCTGTCTGACCTTAATGATTAATGGTTACAGTAAACTGCTGTGCCTGGAAAAAAAGAAAAGCGGTGCGGGTTTTGGCTGACATTTTTTTTATTTTACCTTTTACACACAAAGCCGGTACCTACGACTTCGGCTTCATCGACAAGGCCAAGTACACGGGCGACATCACGTACGTGCCGGTCAACACCGACCCGGGCTACTGGACCTTCACGTCGTCGGGCTACGCCGTCGGCTCGGGCGGCAGCTTCAGCGCGCAGTCCATCGTGGGCATCGCCGACACAGGCACGTCGCTCGTCTACCTGCCGACGGCCATCGTGACGGCCTACTACCGGCAGGTGGCGGGCGCCACCAACAGCCGCAACTACGGCGGCTACGTGTTCCCCTGCAGCTCGGCGCTGCCGTCCTTCACCTTCGGCGTCGGCGCTGCCCGCTTCACCATCCCGTCGTCCTACGTCAGCTACTCGCCCGTCAGCTCCGGCTCGGCCACCTGCTTCGGCGGCCTGCAGAGCAGCTCCGGGCTCGGCATCAACATCTGGGGCGACGTCGCCCTCAAGGCTGCCTATGTCGTGTTCAACGGCGCGAACCCGCCGACCATTGGGTGGGCGAACAAGAAGTTGTCGGCGTGAGGTGGATGTGAGATCCATGAGACAAGACTCGAGAAGGGTTGGTGTGGCGCCCCCCCCCCCCTTCCACGGGGTCGAATCGTATGACGAGACCCAGGTAGGACCGTGTACCCTACCCTCTTCAGGTGATGGGTGAGAAGGGAAGACGTAGCAGAGAGGAACAGTAGATCCCTAAAATCAACACTGTTAGGTGGCCTTTGCTATGTTTGATCCGCTGTACTGTCAAGTGGATGTTTTCGAATCAACGTTGTCGCTTCTCAACAGCAACCCCCCCTGGCCTCATTCCAGTCAGTACCTGCAACGTAAGTGGTGGTAAACTCCAATATGATGCATCTTTTCCCAGTCAACCGGTACATACGACCATACCTGGTAGAAAATACGGGATCCCGTCCGCTCTCCCATAGTCAAGCTACCAAGGGCCGAACCAGTACTCAGGTGGGTGACCACTGGGGAATCCTCGGTGTTGTATGTTTTTGCCTTTTTTTTTTTTTTTTTTTTTTTGCTTTGACCTTTTTTGCTTCCAATGTGCAGAAATGGCGCCTTGACCTACCACTGCTGCGGCTGGGTTTAGCGCTGCTTGAGCTGTTGATGACATGTGAATTCCATGTGGCTTACGTACCTGCCAGTAAGGCGGTGCCTGCTTGTGAAGTGGCAGAACTTCCGCGCCAGTGGCGCCCGGCGTGTGGGGCTTGCTGGGACCAGGCCTCGAGCGGGCCGTACCTTTCAACGATATCCAAGAACGTCTACAGATTGCCTTCATGGCTCACGTACCTGGCGTTGGTAGCAAGGGCCGATCAATGGCTCCGACTTAGCACAAGGTCCGGTGTATATGCACTGCGTCCGGCTGCTCGCTGCATTCGCCCTACAGTTGCTGTCGTCTTCTTCTCGCTGTTTGCACCTGCTGCGCTCATGCCCCGTTGTAAGTCTCAAAACCCCACGACGATATCCTCATCACCCTTTTCACACCCCCGGTGCCCGCATTCTACTGCCCTCGTCGCCTTCCGGAATTTTCTATCATTCGACCTTTTTTTTTACTGCCTCGCAGCCCACATCACGATGTTTCGTTTTCTTTTTGTTGCGTTCACTTTCTGGGGGCATCACACTCGCTCGAACGTTGTGCCAGTAGGTTCCTGTCTTGGGTGCCTCCTGCCGACGCTCACACTCCTTTAAACCATTTCCTTTGCCTTTGCCTTTCAATTTCTGTCACTCATTACCTCTCTATTTGCTGTTACAATGAATGCTGGGCCAGTTCGCCGTGCTGCGAGGCCGCGGCGCGTGCTGGGCGAGCTGAATCCTGCGAGGGACCTCAACACCCTTCGCGGCCTGTACAAGCGGGATCCCATCGTCTTCGAAAAGGAGAACGCCGATGCGGTCATTGATGGAATCCAACTTGGCATCTACGATCTCGATGAGGTGATAGCTTTGACTAACTTCCGCCTTCCGCCCTCTCCAGCCACTACGAGAGACGACAGCGACTCGGCTGACGACGAGCTTCTCCATCCTGCGGCCGCTGCGGTCGAGCTTGGTGAAATGAGTGATGAGGAACTGGTCGACGAGTACCATGGGGAGGATGACGACGAGTTGCTTGCCGATGCCGAGACGGGAGACTTGGTCGAGGAGATAGACGAAGATGACGAGGATTCAGAGTCCGACGACGACTCTTCTGTATTCGATCCGGCCGCTTTGGGCTTGAAGGAGATCAACAACCTGGCCCATTTCGGCGTCAGCAGCCACAGACCCGGAAACGGCGTTGCCGAGTTGCTCAGCGACGATCTCGATAAGTACTGGCAGTAGGTTTCGTCCCTTCTTCACCTCCGAGTTGTTCCTTTTTTTTTCTATGACGCTTACTCTACTCAACAGGTCCGATGGACAGCAACCGCATCTGCTTACCATTCACTTTCTGCGCCGCGTGGAGATCCGAGCCATCCGGTTCTACGTCGACTACAACCAAGACGAGTCGTACACGCCCACCCATATCGTCTTCTCTGCTGGTACCGGCCACCATGACCTGATCCAGTTCGCAGAGGTCCCGCTCAACAACCCCGTCGGATGGCAGGACGTGCCCGTCGCGGACTGCGGCGGAGGCGCAGACGGCCAATCTCTGTGCTGCTGGATGGTGCAGATGCAGATCAAGGAAAACCACCAGAACGGCAAGGACACCCACATCCGCGGCATCAAGATTTACGCCCTCGACGACCACCAGTCGCTCGGTGGGCCTGCGCGCGAGCCAACCCGCGGCTCCGGGAACGATTCGGACGACGACCATGCCCGCGTGCTGAGCCTTGGAGAGGGTGATCCGAGGCTGCAAGAGCTACAGGATGCGTTTGACCGGTACCCCTTGTCTCAGTCCTTCTCCGATGTCCCCGATATGATGCGCGATCCCGTGATCCGTTGAAGGGGCCATCCCGTGCCGGAATCAACTTTGCTGTCTACAGGTAGTACGCTAAGGTGGATGGTTAGGTGGTCTGCTATTGTTGGGGCGTTTTGAGGGTTGATACTCGGTTTGGCCGGCGGCTTGATACCCTCTGTTATGGTGCAATTCGTTCTACAGGCTGTTGCAGGACCTGTTCGAGCAGTGGAGGATGGTGTTCAACTTCAAGGACTGATTGGGAGCGCATGACACTTGGTATTAAAAGCCGAAGAAGGTCAAGTAGATGGAAAATGATGATCATCACTTGCTGTGAAAACCACAAGGCATGAGGAACTTGAAGTTCATGCTTTTTATGCCCGACGGTGGACCCTGCCGCAGTAGTCAGATGTCTTCTCTCATTCCAAATGTATGTGTCGGCCATCACCTAAAGCTTGGGAATGGGAGAATGCACCGCGGCCAGTTGCTACCCCACCCCCGCTTCTGTCATTCCAACCGCCTGACGGTCTGTTTGTGACATGTCTGCTGCGCTCCAACGGAACGCAACGCTATTATGTCCCTGCCCGGTGATTCCCCCGTGATGAAGAGCTCGATGCCTCGTCAGCTGCCAGCGCCAGCTCGCTCACTGGCCGATGTTTTCTCCCGGTCGCTTTTGTCGTTCCAGAACTCCAGCTCCAACCTCCAGATCCTCTGCACTGCCGGTCCGACAGAACAGCAACACCATGGAGCTGCGCCAACCCAAGGTGACGATCAGCCCGCGCCGCTGTCTCCGCGCTCCCGACCACGGACTCTGATCGTGCTCGACTCCTCCTTCAACCCGCCGACCCGGGCACACCTGCGCATGGCAACGTCTGCCATCCACGATCTTACACACACGCACGGCCAGCCGCTGGGGACACTGCGGCTGCTGTTGCTCCTGTCAGTGAACAATGCCGACAAGGGAGTCAAACCGGCCGCATTTGACAAGCGGCTGGCCATGATGTGGGCGTTCGCCAGGGACGTGCAGCACAGTTTTCGAGGGGTGCACGAAGATGAAGATGACGGACAGGGGTTGGCATCGGTGGGTGGACCTCCTCAGGCCTCGGCGGGTGCGGGGGAGACGCCGTTGCACGTCGACCTCGCCCTTGCGAAGATGCCGTATTTCCACGAGAAGAGTGCGGCCTTGGCCGGACTGGACTTCTACAAGGGCACAAACGATGGCGCCGGCGAGACGGAGCAGGTATTCCTGGCGGGCTATGACACGCTCATCCGAATATTCAACCCCAAGTACTACGGCCCCCAGGCCGAGTCGGCAACACAACTCGCGAGCCCCGAGTCGTCACCGATGTGGAAAGCTCTCGGCCCGTTCTTCGGCCGCGCGAAGTTGCGGGTCATCATGCGGACCGGGGATGAGTGGGGGAATGAGGAGCAACAGAGAGCTTATCTGGAGGGCTTGTTGAAGGCGGAAGGGCTGGGCACGGGACTGGTGAGCAAAGGCCTAGGCAGCAGGATCGAGATGGTAGACGGACGCAAAGCAGGCGAGGACGTCATCAGCAGCACGCTGGCGCGGGCCGCAGCGAAGGCTCGGGACGGAGACAGACTCGGCTTGATGGTAACTGCTGGTGTGAGGTGGTGGATAGAGCAGGAAGACCTGTACACTGAGCCATGAGGACGCGCTTTGTGAGCTCAGGGGCGACTCAATCCCAAGCCTCGCTACTTGGCAGAATATGTAGCTGCCGCTATCAACCCTGAATCTGTGGTATCATATTCATCGTGGCTGGCGAATTTCCGGATCTGCGCCCAACTGCCCGCAGCGCCTGTGCTGCCCATCTTGACCAAGAAATGACATCACGGTCAGCTACACCTGCTTCCGGCGCGCTAGCGAGTTCTAGATGGCATTTAAAGTTGATGTGTAGTCTTCTAAATTCTTGATCTCCCACAGATTGCAGTGCTGTCCGTTCAGCAGCGCATGCATTCCCTCCGTACGAGTTGTCTGGAAAGCAAAGATGCTTCTTGAGAAATTTTGGCGGTCTTGAATGGCAGAATGCTGGAGCCCACTTTCTGCTGCCAAACTGCCACATGATTCGATGAAAATTTGAGTTGTGCTCCCGACTTCCGGGTGGGGCAGAGAAAAACTGCAAGCGTGCACTGACCAGTCTCTGAGGATATATAATGGCCTCCTCCCTCCCACCATTTGGATTTTCTTTTCTCTTTTTTTCCTCATGTCGACAATACTTCAGAGAATCATTTCTATAGTAGTTGTCCTCTTTTGTGTTCCCTAAAGGAGCCACAGATCCCACCCGGGTTGATGAACGATATCCTCGACACCCTACAGTGAGGTTTTTTTACTCTCGCTCTGCCTGCGAAGGCGGCGGTCGCTGGCCTCGCGCTGCGGCCGTATAGAGAGTGGCGATGATCTGTACCCCGGCTTTCCTGAGGTCTTGCCTTCGGGCGCTCAGGCGGGGTGGGTGTCGATGGAAGTCTGACCGGCCATCTTTTTTCATTGCGATCTCGAGCCAGTTCTCGGGACGTGAGGAAGAATAAAGTCATGTGAAATGCGAAATGTGACATTGGGTTCCGTACCCGTAATCCAACGCTGCGAAACATGTGCTTCATCGCTGCTTGTGAATCAAGAACACATGTGGTCGGTTTTTGGTCCAACTATCGGTCCCACTCCAAATTTGTGGGTCACCACCGACCCTCTGTCAAAGTACCTTCCCACCGTCAACGCTTCAAATACTGCACTGTCCTGTACGTTTGAGTGATTTTCTTGGGCCTCGGTAGCGCTTGTGGGGACTTGGGCAGAAAGCATCATCAGATTCGCTCCTCCAAGGATTCATGTTCCGTTCTTGATTCGATCACGCAATGCCTCTCAATGTGCTTCGTTATCGCCCATGGCCCACTGTCACCAGGGTTTGCGACTTCAAAACTTGACATGCGACCCCACGACACCTGGGCCACCGATATCCAAACGGTCCGAATGGCGACCTAGATCGGAGCACATTCGGCATTGAGCCTCGAGCACTTCATTTGTCCGGAAGCATCGGTATCCTAGTGGCGAATCGAAGGCCATCGGCTACAGGCGTTGCTCCGTGAACACAAACACACAAGGCACGATGGGCAGAGATAGGTAGTAAGACAAGCGACTGTGTAAGTTCGGTCAACTGTCAACGCAGATTGACTGGGGGGATACTATCACACATGTAGTATAGTATTCGTAGGACAGTGTAGCTATGATATGCCGGGAATCTAGACGCCAAACTCCAACCATGACCCATCCACTCGATATCGCTCCTCTACTGCTTCTGAGAGATCATCATCTCCTCGTTCTCGGCGATAGGTGCCGGCCTGTTGGAGCTCTTGTTCAGCTGGTTCTCGCCAACGACATTGCGAGTCCGTTCCAGCTCGAGGTGGTAGTCCTTATCGCCGCCTTCAGTTGTGTTCAACACGTACTCCTCCTTGTCAATGTGTCTGAACATGAAATAGAAGATAACGGTCAGCACACCGCCTGCGATAGCAGGACCGCCAAAATCCCAAGTCAGGTAAGGGTCTGTAATGACAGACGAGCAGGCCAGACCAATGGCATATGCGACGGCGGTGCTCAAGAGGTTGATGGCAGACACGACACCACGCATGTTGACGGGCGAACGGGAGTAGGCGATGCCGTACGCCGGAACGTTGATAAAAAGTTCCGAGATACCGCCGATGGCGAAGGGGATGGCCATCCACCAGATGGAGATGGGGGCGACGCCGGTGCCGACCGTGCAGTCGCTTGAGCCATACTCTCCGCATGGTGACTGCTTGTAGGCGTAGTAGTTCAGGACGGTATAGCCCACCCCGCCGAGTGTTGACAGGGCTAGACCGGTCGTCATACGCGCAACGGGCCCATAGTGGACGTTCATCTTCCGCAGAAGAGGATATAGCCCGTAGTTGAGGATCGGCGCGCAGGCGATGATGCTCAGAGAGTTGAAGTTTTGGATAACATCATTCGGCACGCCGTTGGTCTCCAGCATAGTCGACAGGAAGCTGGCTGCAGAACCAAGGCCGTTGTCGTTGATATACTGGATAGGGAAGAAGCAGAAGATGCCTGTTGCTTGGAATGCGCGGCGGACATCATCGACGAACTGATCATTCCACTCCGTCTTGTATCTGCCGCTGAGACCGGCAGCAGCAATGTTGGAGGGCTTGGCGAGGTCCCAAAACCCATGGCGGCCGATCCTCGTGATACCTCCGCGGCGGAAGCAGATGCCGAGAACCTTGAAGACATCGGGAAGGTCGCTGCCGCCGGGCGGGTGCAGCACGAGGCGCTTCTTCAGGAACCAAAGGAGGAGCGGCAGCGGCAGATACAGGACGAGGGGGATCAGGAAGGCGAGCCACCACCCGATGTATTTCTCCGAATAGGATGTGGCAACACCCATGAAGCCTCCGATATTGATCATCAGGTAAAACCACAGCATGACCCGCTCGGTGGTGGACTCGGGATCCTCAATGACTCTCTCGCCGCTGGGGAGCGTCACGACTTTGGGAACCGTAGTAGTGACTTGATCAAGCAGCAGAGGCGACACATTCGGCTTGAACATGGCTAGAACCATAGTTAGTATGTTGCCCATCAAGGGGTCCGATCAGGGACTAGGGATCTTACCGGCGCCGACGGATAGAATGTACACGGATATGAAGAACAGAGCCTTCGCGTTTCCATTCTCGAGGAGGTTCTTGGCACCAGCGCCGACCATGAGGATGTGGGCAGCCCCGAAGACATAAACACCCCAGCAGATGAGCTTGAAGCGACCCGTCTTGGCATCAGCGAGATACCCGAAGATGAGAGGCAACAAATAAGCCAGCATGCTGAAGGACTGTGTCACGGCATTGGCGACCTGGGTTCCCATGCCCAGGGCGCCGGCAGTCTGCTGGTCGCCGACGGGCGGTGCACCCCAGCCATTTCCACCGGTGGGAAGGGGCCGGTTGACGTAGTTGGCGATCAGGGGCTGGATTCCGTAGTACGAGGCACGTTCGCAGAACTCGACGATGCAGATGAGGTAGGCGATGATGGGGATCGTGCCAGGCACTCGCCGGAGGACGGCCAGTTCCTCCTCGGTTGGCTTGCCGTCGTAGTCCTCCGCCATGGCGGCCGGGTCCAGATACGGCGCATGGTGATCGCCGGGAGGGGTGTGCCGACCCTTCTCCACGTCGCCCATGGCTACGGATGGTGACGAATCGCGGCCATCGCTAGAGGACGGCGCCTTTTCAGCTGCGGCAGAGCAGGTCAGTCATCAATTCCTCCGTCACAGTGTCTCGATGTTGGATGCAGCACTTACCCATGTTTGGCCGGTGCGTGACCTGCGTGAGCAGTGATCTGTGAGGTGCCGACTTTGTGGGCGATGATGGGAGAGGCACACTTGCACAGGGACGGCCGTGGAAGAAAGCAGAGCGGGACGGGCAACAGGTGTAGTCGCGGGTGTAGTGGCAGATCCGACTTGCCAAGTCGCTCGTTTTATGGGCGATCTTTCAATGTGGGTTCGGACGCGGGACTGATTCACCCTTCCATCGTAATCCTGGCTAGCACACGGGCTGCAGGGTCCAGCAGCACGAGCGGCTTCTTCCAGCGGCGTTCTACCGTGTGCGCGACGATACCGGAACGGTGGAACATTGGATGGAATCCGGCGAGCGTGACCCCGCCACTGCCGACGCCACTGCCCACGTTATACCCTACAGGAAGTTAACTCTCGACGGGACCTTACTATCTTGTCCTGGTGCTATCGACTATCGAGAACGTTGGCTCGTTCCTTCCCTGCTCGGCACCCTCCCGCAACACCAACGACGCAATCATGCAGCCATGATGCCTCGGCTGTGCGACTAAGATGCTCCGGTTGGGTCAGCTTCCCGTCGTTCGAGAGTGGTGGGTTCGTCTGAAGCAACATTGCACGGTATGTCATTCTCCCCGCCTCTTCCCATTCGCCTACGCAGTAGATTGGCATCTTTGGCTGGTGGCGAATGTGTTGGAGCCGTTGGTAAGTTGCCGATACTTCCGCCGAGCCGTCTTCGCTGGAGTCAACTGGGGTTGAATCATCGCCAAATCATCACGTCTCGCACCTGGATCCATCCGAGCCCGGAGCGCGCCGATGGGGCCCTAAAGTTCTGAATTGCTTGTTCTCGAAACCGGGTATGCCTGCTTCGGAGTTATAAGGAGGCGCGACACCGCGGAGCTACATTGCCAATACTTGTGGGGAATCTTTGTTTTCTATTTCTTATCGCCTCCTGCAAAGTTCTGTCGAGGTTCTTACACTAGGCATCTGGGAATGGCACGGTTCTAACGCCCCGCCCTCAGGTCGATCGTTGGTTCTCATATTTACACAGTGCACCGTATGCACCGCAACATAGTGTAGTGTATGCAGGTAATGATTCCAAATGCATTGCGAATCATTGGACCGACCGTACACATTCCTCCCCCTCACTCTCCCGACTTGGCGGCCCTGTATAACCCTCGGGGACCCCTGAGCCGACTGTGGGGGCAACGGAGATGTCCTAAGTAGGCAGGTCGTAAGCCCCGGATCTTAGGGCACTTTGCGGAGACAGGTGCGTGCCGCAACCGCGACTTTGCGTTGTTTCGGTACATCCCGTGGACCGTCTGAGACATCAAAACAGCAGTGCCCAGGTATCATCGATGAACTGACGTCGGGAAGCGCGATTGGCAAAGGCTTGGTCTTGCTTGGGTTTTGCTTGTTTTCTGCGCCAAGTTGGACCGTGTGCGCTTGGCCGTCGCGTGCCGTCGCTTGGCCGCTATCTTCGCTTATCTTGGCGCCTTCCCGATTTGGCACTTACACCACACCGAGGCCCTTGACCCCGATCTGTCCAAACGGCCGGGCCCATAGCGCAGCGAGAGCGAGAACAGCACACGACTCGCTGCTCAACAAAGCAGGTGCCGTCTTCAGGTGTCAGGTCGCGCGTGGAAATGCTGATGACCCCACCTATCCCGCCTACACTAATGTATGTAAGTTACCTAGTCCCCTTGCTAGGAATTGATTGGCACGAGTGGTGGGAGCCGAAATGGAACTTTTGCCAACGGCCCTTCTCTCTGACCACGTACACGTGTAAAATGATAAGGTTTTCCATCAAGCACGGTGGTTTTAAGTGTGTCAACCTTGACTAAGCCTCGCCATGTACTACTGTATATGTACTCGTATGCTACAGTAGTACACGATTACATAGAATGAGAGCATGATCAAGTGAGCGTAAAATTATGGAGCTATCAAGGTTGTATCACTTAACAGCAAGTGCAGCGTCGACGCGTTTCTCGGCGCGCGACTCTATGGAAATGGATCGATCGGGTATCATCTCCACCTGCCACGAAACAACCCCGATCATACGACTATGCATCCATCTAAATCTTCTTCTCGTCGACAGTGCTGGCAGGCCTCTCATTCGGAGTGCTGAGACGGCGCTCGACATCCTCGCCCTGAATGGGAGTACCGAACTGTCCGGTCGGCAGAATGTTGAGCGCATCTTCCTGCTGATCGGTCTTGTAGTACGCAATGTAGAAGAGGATACCAACGACGGCCGAGATGATGGTAACCGATCCGTAGTTCCAGACAAGGTGGGGATCAGCGGCGAGCGGGGTGAAGGCCTGAGAGAGCGCAGCGGAGAAAGCAGTGGTGAAGCACTGGACACTCATAACCAGGGACCTCATGTTCTTGGGCGCCTTGGTGTATGCGTACTCGAGCGTGGTGACCGAGGCGAAAATCTCGGAGATGGCGATCAGGACGTAAACACCAGTCACGGCCCAAACGTTGATGGGCGACTTGTAGTCAGGGTCCTGGGTGTCGTAGTAACCGGACGTCTTGTACACGTAGTACTGGAGTACAGTGGCCCACAACATGGCCAATGCACCGAAGAGGAAGCCAGCCGCGATCTTCTTGATGGGCGTGAAGTTGATCTTGTGCTTCCGGAGGAAGGGATAGATGAACAGATCGAAGACTACCAGTAGGTTAGTGGTTACTCGGTTTCTGGGAGGTGTATGTGACAAAACTTACTCGGGACGAGAACGATGAGCGTAATCGGGTCCATGTTCTGAAGGAGATCATTGGGTGTTCCGTGCAGAGCCATGGTAGCGCACATGGCGGTCAAGTTGTTGTCCATCTGCCGATACGCAAGCCAGTAGATGGGCACCCACATGAAGACGCCACAGGCGCCGAAACCACGGCGGACTTCGTCGACCCAAGCGTCATCGAAGTTGTACCAAGAGGGCTTGTTGGCGCCGAGAGCCGAAGGCTTGATCTTCTCCCATCCCTCGCCCTTCTTCCAGTTCTTGATGGTCGTGATGGGATTGGCACTGAGCCCGTGTCCGAGAGCCTTGCACAAAAGCTTAAAAGCAGGGCCGAGCACGCTTCCAGCAGGCGGCGTGAGCTTGTAGTGCTTCTTGCAGAGGATCAAGACAGGGATAGAAAGCGCGAAGAAGATGAGGGGAATCAAGAAGGCTAGGTAGAAACCAACGTAACGCTCGGCGAAGACCATGCCGAGCTGGCCGGAAAGGGCGCCCCAGTTGATGAACCAATAGAACCAGTTGTACACACGGGTTGCCGTGATGGCCGGGTCGACAATGACAAGCTCGCCGTTCCGTTCCTCGACGCGTAAAGGGTCGTCGGGAAGCTGCTCCATGATGAGCGGCGAGATGTTGGGCTTGAAAGTACCCGTTCCGAAACCAGTAAGGAGCAAACCGAAAATGAAGACGCCGAGCGAGGTGTGCGGCTTGTCCAGGACAGAGGGCGCGGAGGAGACGACGAGGACCATGTGACCGAGTTCAGCGACGATGACCGAGTAGAAGATTGTCTTGTAACGACCAAGGTACTTGTCGGCGATCCAGGCACCGAACAGAGGGCAGACGTAGACCCAAAACGAGTTGAAGGTGGTCAAGGAGAAGGCGATCTGCTTGCCCAAGCCAAGGGCACCGGGCTGGGCTTCGTCACTCCACGGGTTGAGAGCGGCACCAGTGGACGTGGCCGTAGGGTTGCCATCGGCGTCGAAGCGACCCTTGTTGATGAAGTTGGAGTAGACGACGACGGTGCCGTAGTACGACATGCGCTCGCACAGTTCGACGAAGCCAATCGTGAAGATCTTCCACGGGATCTTCTGAGGAACACGGCGCAGGGTGCGCATCTGCTCCTCGGTAGGGAAGTCATCACGGTCGCTGGCTAAGTCGCTCTCTTGGAGGGCAGCCTTGCCCTCGGAGAGAAGGTAGTCGGGCGGGCTCGTTGCATGAGCGTCAGGATGCTTGCGCTCCGGGTCGCCAGAGCCATCCACGGAGGCGCGGCCGAAGGTGGTGGCTTGCTGCGCGGGGTCAGTGTCCGGTGCCCTGTGCGCCGATGGCGTGACGGGTGTAGCTATTGGGATTATAGCAGCAAAGGGAGGATGCAACGTACGATTACTGACTCTTCCGTCACAGGCATGATGGGCGCAACCGAGCTCTTCACAGCAGGTGGGTGAGGGAAGGACCTGCAAGGCACGCTGGAAGGTTGACGAGGAGAGGGAAGTCGGTCGGGGGCACGCGCTGGTATTTGAGGGGAAGCAATATATGGTACCATCCAGGACCATCTAGGCGACATGCACAATCCCTCCGGTTGCCAGCTTCCCAAAGCGGAAGGTAGCACAGGAAGGTTATAAATGCCAAGCTGGTGGGATTTTGACACCACCGCCGAGCCGCACCTAGGCTTGGCTTTCCATCTCGTTCATTGGCCTCGTCAGTCTCCCATTGCCACACACAACGGACGACAGAGATTTGCGAGAGATACGAGGGCCTACACATCGGCTCATTAGGCCGTTGTTCTTGATAACGTTGCCTATTAGGTACTTAGCGTCCGGGGCCAGTCCCCGAAGCAGCGCGATGATGCCTCTTTCATGCTTGTGACCACTTGTGACGTGCTGAACCCAAGGTTCAAAGAGAGGCACCTGGATGTTGATGTCAGAGGATGGGGTTGTGGTGTCCACGTGACAGTTCCCGTGACTGCGCAGGAAAATTTACCGAGTCGGTAGCCTGGCATGTGACCGCGTTCCGAGTTCGCGTCATGTCAACCGACAGTGGACGCGTTGCAGGTCCACATCTGCGCATCGCTCGAGACTGAGAATCGAGAGCGCTGTTCAGCGGTCTCCGAGAGAACCGTCCCGTCACGTCTAAACAGATCGGAGAGAAACCATCATTGCGTGAATGCATTGAGACTTCAAGATGCCGCCGGCTTCAGGTGGGTTCCTTCAATTCTCTCAGGCATCCGCTCCTCGCGCACAACTGCGGCCGATTGCATGTTGCTCCTTCTTTCGTCCCTCTCACCAACCAACGACACTGTTTTGTAAGGTCCCTGACGCTTGTCAGACGCGGACACAATTCGCATTCTAGTGTCGACCGACAATCATGTTGGGTTCGAGGAACGGGACCCCATCCGCAAGGATGACAGCTGGCGGACCTTTGACGAGATTATGCAGCTCGCCCGCAAACAAGATGTCGACATGGTCCTGCTTGGCGGCGACCTGTTCCACGACAACAAGCCGTCGCGCAAGGCCATGTATCAGGTCATGCGCTCGCTCCGGAAGAACTGCCTCGGCCTGAAACCCTGCGAGCTTGAGTTTCTGAGCGATGCCGCCGAAGTCTTCGAGGGCGCCTTCCCCCATGTCAACTACCAAGATCCCGATATCAATATCTCAATCCCCGTCTTCTCGATCCATGGGAACCACGACGACCCAAGCGGCGACGGGCACTTCTGCTCCCTTGACTTGCTGCAAGTGGCCGGGCTGGTCAACTACTTTGGCCGCGTTCCCGAGGCCGACAACATCCACGTGAAGCCCATACTACTGCAGAAGGGCAAGACGAAGCTCGCCCTGTACGGGTTGAGTAACGTGCGTGATGAGCGCATGCACCGCACATTCAGGGACAACAAGGTCAGGTTCTACCGGCCGAACCAGCAGAAGGCCGACTTCTTCAACCTACTAGCACTGCACCAGAATCACTACGCCCACACACCTACCAGCTACCTGCCCGAGAACATGCTGCCCGACTTCCTCGATCTGGTCATATGGGGCCACGAGCACGAGTGTCTCATCGATCCTCAGCGCAACGCAGAGACCGGATTTCACGTTATGCAGCCGGGCTCGTCGGTGGCTACCTCCCTCGTCCCCGGTGAAGCCGTGACCAAGCACGTCGCGATCCTCAACATCACCGGCAAGTCATTTAAGGTGGAAAAAATCCCCCTGAAGACGGTTCGGCCGTTTGTCACCCGGGAGATCATACTGGCCAACGACAAGCGCTTCAAGGGCTTAGAGAAGAAACAAGACAACCGCCAAGACATCACCAAACGACTCATGCTGATCGTGGAAGAGATGATTGAGGAAGCCAATACCGCGTGGCAGTCGATCCACAGCGGCAGCGACATGGACGAGGACGAAGAACAGCCCCTTCCCTTAATCAGACTTAAGGTGGAATACACGGCCCCAGAGGGGTCAAAATTCGAGGTTGAGAACCCCCAACGCTTCTCCAACAGGTTCGCAGGCAAGGTGGCGAACCAAAACGATGTTGTCTACTTCTACCGGAAGAAGACGGCAGCAACAAGTGGGCATCCTTTCTCTTTCCGCGCGGCTTAGAACCACACTGACACCGATGCAGGAAAAATCAAGGCTGACCTCCCAGAAGGCGTCGCAGAAGCCCTTGAGGGAGTGGATGCCGTCAAGGTCGACTCGCTCGTGCAGGAGTTCTTTGCCCAGCAATCGCTTAAAATCCTACCGCAAGCACCGTTTGGAGACGCGGTCAACCAATTTGTTAGCAAAGACGACAAACACGCGGTTGAGATGTTTGTTATGGACTCGCTCTCCACCCAAGTCAAGGGCTTGCTACAACTAGACGATGACAAGATCACCGACGGCCTGGATGCGCACATTGAGGATTTCCGGAAGGTCATGGAGAAGAGCTTCGTCTCGGGCCAGCAAAAGCAGGCACAGCGGAAAAGGAGGTTCAAGGAGAAACCCGAAGGCTGGGATTCGGACCTGGATGGCCACTGGACAGCGCAACCTGACGCCATCGAGGAGGTCCCCCCGTCCCCCGAGCCAGCCCCGAGCGGCCGCGGTCGCGGCCAGCCCACTTCTGGTGTTACGTTCAGCGATGAGGACGAGGGGCTGTCTGGTGAGGAGCCTGCGCCGGAAAAGGCACCAGTCAAGCGGGCAACTGCAACGACAAGGACCACGAAAAGGGCAGCGCCAGCCAAGAAAGCAGCAGCGCCCGCCAAGAAGGCGGTCGCTCCAAGGAAGACCCCGGCAAGGGGCCGGAAAAAGGCGAACCCATTCCAGGACAGCGACGAAGGGGAGGGGGAGGAGGAAGATGTCATTATGGAAGACGATGATGCAGAGCCAGAGCCGCCCACAAGGGCAGGACGATCGACAACTAACCCTGTACGCGAGACTCGGGCCCGCACTGCCGCCAAAGGTCGCCAAACAACGCTCAACTTCTCGCAATCACAGAACCCGAAAGCGTCTCAGACGGCAATTGAAATCAGCGACGATGAGATCTCGGATGATGATGCGTTCGAGACTATGCCAGCTACACGGAAAAGGGGCCGGTGAAGGCCGAAGGGGGACCGGAACGGCATTGGATCAGAACTGGCAATGTACGGCTGCCTTGTTACTGGCTGGCGTTCCAAGGCATGTGTTGATGGCCTATTCAGTTCGGACTTGCTGTATGTACCTTAGTTATCGCCGAGGTGAAGCCAGAATCCGACTATAATAATACCGTACATACAGCGGGCACGTGTAGGTCTTGATTTGCCCACCGGGCTCCTCACTAATTATCTTGCTACTAATAGAGGTAAATAGCAAGCATCAGGTTCAATTAGTTGCAGCCTTCTTGAAGGTGGGCAGTGATTACGTAATCAGAAAAGCAGTATCACGTGAGTAGCTTCCAAGGTTCTCATCTCTCCAGATTCCAGACGTCAATCTTCACTCGAAGCTCTAGACTTGCAACCTGCAGCAACATCACACTCAACATGGCACCCAATCCACCTACAGAGAACGCCGAGCAAACAACGGCTCCGGTAGCAGGACCGAATGGCGCGGAGCCCACAATCGAAACCGCCGATGGAACCACGAATGCTGCGGCGCAACCGCTCGCAGAGCCCAGATTACCGACGCGGAAGGATGCGTCGCTCAAGGAGTTCCTCAGCAAGATGGACGATTACGCGCCGATCGTATGCTGCCCGTCTTCCAACCCATCAGCGATGCCTCCTCATATGTAGAGGTACTCACACATTCCTTGACAAACAGATCCCGGATGCCGTAACCAATTACTACATGACGCGCGCCGGCCTCCCACCCCCACCGCAGACAGATCAGCGACTCGCGCGCCTGCTCGCGTTGGCGACACAGAAATTCATCGCCGACATCGCCGCCGACGCGTATCAATACAGCCGCATCCGCGCGAGCAACACCAGCGCCAACAACCCGATGGGCAACCTCGGCGCCGCCGCGGGCTTCCCCATCCCCGGTCAGCCGACCTCCCAGCCCGGCAACAAGGACCAGGGCCGCGGCGGGCCGCTGGGCATCCAGCGCCCCGGGTACGGCGGCGGCGGTCAGGGTGGCAGCCAGAACCGAACCGTGCTGACCATGGAGGATCTGGGCATGGCGGTGGGCGAATTTGGCGTCAACGTCAAGCGGAGCGAGTTCTACCGTTGAAGGAAGCACGTGCAGGCCAGAATTCGTCGTGATGAGCGGTCGGTGCGGGATGGTCCTTCATAAGGACTGGCAGTCATGTGCACTCATATGAGGATAGAGCACTTTATGATCTTCTTCGCTGGGTCAGTCGCGAGCTTCTAGGGGTATGGGGATGTCATACATGGATTCTTTCCGATGGCGTTAAGGGGCGGGGATTCGGCGTTGGGATTCTAGGAATAGGCACATAGTGGTCATGAGACGCAGATGTAGGCCCTACAGGCAGCCTTCTAAGTGCAAGAGTCCATACAAATATTCACAGACCACAAAGCTTTGGTCATCTAGTTTCCTCTCTTAGGTCCATCACAAGTTCTTCCCCAATTTCGCAACCGCGAGGTGTCGAAGGCAAATCGGCCCGTGTCTATTCCTCTTCGCTCTTTGGTGCCACCCGGCCCTGACCTTGCCACCTCGCAATCGGGCCCCGCGACCGAGCGCGCTTCGTGGCTTCTCAGCCTCGTATTGTTACAGGTTGTTGTATATCAGAAAGCCGTCTTGCTCTCCCCTTAAGGATTATGAGAGTCCGGGTACGATAGAGTGTCCAGCATCACGAGCCTTTTATTTCTTGTTCCATATGAATGGCTTCCGTGTCCTATACCAACCATGTCGTCAGCCGGCATATTGCCCTCTCACACGGGCCCAAACTCCGGGGGGGTTGGCGTACGGAGAGAATTCGCCAAGCTTGTGGCCCACCATCTCCTCGGTGATGGTCACGTCATGGTAAACCTTGCCATTGTGCACCTGGAACTTGAGGCCCACAAAGTTGGGCAAAATTGTGGCCGACCGCGCCTGGGTCCGGATGGGCGCAATCTTCTTGCCTGGTTCGGGCCGCACGATGGGGAGTCTATACAGGGCGTTGTCGTCAGTTGGGACTTCAAAGGTGGCGGCGGGAATGCGCTGGATCGTCGCGAGATATTGAGGTAGTGAGGTTCGCGGGGTTATTCTTACGGCACAATGTGCGGCCCTGGACACAGACACGGTCAGTCAACGGACGGCAACGCGAGACGGAAGAGGGTATGCGGGACATCAAGGTGAGAGATCCGCAGATAATCCGGACAGGGAGAAACGCAAAACGAGCACCTTACCTTTCCAGACCGACCGCTTGAGTAGGCACCGTGTTGGCTGCATCGTGGCCAGGCACAGAGCACAGCTTATTGAAATGCCAGAACGGGATATTTTCTAGAAATGATTATTAGAGACCATGCAGGCCGAAGACGAAAAGCGAACGTCGCGGCGCACAGACAGTGAATGCAAGTGGGGCACTCGTGGTCACACTGTCTCGGAGAAGACTGGAAGTGCCGACAGGCGGGCATCCAAAAAAAAAATGAAGTGGGTTCTCAACTGCTCTCAAGGAGTCAAGAAGTCAAGATTAGATTACTCCCTGGGCCTCCTAAAAACTGTAGCTGGATGGATGGATGGGATTTATTCTGCACGCAGCGCATGGAGTAGATCTAAAGGGCCTTATTTACACGCTAATTACGGATTACATCCTCTTCTGCCTTGATCTCGGACAAGCCCGACAATTATGGCGTCCCGTGGGTGACTCCGCAAACTTACGACTGACTGCCCGATGACCACATTCTGCGCACGCAGGCCGATAATGCCATGGATTTCATAACCTCGCTCTCGCCACACATGTTGCCCGATACTCGGCGGGAAGCCAAAGAACGCTCGCCGACGAAGAGAAAACCGCTGGCGGGTTTCTGTCCAGGGCTACTTGAGACGTCGGAGTTCATGGTTATGCTCAACAGCCCTCGGTCTGTCTCCAAAAATTGGCCATTCCTAGAAAACGCCACTGAGTTGAGCGAATCGCCATGCCCCTCGAGCGTCTGCCGGTGCGCGGCCATCGACGCATCCCAGAGCAGACATTCTTATCCCATGAAGCCGACGCCAGCATCTTACCGTCCAGCGAAAACGCCACTACCCGGGCCCAGCTGCCATGCTCCTCGGCTATCTGCCGGTGCCCGCCCGTCGCCGCATCCCAGCAGGCGCATGTAGGAAGTGTATTATCTGCTCGAGGTCGTCTGGGCCTCGAGTGACATAATCGAATAGCGAGCCGGCTGGGAACCGTTTCTGTGCCTCAGCCACCACTTGACCGAGGGCTGACCGGCGGAAGAGTAACGAGTTGTCTCCCACTTGGCGGCCCTTTCCTCCCCTCTGTCCTGCCAACCTGTTATTCCACCAATTCAATTCCCTTGAACTAGGACATGCTCCCTGCCGCCGCGCGTAGCCGACCTCTGGGACGTCTGGCGGCCCGTGTCGTCTCGAGTCTGTTGAAGTTGAAATGGTCGCCGCCTTTCCAATGATTCGCGGCCGTAGTGTTTTTATCCGCTCTCCACGCGGTTCCGGCGCTGCTGCTTCTTCCACTTTAGGAGGTATTATTATACGCTTAGGCTGCCGACGATAGAGCAAAGACGAGGTATAGATAGTAGGGGGGATAGTGGTGGTAATAGCCGAAATCGCTAGTACCCTAGGAGCTTATAGGACGCTATCTAGACCGTCGCTTATGTTGGCTCTCTTCCTTCTCTTCGACCTTGGTTCCGAGATATCTTTCGTCTCCTACTCGTCTATCGAGGGCCTACGTCTCTTGCTTCATCTTAGTTATAATAAGATATTACTTCTACTAGCTAGCACCTTCTTTGTTTCGTCTACCTTATCCTTTTCTATAATGTCCTTATCTGTCTTTCTTATCCGTCTATGCTTCTCTAACCGTAGTTTATAACGTCCTATAATCTATTGGCATTATCTATAAACCTTCTTTTTTTACTATTGTTAGTCTTACTGCTACTATTCTCGCCTACTATGGCCTTCTACTCTTCCTTAATCTTCTTAATCTTAGATAGCACCTGGTTAACCTTATACTACTATTAGTTGACCTTAGCTTTCGCTACCTTGTATTTCCCCTTCGCCGTTTTCTCAAGTCTTTATATATCTCCGATAAGCAAGTATAGGCACTCTACTTTAAAGGCGAGATACTCGGTATATATAGTCTATAGATCCTATATTTTAAAGTCTGGCAATAATCTTAGAAGATGCCAGATAATAAACTCTTAGGGAAATAATTTCCTTATAACCTTATGTGATGAAACCACAGGCAGTCCTGCCTCTAAAAGGGTTCGCCGGTCGAAGGTACTGCTGGTCGGACTGTAGGTTTCAGTGAAGCCAAAAGGTTCATAACAATACAAGTCGCAATATCTGCAGAGTAGGTGAAGCTACTGATTGTTATTGCTCACTGGAGAACTCCTAGAGTCCTCTAGAACGAGTGACTATATACTGTCTATCCTTAGATGCTCTCATATGCTCTATAGAGCTCCTTAGAGCTTGATGCTCTATTGACTATCGAGAGCTTCCATCCCTTCATGCTGATTGGCTTAGTTCCTTGAGCTCTCATCCGCTCTCTAGAGCTCCCTAGAGCTCCTTCTTATTAGTCCTAAATAATTGGTTCAGGTGTGTCCTGCGCTACCTGCCGGGTTGTCCTATCTATAACTGTCCTGTTGGCTTAATTGTGATACTTTAGCGTACTTCTCGATATCTTCCTTGTCATTATTATAGTCGTTATAATCGCGCTCCTAGTATAGGCGTATAGCCTATCTAAACTTCAGCTTAGCTATATACCTAGAGGTACCTTTACTTATAAAATAATCGTGCCTATATACGTTAAGATATTTCCCGAACCTAGGCCTCTTACGCCTTTTGCAGAGCTACTATATATAGAACTCGTTCTATCGGTTCTATTATTTAAAACGGGCTTACTACCTCCCCTTTATATCTGCTAGATATTATTATATAGCTTATAGCTATAGTATATAGGTGTATATACCTAGATTTACTTTAATATATAGGAGGAGATTAACGTAGAACAGCAGCCGGCAATTGTTATCGAGTAGGGCCTAGTAGCACCTGATCTTGTACTTATATTCTTCTTCCTTAGGAGGTTCGATAGTCGACGAGTAGAAGGAGCTTGGGTAATAGCTCTATACTAGACGATGGTCTAATTTGGATAGGATTCGATCTAGTAGCGCGGTAAGGGCGGTTATATCAATCGACGGTGCTCGGCTAGGCAGCGGGTTCAACCATTAAATTATTTTATTATAGGATGGGTAATTTACAGATGAGCGATCTAGAGGTAGATTCACAGTGTCATGAATTAATTATATATGACAGCCGGGTGGGGCGCGACCCTAGAACCCCGAGCCAATAGCTGTTAGGAATGGCAGGATTACCAAGATCAATTGGGAACTGGTGATTCCGATGAGCAGCTTACCTACGATCACCGGGCCGAGGTGATCACTAGTGATCTAGGTATGAAGGTGCCTAGGGAAGGAAATAGTATATAGTTCTACTATTCTATTACTCATTTAGATAGTTAGCTTCCTTAGTAAGCAATACAAGCAGTAGAATAGCTACTACCTTACTATATAGACATTGCAGTTAGCATTGTTATAAACCTTTTAGCTTTACCGAGACCTATAGCCTGACTAGACTACCTTCGACTCGCGAACCCTTTCAGAGGTAGGACTGCTTAGTTTCGCCATATATAATAGTTAACCTATCTTGGTTTTGGATAGGTCATCTCCGCCTGTAAGGTTTTGGATATAATAAAAGCCGACTTAAGTATTATCATTGAGATGCTTATCTGTGCTAAGAGAGATAACCTAGCTACTGGAGAGCTAGGTCGCAATAGCTTCCTTGTTCCAATATGCATAGTACGGATGTTGAATATAGTATCGCGTTAGATTATTGGCGACAATATGGTAGTACAGTTAGTGGGGAGCAGGTGAGTACCGAGGTACAGAGCTTAAACTATAATACAACGCAAAATCTCACTATAGCCGACCTACCCATATAAATATCCAGGTAAATTTGAATTAGAAGCTCTAGCACCCCGATAAGAACATCCTTGGTAAGATATAGTAGGTGCGTGATATGGTCCAGAGATTATTAGGGGGTAGTTCCTCTATTAGAGTATTACTAGGAGTTTTATATTTTCAACTACCCTTATACTCTCTTAATAATACAAGTCTCTATAGAACATCCCAGGGTAGGAACTACCTCACAACTATATAATCCTCCTAGGCTTACAACCAGTCTCACTATATCTAAAGATCTACTACATACCTATATATGTCTTATCTTATAGTACTAGATGCTAGAATAAGATATGTTGGATTAAATAGGATATAATTAATTCAACCACATATAATTAATTAAACTAGATATAATTGATTGAACTGGATGCAATTGATTGAACAGGACGCTCTAGGTGCAGTAGGATGCTCTAAGTACAATTGATTAAATTAAATGCCCTAGACATAACTAATTAAACTAGATATTCTAAGTATAACTAATTAAATAAGATATGCGATATTGAACTAGATATACTATAACGTACATGATACGCGAGTGACCCAGACAAGCGAGTGACCCACTTCCTACACGACGCGACATCTTTGCACTCAACAACAAAATTTCCTCTACCATCCAAAATGCCCTCTACTTCAAAAGAAGGCCAGATAATATTGGCTCTCCAAGCTCTTCAAAACGACAAGAATCTAAGCGAACGAGCCGCAGCTAAGATCTATAGAGTCGACCGTAGGACGCCGACGCGCTGGCAAGCCTGCACAATATAATCTTTCCAGCCAACTCGCGTAAGCTCATAGACCTAGAAGAGAAGGCGATAGTTCAATATGTCAATGAGCTATCTGCACGTGCATTCCCGCCTAGGTTATATAGTATGGAAGATATAGCCAACTAACTACTATATGAATGCGATGCGCCCCCTGTTAGCAAACGCCGGCCAGAGCTCTGTATACAATATACATGTAGATACAACTACCAGAGCGCTAGATATAAAGATCCAGACATTATTCGCGAGTGGTTTAGGCTTATATAGAACACTAAGGCCAAGTACAGTATCGTAGATGACGATATCTATAACTTTGACGAGACCGGGTTTATGATGGGCATTATCTTTGCGGGTATGGTTGTTACAACCTCAGATGGCCGGAGCAAGGCTAAGCTGGCCCAGCCTGGCAATCGCGAGTGGGCAACAGTAATCCAGGGAGTCAATGCTCTCGGCTGGGCTATCCCTCTGTTTATCATCTTAGCCGCGCAATACCACCTTGCCAACTGGTATACCGAGTGCAACCTCCCGGCCGACTGGCGCATCACAACCACCGAGAACGGCTGGACTACCAACGTAGTAGGCCTAGATTGGATTAAGCACTTCAACTACCATACGGCACCCTATATAAAGGGTAAATACCAGTTGTTAATCCTCGATGGCCACGAAAGCCACCACTCGACCGAGTTCGAGCTCTACTGCCAGCAGAACAACATTATCACGCTCTGCATACCTCCACATTCCTCCTACCTCCTCCAGCCGCTCGATGTTGGCTGCTTTAGGCCGTTGA